AGTAAATAAAATAGATTTTCTTGAACTTATATTTATAAGTAGTGGATTTATATTACTGCTATAGATAATTATTAGACCACTTTAGGCTTTATCTATATTAAACTAGAATTAGATATTATTATAATATTATAATAAACTATAGAAAGTATTAATAGAACTCTTATAATATATAAGAGAGGACTTATAAAGCGGTTTTGGTTTTGGAATATAGAACTTATAGAACTTTTAATATTATAGCATATTGTTATATATAGTTTAGTAATAAATATAAACCCTTTAATCCTAAGCCTCTATATAGAATTCGTTTAGAATATTAGCCTGCTACTAGGTTATTTTCCAGTCTAGTAAAGTATTACTATATAACTAGTATATATCTCTTAAGATAGCTTTAGCTGCAACTAAGATTTAGATAAGAATAGGATTCTTAGTATCCTTAGCACTTATATTAAGCTCTTTCTTTAGTAGTAGCTTATATAAGCTCTAGATCTCCTTATTCTTAAGTATAGCTAAATAAGATGGAAATTCTATTATATTATATAGCTATAGCACCCTTTTTAACCTGGAATCTCTAATATTCTAGACTATAGTTACTTGCTTTTTAAGATTATACTTTATAGCCTTAAAGTCTTCCTCTAGCTTCTAGAATAATTCCTTCTCTAGCTCTATAAATAGAGTAGAACTAGAACCTATAGTGGCCTTTAGTCTATTAACTCTATTATTATTCTCTATAACTATAAAGTAATTAATTTGCCTAAATATAGTAAAGTATATCTATAGCTTAACTACCTTCTATAATGCATATAACTTATAAATAGTAGCCTTAATCTAATATGCTTAAGGCATATACTTTCTTATTTCCTAAAGATATTAAATCTAATACCTATAGTCTAACTATAGATAGAAGAACCTATTATAGACTACTAAGTGCTTAAGAACTTAATATTTATTCTTAACTTAAGACTTATACTATTTAAGCTCTTTAAGCGTTCTTAGACTATATAAACTAAATAACTTAAAAGTTATCTTTAGCTCTTAATCTAAGAGTTAGTATAGTTTAGCCTATAGGTGGTATTCTTAGCTTTAGTAGCCTAGAATAACGCAAGAATAATAGATATAGCATATAACTACCTAGTAGACCAAGTTATAAGAGAAGAAGCTTATTATAAATATAGTAAGAGAGAGGTATAAGAGGTATAAGAAAAGTAGTATTTAACTTAAAGCTTTCTAAACTAAAACCTGCTAAGTTAGCAGCGCCTAGGCCAATCGCGACTCTGCATTTCTAGTGTCTGAGTTAAAAAGCGCCCGCGCATAAGAGGTAGTATATTTATAGCTTATATAAATTAAAATATTATAAGTAGAATTAAAAGAAAGAAGATCTATTCTTAAAATTCTATTTAAGCAAGAAAGCAAGAAGGGAGATATGCTAGCGTCTCTCTTACTAGTATAAACGCGTATGCGGTAGTCCGTATACTAAGTAGAGATAGCTCTAAGCCTCTAGCGATCCCTTAGATCCCTTATTAGAAGTAATAAAGAGGTTAAAGGAGATCGGCAGAACCACTTTTAGTGGCGCTCGGCGCTCACCGCCCTCAGCGACCGCCTTCCCCTTCCGGCGCTGCCAGGGGAATTGCCCCTTTTCACCTAAAATCCGATGTAGTATATACCCTCGGATCCCAGGCCGGATCGTATATCCTAACACTATAAGACACATCAAGGTCATATACCTATTATTAGTATACTTGTTCCGGCCCCAGATTCATAGAGGCGACTGTGACGCGGGCGTTACATGTGGCACAGATCACATATAAATAAGCGTGTATACCAGACGGATAGACAGTTTGCTTCATAGGCAAATGTAGCTTAAATATCAATTTACAATTGTTTACCGATTGGCTATACGAGTGAGGAGAGTTATGAACGGATATACTTGTTCTCTCATATAAGAATAGATGCAGCATGTGCAATGATGGTGTCAATATACTCTTATATATTTGTAACTTAAGAACTCCTTGCTTTGAACTCAATAATAGGCCCATCTCGCTCACCCACAAATCGATCTTGGATCTGATACTCATTCTTTCTTTTCCGCCCAAATCCCAGCTCTGGCTTGCCGCCTCCGACTTGCTCTCCCTCAGCTTCTCGAAGATCGTACAAGAACAAGAGCCTCGAAAGAGAGACCGTCAACTCGGCATAAGCTAAGCCCTTCCCAATGCAGCCCCTTGACCCAAGACTGAATGCGCAGAACCCTGAGTGGCTTCGTTTAACATCTTCTTCACTTACGCCATCGTCGGGATTAACGATCCAGCGCTCCGGCGAATAGCTAAATGAGTCCGGGAAATATTCCTCGTTGTGATGCATAGCGTACGCCGAGATACCGACTTGGGTTCCGCAGGGAATCAACTTTCCATCGAGTTCAATACCACCTGGAAGGACCTCCCTAGGCAAAATTCCTGGAATAGGAGGAGACATGCGCAAGGTTTCATCAATAACGGCACGCAGGTATACCAGAGATCCGAGAGTCTGTCCGACACGAATGTCTTCAACGTCCGAGAATGCGGTGCGGATTTCCGTCGCCAATTTAGCTAGAACTCGTGGATAACGAACAAGGTAAAACATTGTTGCCGAAAGCGTAATCGATGTTGTGTCGGCGCCAGCAACGACAAGGAGCGCTGCTTCAGACTGTAATTCGGCATGCGAAAATCCTTTGCCGGTCTCTGGATCACGACTTTCCAAAAGATAGTGTGTGAAATCCTTCCGCATTGCTTTAGGATCTCCATTCACACTCTCTTTTTCTTTGGCCACACGCTCGTCCATTAATGAGTCGCAATAATTGTTGAGTCGTATGTTTCCCGAGGCTATCTCACCACCGTATTTTTCCATCAACTTGGTCCGTAGCAAAGGTTTGATCAGGGTAAGTATTGGCAGATAACCCATCTATGGACACATGTAATCAGCCAAAGTCACTAATAAGAAGCTAGACGAAGGCTTACAACGTATACGAAACTGCTGGAAGTAATTATGATTTCCGGTACCCAGCGATTGACGTCGCTCAGCAGGCAACTAAACGTCTTCCCAAATGCCAAGTCGCCCATAATGTCGAAGTTCAAATATGTCGCCCAAAGACCGACATCGCGCTTGCGACTCCACCCATCATCCTTCTCTCCAACGGGTTTTGGTTCCCCGAGGACGCCGGTCCATACTCTGATATTTTGTAAGATGAAGTCTTCAGCGCTTCGGATAGATTTGTCGGAAAAGGCGTGGGACATGATTCGCCTTCGACGTGCGTGCGCAGTACGGTTAATAGTACTATGTGTTGTCCATTCTTTTGAAGCGGCCGGAAGGATCTCATACCACCACCCTTTTTGAACATTCACTTTCCCAGAGCTGTAGATAGCTTCGAGACCTTCCTTGGTGTTGACCGAAAGCATGTTCGGCGCGACGCGGACGATATTTCCTAAAAGATCTTCAGCCAGTCACGATAGAGTACGGCGGTAAACAAACCATAGGTTTCATGGTCTTTCCAGTGCGTGATATGTCGGTCGCCCACGAAAGCATGTATTGCTGTCGGCCAGTATGATATTCTGCTGAGCAGTGGTCCAGGATACTTGGCCAGTGGGTGCAATGTGAGCCGATAGATGGTCAAGGCTAAGAACTACATGTAGAGAGAATTGTTTTCAGTTTTGATAGAGCACAGGCCATCAACAAAGAGACTCACCCAGAGGCAGAGGAGGAAACCAGCTCCTGCGACGCCAGATAGGAGGCTTATGACAGCCATGGCAAAGAGCAAAGGATACAGGACTTTTGAAATTTCGAATGTGGGCTAATTATTAGGTTTGATGAAGGAAGTTGTTCCCGTTTGTTTGGCGCTTCAGAACGTTGACCTGCCTTTTTACTAGAATATGCCGTGCCGTGTCAACTGGACCTTTATCATCCAGGTGTGGGGATGCCATGGTGGACCCAGCGGGTAGCTCTTCCGCCGTGCATTTTGTACGTACATTTCGTACATACGGTACTGCAGTCTTCCGCCGTACATGTACGGCATTGCAGCCGAACTCTAACCCCGAAACTCTAATCCCGAACTCGTGCGGAGCGGATAATCCCCTTCCCCACCCCCACTCTCGGAAATAATTCGTTTCCCTTCGCCAATTAGCTCGCTACTACTGCACCAATGGGCACGTCTTACTGTTTCTCAACCCCCACTTCTTAGCCCCTGATGGAATTCCACTCTAGCATGAGCAACACCAATTGCTGCCTCCCCTTTAGGTCTTAATGTAGCCCTCTCTTCCACATGATGCCCGTCAAACAAAACAGAGGCTTTGATCATGGCCTCGAGAGCTCAACATCCCGACCTCCCAAATGTGCCTGCAAATGGCGTCTCTTACTTCACGCCTAGTCAGGATCCAATTGCTGGCTCGGTAACAAGTCCACCGCCAAATGATTCTGCGCTGCCAAAGCTTTTCACCCCTCTTACCATTCGAGGCGTTACATTTCAGAATCGCATATTTGTATGTATCCCACTGCTTTTGAAAATTGACAGCTTTCAATGGTGCTAACTCATAGGATGTGTCTAGGTCTCGCCCATGGCTCAGTATTCGTCCGGGCCAGACGGACAAATGACTGACTGGCATCTCGCCCACCTAGGAGGTCTCATTCTGAGAGGAGCGGGCCTTACTATACTTGAGGCCACAGCAGTCACACCCAATGGGAGAGGCTCCCCCGAGGATGTTGGCTTATGGGACGATTCGCAGATAGAATCCATAAAGCGGATTGTCGATTTTGCACACTCCCAAGGTCAGAAAATTGGTATCCAGTTGGCCCATGCCGGAAGGAAGGCTACAGGCGTAGCCCCGTGGATATCTAGAAGAGCACTCGCCACGGAAAATGTAGGCGGCTGGCCCGACGACGTATGGGGACCTTCTGCGATCGCATACTCGGATGAAATGGCCATGCCGCACGCGATGTCTCTTGCAGAAATTGAGGAATTCAAAGCTGCTTGGGTAACAGCGGTCAAGCGAGCGGTCCAAACAGGCGTGGACGTAATCGACATTCACGGCGGCCATGGTTATCTCCTCTCATCGTTCAACTCGCCTGTAACGAATCGCCGTACAGACCAGTATGGGGGCAGCTTCGAGAACCGGACGCGACTTACCCGCGAAATAGTGCATTTGACTCGGCAGGCAATCCCTGATTCTATGCCGTTGTTCTTACGTTTGTCGGTCACCGAGTGGCTGGAGCATGAGCCGTCGTTCGAGGATTCGTGGACCGTTGACTCTACTGTTCAACTCGTGCCCAGTCTAGCTTCACTGGGAGTCGATCTCCTCGATGTATCTTCAGGAGGAAATCATCCTCTACAACGCGTGTATGCGGCCTCCGGGTACCAGACTCCACTCGCTCAAGCCGTTAAAGCTGCTATAGGAGACAAACTATTGGTATCAGCAGTTGGGCTAATCTCCGAGGGTAAATTTGCTAATCAACTGCTCGAGGAAGTTCCTGCGTTGGATGCCATTATGGTCGGACGCACGTTCCTGAAGAATCCTGGCCTTGTTTGGGCATGGGCAGAGGAGCTGGGTGTTGAGACTCGCCAGGCGAATCAAATCCGATGGATCTTTCTAGGTAAAAGCAAGAAATAGAGTGAACTACGGGTTTCCGGCTTGGGGAAGGGGGCAAGGGCTTCGATAGGAACAGGCATATCCAACCAACTACCAGGAGACAATTGCATCAATTCCAAAGCTCGAATGAGACTTATTTTCTGCTTGATTAGACTGGTAAGAGCGGCATAAGAGCAGACAACGTATCCCTTAGTCTGCTATCTTGCCACTTCGTATAGCTTTGTAAACAAACACATGAAAGTTCATGCCAAAGCGGATCTATCGATCATCAACCATGCGTTAGTAGTTAAAACGTGTTTAGCAGGGCTGGGCAGCCTAATTGGGATGTTTATATTATTCCTATGCGAATGGGGACATAGCACAGTAAGAGCTAGTCTACTTTATAAATCTTCATAATTGACGGATATTATACTACGGCCGATCTTTTTTACAAATGCCCTGTACGGAGAATACATCGCCGATTTATTCCTTATACCTTGAGACAGGATAAGTTTGTGAAACTCAAGCAGCTTAGGTAAGGGAGGGACCTATAAGGTACAGTGCAGACCCCAAGGAGTTTTCGAACTATAGAAATAGAACGCAAGGCTCAAGGCTAGAAACCTTGGCTGGTGACAGACTATACTAACCAAAGTGAGAGGTTGATAAAACAGGAGGTGCCAAACGGCTATCCAACACCTTTGCCGATATGCGAGAGTTAGGTAATTAGAGATCTGTAAGCCGAGATTCGGGACACTGCGTAGATCACTCCATATGCCCGAAATTCTATCCAGGTGGTGTCACGCCTTAACGCCACTAAATCAAGGCTCGCTTTTTCCACGGAAATCAATTGGTATGGTTTTCATCATATGGTATAAAGCGCACGGTGAATTCTTGTGACCTACTGAATCGATATCAACCTCCACCACTAACTTCTTTCTACCAACATCGTTGAGCTCTTTTCATTTACTCGGCCTAAGCAATCTCGTATGCTCTGGTGAGAGGAATCGCAAATTTTCACTATAATCCAGCCAGCCCAACAGCACTTTAACGTATAGCAGAAATGGCCTCTATTGGTCAAATGCAGGCGGAAGGACTTGGGGATCCACTGTACCCTGAGAATGGCGATGGGCCAAACTATTCGATCCCCAAAACATGGCACTCACAGAAGACAAAGCTACGAGTTGCATGTATAGGCGCAGGCCCTTCCGGTGAGGCACCACTACAAACCACTCGTGTTAAGTCGTACTGAGTACTGGAAATAGGTCTTTGTCTCGCATACAAGATGGAGCGTCAGATGCAGCCGGGAACTTGGGAACTGACTATATATGAAAAGAATCCGGCCGAAGGAGGGACCTGGTATGAGAACAAATATCCTGGATGTGCGTGTGATATTCCAGCACATATCTATACGTACAGCTGGGACCCGCAGCCAGACTGGTCAACTTTTTACGCCTACTCCCCAGAGATTTTAGAATACTTCAAGAAATTCTCGGACAAACATGACCTTCATCACTATGTACAACTTAACTCGCAGATCATATCAGCGGCCTGGAATGATCAAGAGGGCAAATACAACTTGATCATCAGAAACCCTCAGACTGGTGAAGAGAGAGAAGACTGGTCACATGTTTTGGTTAATGCAACTGGAAACTTGAACAAATGGAAATGTATATGATTTCACGCCTGTCTAGCCGCTACACGAGTGTTAATAAAATCGCAGGGCCTGAAATTGAGGGTCTGCACGATTTCGCCGGCCCCAAAATGCATTCTGCGACATGGGATGAATCAGTTGACTTCAAAGACAAGACAGTAGCAAGTGAGTAAACCAAAATAGCCCCCACTTCAGACATTGAACGTTGTTGAACCAATGGTGTCAGTTATTGGAACTGGGTCTACAGCCATTCAGATCGTTCCCAAACTTCAGAAAGGTAAGTCTATTAGTTCGAACGTGGTATAAGTTTACAGTATCAGGGTTACTGAATTGTTCTAGTGGCAAAGAAATTAGAGTTATTCATGAGATCTCCGACCTGGATCAGTCCTCCGTTTGGAGACGCTGTCTTGAAGGAGGATGTCAGGGATGGCAAAGAAGAAGACATGGCCAACCGACAATACTATTTCTCCGAAGAGGAAAAACGAAAATTCAGAGAGGATCCAGAAGGCCATCTATTTTTACGACAGAAAATCGAGGCCGAAATTAATCTCTTATTTCCATTCTACACGAGGGGAACTCCCCTTCAGAAGAAGATGCATCAGCAGATGAGAGCCGAGATGGAGAAGCGAATAGGACCGGGACACGATGAGCTCAAGGTATGCTGCGTCTTTATTATGTGATGGCAAGTCCTTAGCTATTTATACTAATGTGCTTGCCGTCTCAGAAAAACTTGATCCCGGAATGGCTACCGGGTTGTCGTCGCATCACACCTGGTGATGGTTACCTCGAAAGTTTGGTGAAGAGCAATGTCAACTGTGTCTTCCAAGGAATCCAAAAAATCACCCCAGATGGTCTGATTGACGATGCCGGCGAATTTCATCCGGTGGATATTCTTGTTTGTGCGACTGGGGTTTGTCACGTCGATCCCGCCATCGAAGCACATGAGTACTGACAATTTACAACGCAGTTTGATGCCCCTTATATCCCTCAATTCAAAGTAATCAATGCAGATGGTGTCAACATGCAAGCCGCGTGGAGTGAACAGCCAAAGTGAGTTCGAGTATCCCGTCACACGTTTAGAGCTGAGCCCTGGCCGTATTGAAGTCTCTATATGGGCATTACCGCTCCGAATTACCCCAACTATTTTTTTGTTATTGGTCCTGGTGGAACGTGGGCCAAGTAAGTAATGATCTTATACCCTGCCTGAATCTAATAGCTACTGACGTGTGCATAGCGGAACTATTCTACCTGCAGTATGTGATTTCTGTGGGGTGAAGCAAGATACGTTGACTGACAATTCTGCAGCTGGAGACTTCGTGTGAACACTTTATCAAAATGTTCAACAAGATGCAATCGGAAGGTATTAAATCCCTGGAAGTGAAACAAGATGCATGTGACGACTTCAAATACCATATGGACAAGTTTCACGAAAATACGGTCTGGGGTGATACTTGTCGCAGCTGGTACAAGAAAAACGGCAGAGTCTGGGTCTGGCCTGGAGCGGTAAGTGCTATGATATGGCTCAATATATCATGATATCTATATCTAACGGGCGCAGACAATCCACTATGCAAAAACGTTGAACGACGGACCTCGTTATGAAGATTATAACTTTACCTACTGGCGAGGCCGACGCTTCGCTTATCTGGGAGACGGAACGGTAAAAGCTATGCATACAAGGGACGTCAAGCAATTAGCGCCATATTTGAGAAATGCCGATACTGCCTGGCATGTTGAATGATAAAGGTCAGACAGGATAAATGGTATCATTATTAATCTGTTATCAAATGTTGCATGGGATCAGTCTTGGTCACGCCTAGATAGCGTCCAACGATAATAATAGAATGAATCAAGCAATGTCGCATCTGTTACAGGAAAACTTTATCTCATAGGAATTCGATATTCCCCAGCAAGTTTGAGTTACCTTTTATATATTACGATGGTCGCTTCATAGTCCAGACTTCGGCCTGTAACGTCAACACTGTTGAAGCTTTATGCTGGGATGGCTTACTGCCTTTCCCGACACGTCAATTGCCGATGATGGATTTCTGACCATAGATTATAGCAGCGAGAAATATCCGCTACGAGTCGCAGAATTACTCCGAGTCCCTAGAAGTAAAGTACTGAAGTGGTTCATATGACAAAGAATCGGCGCGTGCTCTGTTCTACGATCCATTGGTGGGCAGATAAGATAAAATCAATCACTGAGTATGGACTGACATAGAGCATGGTAGAAGACTATAGACGACCTGGCAATTGGGGCTTATGGTTTGCATTAAACTGCTTCCATATGTAGGACTAATTCCATGATTGAAATGATTGATTGATCATTCTGATGTATTCTAAGATTTATTCTACCCAGAGAGCACAATAAACTGAGACAGTATGTCCGTTAACCAACAAGATATTTTTATCCTCTCCCTGAAGAGAATCCGATGGCCAGATCATCTCAATACAGACTTAGATGGATCTCAGACGTGCCATAAACCGAGTGCCGGTTCCAGACACTCATCACTGTTCGTGTCTAGCTCCTCTCAGATCTGCTAACCCAGTGATCTAAAGCGTCGATTTAGTCTCCAATTGTAGAAAGTCTTCCAATGCCTTGGCGAATTGCTCCTCGCCATCAATCATTGAGAGATGTCCTGCCGCTGCGATTGTCACTAGCTTTGCATGAGGAACCTGCGCTGCCAGTTTCTCCATCGATTGAGGGAGAGCCCCATCATGCTCGCCAACTATGAAAATAACAGCCACATGATTTAGATGGGGTAATAGAGGTCCCAAATCAAAGCTTTGTAACGCCCGCACACAGTTTATAAAACCTTGGACGGGAGTTCCGATAATGCCAGTGCGGATATTGGCAATCGATTCGCGCTGAGAGGAAAGTGATGAAGCTGGGAACCATCTTGACAGCGTATCATCAGCAAGCCGTGTTCCGTCGTCATCTTGAGCTAGTTCAATACGTCGTTCCATAGCTGCATTCCCTTGTGGGGACGAAGAAGTCAAAACGTCAGCAACGATGAGTCGCTCTAGTCTTTCTGGATACTGAGCCGCGAAATAGACGCCTGTCGCAGCACCCATAGAGATGCCACAGAATGCGTATATTTTTGCAATTCCCAGTTTGTCCAGTAGAAAAGTAACGTCTGCCGCAAGATCACTGAATGTGCAAGCCTCGCTCGAAGGTGGAGACAGGCCATGGCCTCGCTGGTCATAGCGAAGGACGGAGTATTTCTGATGTCGTAGTCTAGATGCGATATTGTCCCAGCTGTGCAGATTTGTAGATAAAGAATTGCTTAAGAGAATCAGGGGCCCCTCCTTCCGGCCTTCGAGGCGATAGTGAATGGCAACATCCCCTCTGATGTGAATTGTCGAGTCTTCCATATCATGTAGCATAGTCCGAAGTACAGCTGGGTTGTAGCAGGGGTTCTATGGTGATGATGGTTTTGATGGACCGCTAAGTAGAGATTGAAGAGCTTGCTGCTTGGTGGAATTCAGCAAAAGTGCCTATAGTATGGAACGTAGAGTTTTGCGATTAGCTCCCAGGCAGAAATTGGACCTACCGCTTAGTAATACATGCGGAATCATAACAATCTCCGGCGCACCGTCACTTGTAGGTATTTCGAAAAGTACTTCTGAGTCTGCCGTGCTTAGAGCCCGTACCGAGCCGACCCGAGCTATCCGTTCCGTTACACTGCTGTGTGCCCACTCGCCTATTTCCACGGCGTCAATTCTGGTGGTGATCTATCCCGAAAGGCACATAGCAGTAAATCAGATAGATAGACCAGAAATAGATAGATTAACTCGGATGATAGTGTCGTCTGGCCTACATAATACCATTACTTTCTTACACGGTTCTGTTCTATCATCTAATCGTCCATACTCTATCTTTCCACCATGTCACCCTCTGAGACTCAAGCAGGCGCCAATGGTGCTCAGAATAGGGCTCCGATCGAAGTCACAAACGGGGTTGAGAATGGTAGGCATGTTGACGAGAAACCTTATGAAGTCAAGCAACAATGGTTCGGCAAGAAGAATCACATGAAGATCATTGGGCTAGGTTCAGGTATCGGCGGGATCGCGCTGGCATACAAACTTCCACGATTACTCACAAACTACACACTCACTCTCTACGAGAAGACGCCGAAGATGTCCGGGACCTGGTGGGAAAACACATATCCTGGGGTTGCATGCGATGTTCCAGCACACATCTACACGTACTCTTTCCAGGGTAACCCAGACTGGTCAACATTCTATGCATACGGACCTGAAATCTACCAATACTACAAGAAAGTTGCAGAGGAACGTGATTTGACAAAAGACATTGTATTCAACCGCGACGTTATCTCCATCAGTTGGGACGATCCGAAGGGCATCTGGAACGTGACGTTGCAAGATCCTCGGACTGGTGAGTTAAGCTACGACTGGTGTCACGTCTTCCTGAACACAGGAGGCCGTCTCAATAAGTGGAAGATGCCGGATATTGCGGGCTTAGATCTTTTCAAGGGACCTGTCACTCATTCTGCCCACTGGGATCAATCAATAGACTTCAAGGGCAAGACAGTCGGCATCATTGGCACTGGCAGCAGTGCAATTCAAATCACTCCCCAGCTGCAAAAAATGTCTAAGAATTTGGTGTGCTTCATGCGTTCAGAAACGTGGATTGCACCTCCGATTGCCTCGGCGATTGCACTGGCAGCAAAAAAAGAAGGGACTGGTGACGACAAGGAAGAAGTTATCAACGGCAAAGCGACAACGGACATCAGCCAAGCACAGTTCAAGTTCACCGAGGCACAGAAGAAACGATTCCGGGAGGATCCAGCGTATCACTTGGAATTCCGCCGAAAATTGGAAAGCTCAATCAACATGGGCACAGACATGTTTATCATGGGGACAGAAACGCAGAAGAAAGCCATGGCCGCCTTCAGGCAAGAGATGTTGACTAGGATTGGTCCAGGATTTGAGGAGCTGAAAAAGAAGATCATCCCAGACTGGTCACCAGGTGAGAACCCAAAATGTGTCTCTGTATGTCACCACCAAGTACTAACCCCGTTGAAGGATGTCGCCGCCTTACTCCTGGCGATGGATACCTCGAGGCATTGACACAGCCCAATGTTGAGCACGCTTTTACCGACATATCTCATGCTACCGAGAACGGTCTCGTTACCGCAGACGGGAAGGAGCATAAGCTTGATATCATCGTTTGTGCCACCGGATTCCACATTCCCTTCCAGCCACATTTCGAAGTCATTGGTAAAGACGGAATCAAAATGAAGGAGGCCTGGGATCCGGACCCAAACTGCTATCTCGGCATTGGAGGCCCTCAATTCCCTAACTACTGGGTCACCATGGGTCCGAGAGGTCCTTGGGGGAATGGAGCCGTGCTTGCACCCATGGAGACGTCATGCGAGTACTTTGCGAAGGTGATCAACAAAATGCAAATGGAGGACATCAAATGTATGGAACCGAGGCAAGATGCCACCGATGAGCTCATGGAGCACATAGACGCCTTTCACAAGACGAGCGTCTGGACACAGCCCTGTCGTTCCTGGTACAAAAAGGGGAAGGCAGATGGCAGGCCCTGGCTGTGGTCGGGCGGTGTCATGAGCTATCTGGCGGCGATCAAAAACCCGCGATACGAGGACTACCATATAACCTACAAGACTCGCAATAGATGGACCTATGTTGGCAACGGCAGGATGAAGGCAAACCATTCGGAGGAGTATCCTGACGAAGCCACTCAAATCGCCGCTTTGGCTCCTTATATCAGGACCGAAGATACCGACTGGGACTTTGACTATTGAGGGTTGAAAAGATGATGGGGTATGTTTGACCATGCGATCAATTACTTGGGCGGACACCAGCTGATGGATTTAGCCCCTCTGTATGATTTCTGTCACGTTGCTGTCAGATGGCCAATTTGATTTCCTCGTTTTGTCATAGTACTAGTAATCGTAAGAGGTTCACAACACGCTTTTTATGTACAGAAATCACCTATTTTGCATGCTAATTGTGCTCATTCCACCTCGAAGAACAGTATTCTACAAGGTTTTAAGACTGGTTGTAGTGTTTAATGAGGGTGAAGATGCTTCGCTTGTGATAACACTCTGCGTACGAGAGCAATTCCATAAACATGGTAGTGATAGTGGTAAAAAGATAAATCCAAAAGATTTGGCGACCGTCGGTCACGAGTTGTCGGACGCTTGGTGGGACCTGCATGCATCCGCTTTTGGCCTTAGTCTCGGTATCTTCGGCTTCCGGGCGGGACGGGACGCTCCGTGGAAGATCCTCGCGTCCTTAGTCTCGCTGACGTGGGTATGTAGGTTCGGCCACATTCTCATTTGTATCATGCGCAGCCGGAATAGGACCGTTGCTTCTTGTGCTCGTCCATGGTGGGATTTGGGTCTTGCGAGGAAAGTAGAGACGTGGGCGATTCCAAGCGAGGTGTTGCGATGCAGGCACGCGGCGGGGAAAAAAGCCGCACTAATCGCTTACCAAATATATAAATAGAACGGTAGTTGGGCGGAAGTCAGCACCCGCACCTCTAGGCAAGGATTCTGGGGTAGGAGGCCAAGCCAAAGAAGTGCGGCTTTTCTTGTCTCCGGCATGGCAGGGTGGATGGAGTTAAAGTGGGGTTGTTTAAGGAAAGGCATTTGCATCTCATCTGTTGAAACTAGGGACATGCTATGAAAGAGCTTTTGAGATGGCTCAAGCATACAAGGCACAGTGATATGGATGCCCAGCGGCCATGGAAAAGTCATTCATTATAGGTACCCCAAGTAGGACTTCAGCGCGTCATAATTAGTAGACTTAATACAACGTTGTTGAGCTCATTTATCCTTCCACCGTTGCTCTTCCATTCGAGATGATCAGGGCTTTAAATTTCGCCAACGCGGTCAAAGGTATGTGAACTGTCGAGCCCGTCCAGCCAGTGGAGACCGAGCTCATCCCACGAGGGCGAAAGAGTCTGTGTCATCCAGTCTGATGGCAACGGATCCCAAGACTCTACTACACCTGGAGCGTCCTGTTTATCAGAAATGGTGATCTCCATGGGAGAGGGCAACTGCATTTGTATTTGTGGCGGTGTTTCTATCACGGTTCAGTATCATATATGAGATGTGGACATAATGGGACCCACTGTCACGTGTGGCTCGGAACAAACGACGATCAATGGATTCGAGAAAGCGGAATGGGATCTCAGTGGGCTGAGTGCTTCCACGGTACGTACGTAGAATGTCGATGACTTGATCCCATGCTTTATAGAATACTGCGGGGCTGAGGTCATCCTTAAGGTGGCAACATTTGGCCGCAATTAAAACACTGATCATACTATAGATATCTGGGTTGCAGGTCAACTTGGCGTCCTATGATAGGAGAAACGTACTCACAAGTAAGACCCCACGTTGAGCCTTTAAACAACGAAGGCGATGATGCTTCAAAATTCGTGCACGCATGCACGAAGTTTATCGTCTCGACGGCAACATTCACACACGCGTCGGCATGATGGACCATTATCATGTGCCAGAAAGATCCAGGAAACCGCTCAATTGGTGAATTCAATGACGTTGACTGTCCCTGGCCCAAAGACTCTAACAGGAATGACAGGCAAGGCCTATAGAGGAGCACAAGGGCGTATTGATACCTTTTTACATGTTAGCTACGTCCTAGTGCTACGCACCTAGAAGACCTCAACGTACCGGAGATAGAGAACAATCGCTTGACGATCAACAGACATCCAGTTACGGTCGTCAACTGAATCATATCCGTTACTTCTAGCTCTCAACTCTTCTGGGAGACTGCCACGCCAGTCTAATAACGTGGACTCCAGCTTCTTCATGATGGTGAAATCGCCTTTTTCCATGGCGACACTGATGTTAGAGCACCGATTCCCGACAGTATTGTATAGTTCCCCATTTATTGACTCGAGCACTCGTAGCAATTGTATTCCGTAGACGAAAAACGCTGTTGTCGGAAACGTTCCAGGCTCTTGTGCCAAAATCTTGTCTCGCAAGATCATCTCATCATCGACAGCTAGCGGTAAGTCCGTATTGTACTGATGACTCGAGATCGAACAGGGTTGGCCAAAGTGGATGGATAAACTCCTAAGGTGAACCGTCAGTACCTTGACCAGGCCACTGGATTGCAACGGTCACTTACAAGTCAAAATAGACGCAGCCCCACCAAACTCGCTTCGTAACTTCACGGACGACATGGCCCATCACCTGCGTCGAATTCTGGTGCAAGCCCAAGGACTGACAAACACGTATGGCTAGTGATATATAGGTCAAGGACGCATGAAGGTGGCCTCTTTGGTGGAGACACCTCTCCATGGAGTATTGGGTCATCAGAAGTAGGTTCTGAGCCAGTTCTAGCGACGGGGTCTCGAGTTGTTCTATGCTGATGGCCCTCTTTGCTTTCAGAAAAAACGTTTCGGATATGTGTAGTGCGTTATCTACAGGCAAATTGTCACAATATAGGGCTCCTAGGGCAAACACAAGATTAACCATGCACGCGCACAAATTGTCGTTGCCCGTATCGGGATCAGCAACACCATTGATGAGTGCCTCGGCTCGTTGTTTCCCTTGCCAAGTTGGTCTGTGCAGGTAAGGATGAAGGCAATGAACGCGAGTGAAGTATACATCCAACAGTTGTTTCATTAGGCTTGGGGATACTTCAGGCCCGGCGCCGATGCACCGAGTCAACGTCGACGGATGTTTAGTGCGTTGTTCCTCGAAGTTCGCGTTAAAGTAGCCGGAGATGGAGCTTGGGCTCTCATCTTCGTCCTGGCCCGACATGGAGAGATCTGCCACGGCTGGTAAGTTCTGGACCTGAGCCATGAAATTGATGGTTGAAGATGACCCGAAACTACGACGATGACGGACTTGGGCACGCTCGAAGGCGGACAGCTCGTCAATGTATGCAGGAGTATCCCTTGATCCACCATCCTGGCTAATTGGGTTGATGGAGTCTGCGGCATCGCGAATATCATGAAGACCATCACGGTCAGTATCAATGTGATTGTCGTTCTGGCTGTCATTATGACTGTCATTATGGCTGTCATCGTGACTACCCTTGTATATGGAGGCATTGGAACTGTTGGCCAACAAGGCAACGCTGTCGTCCTGGGGCGTATGACCGACCCCGTCCTCTTGCTGGGACTGCTGGGAGTGTCGCGACTGTAACAAGTTTTCTTCAAGCTGGTCAATGTAACTGCCCATCATCAGCGAGTTCCTGCCTGGTCTGCGGAGTCGAAGCCCTACCCGAAAATATCCCTCTTCTTCTCGGTCTCGGTAGACCGTACGTACGAGCAAGTATATCTGCGACCGCGGGCTTGGCAGGTTCCGCAGACAGGTTTGCCGCCGTCACATTTGACTTTCCGATATCGACATTCATGACAAGCCAGCGAGGCGCGGGTGCGTGGCGTTTTCTTCTTGGGCCCGCCGCGACTGATCGTATCCGCCGTTGAGAGCATAGAGCCCGTCTGCGGCTGTACGTTGCGCCCAGGGGCTTGTCGCGGAGAGGGTGGTCTATAATCAGAGAGGGACTCGTGGCCCTCGTCCATTGACGACCATGATCGCTTGTTGCCGGTAGTCGTCGTTGCCTTACTGCCAGCAGTTGTTTGAAGTTGGGTCAAGAGCTTCTGGAGTAGCTGGGCACACACCAAGGAGTCAGTGGACAAGGCGGTCTCCATGTGGCTCGTAGTAGATTGTGACATGATGGAGCATGTAATATAGTATATATCGTGTAGTGTATTCGAGTAAAGTCTATTCCGACCAAAACCGTGGGTGATGGGGGGTAGATAGTAGAAAGGTGCAGATGGAGAGAGAGCTGCTTCCGATCTCCGGGGCTAGAGCCTCTAGCAGGGTGCGGGGTACGGGATACAGGGACACAAATGCGGGGGGGGCGGCTTGGCACTGCGGGGGATGCTTAGCGCTTGAAGGTGTCCTTCCTTTTCCTTTCCGGCACTGGCACAGCGAATGGTACAGCGGATAAGTATTGTACAAATTCCGAATTAGTGCTTACTCGGTCTATTCCTATTTAGGCAGTCTTCCAAGTAAACAAAGCCCTAATAGGCTTAGAGCCTACGCTGGGGCCCTGTAAGCACTGTCCTAATAGGCTTAACGGACACACTGAAACCTCTGTTCATTCAGAACTTGTATAATACTTCACCGCTATACCTCCGTCAACCTCCCGACTCAAGTCGGTTTAGTGAAAAGGTGCTGACATAGAGTATACCGCATCCTCAAGATATGGCGGTGTGTTGTATGGTTCACGTAGGCATTATCGTATTAAGTGTAGTCAAGGAGGGCAGTTCAAAGGAAAGGTGTCTATTCTTCTTATCTGTTGGATGCCTTCAATGGAAGGACTTTATGACTCAGCTTCCCCATTACATTAGTTCTTCCAAGTTTCAGTACTTCGGTCCGGTAAAATGAGTAATCCGACATCCATCATCTCCATCACAAGGGGCCACCTACGCCGGCCCTCCGAGGGTTCCGGCCATTGTGGCACGGATGACACGTGTCGCACTAGGCAGATGGTTCATGTTGGCATTTGTAATCGTGGATTGTATGTGGTGAATTTGTAATCGTGGATTGTATGTGGTTACGTGGCCTCTAGCTATAGATGCAGAGCTTTATGTGATCTGTTGACTAAGCAAGTTCACTTCTACTCGCACCTTACAATAGTTTAATGGAATATCTCGGCTGCCATAAGTACTGAACGTAACTACTATACAGATGAGAACGGAGGAGTAGAAAGCTAGAGACACGACGAATAGCGCTTTTTTGCTTGACTGTTCGTCTTCACTCTATGGTCCATTCGATCGCTGAGAAGTTATGATACGGACAGAAAAGATTGCGTAAAATATTTAAATCCTAAAGTTACTTATCTGATTGTGGTGTATTCACCCCTGTACTTAGTTTCCGAGAATCAAAGTAGCTTCCGTCTAATTAGGACGTGGCGTTGTGTCTTTTAGTGTGGTGGTAGTCCACTTCCTTTTCTCTGATGTCGGTTAAATGCTTAGGAAGAGATAAACAACACTTTGATGCAAAATGATATTGAGAGCGTCGAGACCTGTGAACTAAATACATATCAAAAGCCGCTGTAATCTGGTAGACACCGTCCCTATAACTCTTTCGTAAGCCCGGTGCCAGCGTGCCGTTCCCAGTTCCTCAACACGTCCACTCAAAGGAGAAGCTGATCATTCAATGTTGAAGTCAACAACTATACGCCTATAAGGATGTCAGCGCAAAGACCAGGGAGAGGATACGATTTTCTGAATGTACCCGGCAACTTCTCCTCTCTTCAACTTCTGCACCGACTCGTTGAACTTGGAAAGTCCTACGACGGTAGGGGTGAGTCGTAGCTTGCCTCTTTGAGCAAAGCCCAGGGCCTCATCGACCTCAGCCATACTACCCACAAAAGTGCCCCTTATAGATTGACCCCTGGAAACTATTTCAGTGGGATTGACGTCGATGTGGAACTTGCCAGCAGGCGGAAGCCCGATGCTAGATGACTATTAGATTTTGTCTAGATATATAATCATCAAACTTGACAGATACGTACCACATGAGTTGAGCACCAGCTCGGAGGCCGAGGTATTTCTGAGCTGTCGGATACGAAGGTGCAGCTATCGATTATTAGCTACCTGGCGTATCTGATCTTGTCTCTTCCCTTACCAGTGCAGAAGACAGCATGAGCACCACCATCGGTTAGACTGAGCACTTCAGCAATAGGATCTTTACTCTCTTTGAAGTCAACGAAGTGCTCCGCACCCATTTCCATGGAAAGCCTCCGCTTTTCGTCTCCGGTGTCTACCACCAATGGTCGTAGCCCCATAGCAACGGCAAGCTGCACACCTTGGATTCCAACACCTCCTCCACCACCGGGAAAGACAGCCCACTGGCCCCAACTTAGATTCGCAGCTTTAATCGAAGCATATACGGTCGAAGCTGAGCACATGGCGGGCCCGGCTACGTAGTCCGAGACACCATCAGGAATCAACGTCGTGTAGTTTTCTGGCGATGTGACATACTGCTTATATGAGCCTGCAAGCGGTCATTGGTTAACTTATTATACCACATCTCTTCGAAGGGTGATTCTGTACCGTCACAGTGGAGTCCAGTAAGTCTAGCCCCAAAACAGTAAGTTTCTCTGCCTGAACGGCATAGTTCACATGCCCCACATGTACTCTCGATCGGCTTCAAACCTGCTCGCTGACCAACCTTCAGCCTCTTGACGTTCGAGCCGACCTTAACAATGACTCCGGCGCCCTCGTGACCAGCACACTGAACACCCATTGCAGACATTTTGGGAACTGCCCAGCTGTTCATCATCCAGTGGATGTCGGTAGAGCATAGCCCCGTTGCATTCAACTTGATAAGGCATTCATTCTGACCTATGAATCAACGTGAACGTGAGTAACAACCCCGGCAAATGCGTGCTGGTGCATTTGGGTAGCGGCGGTCGGACTTACCAATCTCAGGTACGTCAACATCTCTAACTTCAACCTGAAAGTCGGGACCTTCATTGACCACGACGCCAGCTTTACATTTCTTGGGGATGTCAAAGGACAGGGTTGGGGTTGGGGCTTCTGTTTTCTGGCTCGACATGGTGACAGTTGTATACACAATGGAATAGAAGAAGGATGGCTATTTAGACACGACCTTAGATATGTACAAATGAGATGTACAAATGAGATGTCACAGCAGTAAACACATGCAATTCCGGCAGTTGCTCAGAAGCTAGAGTGGAAGCGTAGAACGCAGAGCGGGTTGAGCCGGGTCAACCCGTCGAGAATGCTTCTATTATTGCCCTGCCTGCCGAACCGAACCGAACCGAACGGATTAACCTTACTCTCACGGTGTATAGTCTCCGACAAATGATTTTGTAGAATCCGTGCAGATTCTAGGTAAAGATGTGCCGAATAGAACGTACGCAGCATGCTTCTGCGGGAGGGAAGGTTTATCTCCTTTTGCGGGGAAGGCTCGAGGCTGGCGAACAATCCTTTGGTGTTTGAATCAGCCAGGCTAGATTTTAAGGCAGTTTTAGGATACTAGAAATGTTTTTGGGGCGGCATCGTCCGTGCATTTTAACTTTGTAACTTTCAAAGCGTAGACTTATTCCTCCAAGGAGTATTGTAATAACTACGTAGGGTCACGTTACTTTATGCTTTAGGATACCCCTCTGTTCTCATGCTATAAAAGCAGGAACTATTTATAGGAATCGAGTTAATTTTAGGCCCATATTTTTACAGAAAGTGTTGCTTTATTTTTATAAAAACTGCGAATCCGAACAGGGCTCAACATTATGGTAATAGCCAAGTATAACATTGAGATTATTACAACAAATAAGTGAAAATGTTATTTCCTAACAAGTGGCCGACTATTCATTATCTTAAACAGACATGTAGAAAGCCAGATCTTCTTCAGCTTTGGTTTCCCTTTCTACAAGCCCATTCCCCATAAAACGGAATGAATTCGCAGAGTTGTATCGAATCTCAAAATCCTCGCCTCGAATATTATCCAAAAGAGCTGGAGCCAAAGAAATAGGATGTCAGTCCGATAAAAATCTAGAAAGAACTGTTTTGTAGAGAAAAACTTACCTTTGTAGTGGAGGCCGCTGCCGGCATACATTGCGGTTGGTTTGCCCTCTGTCTTTCCATTTTTGTACCAGCTTCGGCAGCCACTAGTCCATACCATGCGTTTGAGAAACTCCTGAGAATACAAATTGTAGTCATTTACAGCACAGCCTGTAGGTACAACCGACCTGATATGATGTTAGATTAGCAACACAGTAGATTCTTTGCATTGGACAATACCTGATATCTTCCTGAGCAATCTTCTGTGCCCATTTGAGAATGTAATCGGTCGTCCAGGACATTATGGTGAGAAGAGATCCATGTGCAATTGGGCAATTGGGTCCATTGAAGATAAAATAATTGGGCATATGCGGCGCACAAACCGAAAGGTACGCCTGGGGATCATGCTTCCAGTCATCTTCCTGGTGCTTACCATCCCGGCCGATGAGCTTGAAAGATGGAACAAAGCTCACATCGAAACCTGTCGCTGTTATAATCAGATCAAACTCCTCCTCGCCATCTTCAGTAAGTATCCCTTTTTCGGTAATCTTGATGATCGGATTGAAGTTATAGCTTGCATTCGAGGATAATAGAGCAGGGATATATCCGTCTCCTGGCGTCAATCGACGGCATCCAATTTGCCAGTCGGGTATGAACTTGGCAGCTAGCTCTGCGTCATTGTTGAGACTTTTCAACATTCGCTTCATCGAAGTATCCTGCAAGGCTTTCTGCTGAGGCGAGTCTTTGTACATGCCATGAAAGAAGCCGTTTGTACTAGACACTGTTTAGTAAGTCAATTAAGAAGTCTCATGTGTTCTAACACTCACACTGCCTCCATTTTCTTTCTCATCTCAAATAATTCCTCTGGGTGTGTCACAAAACGTCGTTTCTGCTCCTCAGTGTAATCGAAGTTTGTTCCCTCAGGGGTGAAACCTTCACAATAGTTCACCGATATCCAGGTCGGGGACCTAAAGTAATTAACCAAATGACTTGCAATCGGCTGCAACGTTGGAACAATCTGAATTGCTGATGAACCGTTTCCAATCACAGCAATTCGTTTTCCAGCGCAGTCGTATGTAGGATCCCTTGTCATTCTTAGTCATGAAAGCTTCATTCCCATGTCGTGGTGCTCTTACCATTTGGCGCTGTGTAAGAGTTTGCCCTTGAAATCAAAGAGCCCTTTGATTTTTGGCCATTGCCATTTGCTATTTCACTGGTCAGCATCCGCACGGAGTCTATCGGAGCCAACTTTACTTCAGAATGCCCGAACCATTGATAAGAATATCAGCCTCGTCTTCGATGATGCCGTTCGTAGATTCCACTTTGATCTTCCATTTTGCTAAACCCTCGTCCCAGATTGCTTCGAGGACTTTGGATCGTAGCTGGACTTTTTCATCCAGATTATACTTATCCACGGTTCGCTTCATGTATTGCAGAATCTCGGCCCCTCCAACGTAAAACTTTGACCAATTTGGATTTGGTTCGAAGGGAAAGGTATAAATATCTGAAGCATTTCAATGAAAAGGTGTTCAGCTAAGAAGGCAGGCGAATAACTTACGAGCAGGAACATCACTACATGATAATTGTTTGTGGTTAGCTAGTGTCCTTCATTGTGGGACCCACATACTGACCAAGCAACCCCTGGATAGACGTTCTCCAGCCAGGTACCCCCCACATCATGGTTCTTCTCGTAAATCGTAAGGTCCAAAAAGTCATCTAGCTTTTGTTCCCACTTTATCTTGTGCGCAAGCATTAGCCCGGAATAACCAGCTCCTATGCAAACCACACGAAGTTTCCGTGGCGTAAACAAAGGGTTTTCCAATACAGGCACCCAATTAGACGCATCATGCCCTCCGTCGATATCATTTGCCAGATTAGTATCCGATGATATGAAGCCGTTGGTGGTAGACATCGCTAGTGGTGGGATGTTAAACAGTATCGTCGTGATTTGTTGAATACTACTTATTTAGTGGACGAAAATTCAGGAGACAACGAGATATCCTTCAAGTCAAATTAAACAACTTCACCAGGAGACAATTTGGTGACCTTCACTAAACTCGGAAATAGGACCCATTGCGTCATTAGATCATGCTAGGTTTGCAGCTCGGGATTAGGACGTATACTCAGATGTTGTATCTCCGCTGGGTAAGAATACCTCGGGCTCGGCGCGGGACGGAGAAGCACAAGATCAATACCCTCTCTATCGTCGCACTGTATCTCAGTACTTTCAGGTTGTGCATTTATTTGGGCCTGGTCTTTCAAGTTACACGACTTGTGACATGAGCTTAACTCATAAAACACAAGATAGATTTAAAAGTTGCCACTGCAATGACGACTACAGAAGCGCCTGAATGGAGGGAGGTAAGCTGAAAGTCCTCCAAGTTATACAAGTTAACCGAAGGATTCATTTATTATATGGAAGATAGACCAGATCTGCTAACGTATACTGTGTATTTTACCCGTAGACAGTAGACACTCTCCTCGGTGGTGAAAGGCATGGGTTTACCGGAGACGAACATGACATGCGAACGCAATTTAATGGCCTCCAAAAGCTGTTCAAATCTCTTGAGCCCACACATTTGGATGAAAAAGTGGACGTCAAAGAACAGAACTTTCCTGCCTCTGATGGTGTGGAGATACGGGTTTTGGTATTCCTTCCAAAGACATCAGGACTGCGAAAGCTGGGGGTACAGTAAGTTGCTCTGATAAGTTCATCATGATAAACAATAGCCTTGTCCAGCCACTTAATGCTCTCACAGTTATCATGGCGGTGGATGGGTTATGGGCAATCCAGAAGGAGAGTCGTGTAAGTGAAATTCCGGATCAATCATTCTAGAACGCGGCTAACCAGTTTCGTAGACGTTTGTAAAAGCCTGGCTGTAGGCCTTTCCGCGGTCATTGTGAGCGTTGATTATCGTCTGGCACCTGAAAACAAGTATCCAGTACCAATGAACGATGCTTATGAAGCCGCTATCTGGGTAAGACAATCATTGCTGCTGTATCTGTCTTCGTGTATTGCTCTCCTACTGATATTTCAACTAGGCACAGGATCATGCCGCAGACTGGCAAGCGGATTCTTCAAACATGTTTTTGTCCGGAAATAGCGCTGGCTCCAATCTTGCAGCCGCTGTATCAATTAGAAATCGTGACGAAGGAAACATGACTATTAAAGCAACATTGCTCACGGTCCCTTGCGTCTTGCACCCCCGAGATATGCTTGATCAATTTTCTCAACATTTGACAAGTTATGAGAGAAATAAAGATGCACCGGTTCTCACTGCCAAAGTTATGACTTCATTTTGGAATAAGTGACCGCGGCATTCAAGAAAACCGAAGTGCTCCAGGCTGACCTTAGTGGTAGCACACCTCTACAATCCACCGCCACATCCATACGCGTCTCCGCTACTACTCAAAAGTTTCAAAGATCTACCACCAGCTTTCTTCATCCTGAGCGGACTGGACCCACTTCATGATGAAGGAGCTTTGTACGCTAAATTACTCGAGCGAGACGGGTGAGTTTTCATATCCATGCCTCGGGACATTGTTGACAACAAACCCAAACTCAAAGGGTACCTACGAAGACTGTCGATTTCGAGGGGTTTCCACATTCGTTTTTCTTGTTCCTAAATATGGCCACTTCACAGAAGGCTATAGAAAATATGGTAGATGGGGTGAAATGGGCATTCGAGCAGAAATGTGCATAGCGGACCGGTGGCTTTTCGTTGTTCATCAGTCACCTTGGACCCACCTCATCCTGGAAGACAGATTGTTTCCACTCAATATCAATGTAATTTATTGAAGGATGTAGCAGATTTTGTCAATAGGGCAGAAGGCGTCTGGCAGATCTCAGGGGGTTAAGAGCGTTAGCCTCCCGAATATTTATTAGCATAATTTGGCCTTCTTGAGCACTGGTCCCGTTGTGAAAGAAAGTTTGAGGAGCAAAGGCCCAATGGTTGAAGCGTATGAAAGTGGTAGAAATTCTTAAATGACGGTCTTCGAATTACTAACATCATGTAAAACATTCGTGAAGAGCAAGTGTGGTATATTGCCCTATTACTCACCCTTATCCAAATAGTCTAATACTGAGTTCAACTTAAATATCAGTGATCTTTATCAAGACACCTAGGGAAGCACTATGAAAACCACACTTCGGATGAGCAGAGGATGGTCACCAAATTCTGGTCCCAAAATGTAATCTCAAACTCAAAAATGGCGTCAAGTGACAGACTACATTCGGCTAAAATATATGGACCTCCTTGACCTCCACAGGGACCAAAATCTGGTCAGCTGGTTGGTGCTTATATGATCTTCAAAGCACTCGAATGTCATGTAGTCTTGAATTTGTCAAGTACGGATACCGTACTGCAGTCGGATAGTCCAGACAGAGCGCTGATATCGAAAGTTTTGCAATGAAAAGTGGGACGTGACTGTCTAAGGTAAAGACCAAACACCAGCTGTCCATAAAATATTCTTCCTGAGATAACACAACTGTGTCAGCGAAGGATAAGATACCCAGTCAATGTGTCAACTGAGCTTACCATAATTATAGGATAGCTTTGTCGAAACTTCCAGGAAGCAATTGATTGGGTTCTAGCCAGAGACACACCCACGAATACCTATACTACCGACAATAGATAATTGTAGCTTTTTATAGGAATTCTAGTGTAATTCCACAGGCATATGGATATATCCCGTTAACCCATATACGATGCTCTCGAACAGGCTTTTGAGTTCGAGTCACCCGCAAAAGAGTGAGATCGAGGAATCAGAGTAGGAGCTCGAAGGTTTATTAAAGAAGCGGACTTTGTCGCTCGGAGAACTTGAAGGAGAGATACGATAGGTAATCTACCGCTACACCAAGACACACACAACCTCTGTCCCAATTGGACGGAAACTGCTTAATTCTTCTGCACCATATACACACAGCAACTATAAGTGTAGCTACAGCACAAGGAGTCAAACGAAACGAGACTGTTATTTGGAGAACGTAATCAATATTGTGGGATTACTACTATCTCCCGTCACCCAATTTGGGAATGGATTGCGGGGAAATGAGATAAATTGCGGAGAAATGCAAGAGGACCAACTAGTCCCCAACGGACCTGAAAATAGGGGCGTTAGTATGCTGCTAAACCAATTGAGCAGCACGTATTTTGCGGGGTTGTGTCCCAAATTCCTAATTCCCCGGAATTGCAAAATACTTGGCAAAATGTTCTTACCGAATAAGGTTACTTCGCGAAATGGTATCTGAAAGCCGGGTGAGTTCAAGATATATTGTACCTATCAGGGACTTAAATCGCCTCGGCTGCCATGATACAACCACCGCCATAACCCAGTCGCGGGACGGTCTTGCAGACGTGGTATAACACCGAGTCTAGGACTCTGTGGACCGCCATCAATCAATCATCCGTATTGTCTCGGTTGTCTCGGTTGTCAGTAATGTGTGCGGGGTGCGAGTGCGGAATTCTCTCGTGGGGCATGGAGAATGGAAAGGCGGTACCTAGGCATCTCATGATTATGCTGATCATGAAATCCGTGTCCTTTCACCGCGGAATTCTATGCACTGCTATTCTGACAAGGCTGCGATGACAGCCGGGAAGAAATGGATTTGTGATGGGTCACCATCATAGGGTTCATAACCTACCTTCAATTTAGCTAGCATTTGATAAGCTTTCCATCAACTACGACTCTGCTTCCATAATGGCTGAAACTGCATCTTACTCAGCAGTTGTTACTGGTGGCGCATCCGGCATAGGTGAAGCAGTCTGTGCTAAACTCGCAAGTCGTGGTATCAACATCCTGATCGCCGATATCCAGGAGGCTCAGGGGCAAGCTTTGGCTACCCAACTCTCATCGACATTCTCGGTTCAGGCCAAGTATCTCCGAGTAGATATCACAAAGGAAGATGATGTCAAGGTGATGGTAGAGACTGTTGTAAAATTATGGGGTCGATTGGATTATGCTGCTAATTGTGCTGGGATATGTGAGAGCACATGGGCAGAGGAGAGGAGTGTTACAACGGACGTTGTAGATAGGTAGGTGCACGATATCGCTTTCTGTGCTTGAGACATAGGCTCACCTAAGTATTTGATGTCAGGACCTTTGCGATAAATCAGCGCGGCTTATGGCTGTGTCAGAAACACGAAGCGCAACAGATGGAGTCCCAGGAACCACGTGCCGTCAAACTTGAACCTCCATCAAGGTTCCCAGTGCGAGGTCAGCGCGGAGCTATAGTAAATGTCGCATCGATATCCGCTCTGAATGGTATGGGTCTTGCGGCATATACTCCCACTAAATTCGCGGTTATCGGCATCACGAAGAACGGAGCGAAGTTCTACGGACCTAACGGTGTTCGTTGCAATGCAATTTGCCCGGGCTGGACTCTCACACCGATGCTAGAGATCTCTATGGGGGAAGAAGGGTATGAAGGAAGTAAAGCGAGCGAAGAAAGTGCGGTGTGTTCCAACATATCTCTTGGTAGGTTTGCCTTCTCGCAGGAACAGGCGAATGTCGTCAGTTTCCTGCTCAGCAATGAGAGCAGTTATGTGAATGGAGCTCATATCGTCGTTGATGGAGGGTTCAATGCTATTCGTTGAAGAGATCGTTAAAATTGCAAAACCATTAAGGAGTATGCTTATCTGTTAGCTAATAAACTCCTTATATTGCCTCGATCGATGTTTGCTATATGTTCCATGAAACACTACCCGCACTTGAAGACGGATGAGACACACGCTAGATCAGTAGAAGGGTTATATGGACTATGAGCCTCCTTGAAAGTTAAGATATGATATCACATTGAACCTTTAACTTGTTCTGCATGAGGGAAGGGACGAATTTTGAGAGACAAGGTCAGGTGCGAACTATCGTTCCCAAGTGCCGTAATCGGCTTGAGCGCTCGGAGATCCGTATAGCAGTACAGTAGCGGGGACGCAAATGAGTGGGGTGATTACGTTCGGTGTAATATAAAACTAAGTAGGCCAGAGAAAACACCTACCGAATGGGACCTCCAGGACTTCCAACATTGCAATCTCGTCACAAACGACGACGCTCAGAACAAACATGCGCTCCCATCTGCATCTTATTGTAGCGCACCCTATAAAATTCTGTTTGTCCATTTACGAAACCCTCGCACTTCTAGTCCTCCTACTCGCCAATCGATTGCTTTTACCGTTTGCGTGTCGACCTTTATCCTTGCGGACAGAAATCGCTCGATGTTTCCTAGGCGGTTTCCTGAAGCACTTCTGGGATTTACTGTTTAAGGCCCCACCTGGCCTCCAAGAAAATGAGTATCGCAATTGTATAATCAGATCCGTTCCTACTGTTGTTGTACCGCGACATGCTCAACTCGATGCCGGAAGCCTAGATCGACAGCGGCAATCCTTGGTGTTACTCTACGCGCATGGTGGCGGATATTTGTTCGGCGAACCGCTTATGTATATATCGACTTATAAGAGGTGGATCGAAATAGCTGATTCACATGGCATCGACCTATCTGTTGTAGCAGTACAGTACCGTAGAAATCCCTTTCGTTCTGAAACTATTTTTATGGCGTGAGCTGACATGATTTGCACAGGCTTGTCCAACAAATACAAATTCCCAGCTTGTCGAGACGACTTCTTAGCTGTGTATAACGGATTGCTACATGACAACCAAATTCCGCCACAGAGAATTATCTTTGGCGGAGATTCGGCAGGAGGTTCGTAACACCAGTTCCTCTGTACTTCTAATCTAACAATTTGCTATTACAAGGGGGTTTGGCCACAATGTCCTTGCTTCATACTCGCCGGAGTGATGAACCTCTACCTGCAGGCATTCTCTTGGTATCGCCTTGGCTGGATCTCACATTGACACACACGCAATACTCGCCGGCAATGACAACGGACTTTCTGATCACCTTCAGCAAGGATAATCCTTGGCTAGTGGAGCAACTTTTACCATCAGATATAAAACCCTCTGATCCTCAGGTCTCTCCCGTATTTGACGACCTGACGGGATTACCCCCGCAACTTGTCTTTGCTGGCACGGCTGAAGTTCTGGCGCCGGATGCAAGGGAATGGGTGAAGAAAAGCCGAGAAGCTGGCAACAGTGTGGAATACATCTTTAAGAAAGGCCAGATGCATACGTAAGTGCACAAGCACATGTACTCTCCTCTCCCCCGCAAGAAAAGAAAATCATATAAGCTGGCAGTTGTAATGGGTTGTGCCATTTCTGTACTAATCATTTTCGCCCAGATATGCTATGGGTTGGCCAATTGCATCCAAGAATATCGAGCAAGAAACGGATCGACAAGTAATTCAGTTCTTTCTCAAAGTCATCATGCTTCATAAAGCTCCGTATCCAACTAGACAAACCTGAGTATGGACACTGAGATATGATCCAACAAAAAGAGATTATGGTCTATTTTTAGGATTATTACATTCGCCTCGTAGTGTAATGCACAGTTATTCATTTCAATCTCTTACTACGTGCGATAGAAAACAAGTTGAATGATATCCACGGATAATTTCATGTCACTTATGAAGCGATTATGTCAAACCATCAAACTAATAAGTACATTCATAATAGACCTCCTCCTTCAATAGATAAATTTAGTCTCTACACTAGCGTTTAGATTGTACCTCCTTGGCCCGAAAAGCGGTCGTCCGCAGTACTTATTCTATGATTATGCCTAACGATTTCAAGGATTAAAATTCACGTTAACGAACAAACTTCCAGGGCTCATAGGACCAACCACAGCCTTAACAACAGGAGTAGAAATGGTCAGCCATCCGTGATACCCAACGAGGATTCAGAAGTCTTCTGCTAGGGCACCGAAAAGGTTTTTTGATTCGACGTCCTTGTTGATGGATTGGAGTGCGTATTTTGCCACTCATGCCGTAAAGAGGTTATGATCTCGAGGCCCCTAGAACTGCTATTGAATGTTTGTCCCATCTCTCCCAGAGCTTGAACGCACGTAAAGAGGTATTCCTGGGCGCTTTTCCTTTCCTTTCCAGTAGCGAAGCAGGAATTGTATACATGACTTAGACCAGCTGTCATTACCACATGGACCATTTGGATATGAATCCGTCTCAGACCATATTGTCGTCGGTACATGATTACAAGTCGACAGATCTCGGACGCTGCTTCTGTGCATGTTTCTCGAGCATTGGTAGGTACAGTACTACATGTCGATGCACAGGGTGGACCTATTCCCTGAAACACGAAAGGACGATGAAGCAGAATGACAGCCTCATAATACTGCAGGCTAGCAGAAAGTAAGCATATATGTTGACAAAACGTAACCGGCCGGCAGACTATGGTGAACAGTGGAATTTAGGAGCGGGTAAAAAGAAAACATACTGGAGTTCAATTATCGCTGGCAGAACTATCTTGGTCCCTATCGAGTTTGTATCAACTTGCAAAGTGGTCGGTAGAAAGTATTTCCAGTCTTGAAGTTCTTTGGCCATACTATGGAGAAAGGAGTAGGCGTTCTCAAGAGGTGCTGGTACTCCAGTATAACTATAGCAATTAGATAGTTCCAATAAAAGCTACTGCCGTATCAATGACTTACAGAGTAGATGAAATGTCTCCGATCTTAGTTGCTAGCTGCGAGAGATATATATGGACGTGACCCCCAGCACTTAAATTTGTGTCTGGCGGGAAGAGCATCTGTTGCCCATCGCCCACGTAGTACTCCCATTTATTATCATCAGTGATTGTTAGAGGGGATATATTGTGTTGCATATCTTTTGACAGAGAAGGCCTTCCGCTGTAGGACGCCCATAGTCTGCATCATTTGTCAATGCCCATCCATCACAATAAGTAAAATGAGATGAAAAACTTTAAAGGGGGACCTTCAAGATGATCCCGAGAAAGGATAAGCTCTAGGAGCGGAAAGTGGTAAAAGGGCGTCTTACTTGTCTAGAGAGTGTACTGCCCAAAAAAGGGTTTTGCGTAGGTTACTAATATCACTTTCTGTATCCGTGATTGAATGTTCTTGATCAAGGTTGAGATGTAAACCAAGATCCGGAAGTAATTGAAGTGCCATGCCTGTTAATAGTTATTGAGCTGATTTGAACCCCGACTCGACTTATAAAACGAACCATTGTATAGCCAACCTACATAAATGGGGTCTGTTAGTCTAGGGAATGCCAAGTTGAAGCAAAGATTCCAGACATGAAAATGAACTTACCTCGAGAGTCTCGCGCATTAGCAGCTTCATGCGCCGAAAGTGCCACTAAGGCTTGTATTGTCGCCAAGGTTGGACTATCCATTTCAATATCGAGAAGTGTTTTCGCGCGAGAAGCAAAAAATTCGGATGCGTCTCCGGGCAGATCGGGATGCGTGCGAGACGTATAAGCAGCACCGACCGCGAAGCTTTAGAGCAATATATAGTTAGCTCGGCTACCTAACCTTGGAAGAGACGACTTGGATGATATTCGACATACATTGCATTAGCTAGTGTCAGCGAATACATTGGTGTTGATTCTCCAATCTCATAACGACCCTTCTCACGCAGAAAGATGGTCTTGTCCACAGAGTTCATGAACGGATTGTGCCAGGCGAAAAACAGATTGATGAGATGTGTCTCGTATGCTTCGTCCCCACGCCAGTAGAGCCCCGTCTGCGCTATTGCAAGTTCGCCATTCTCCCGTACTGATCGTAAACTAGGCTGGAAGAGCGAGAGTGGCGCGTTTTGTATAAAGTGGAGGTTGCTGGTTGCCCCATAATAGCGTAATTGCCCGTCCTCCGCAAGTCGTAGGAGTCCAAGTCGGCTTGAGAGACGTCTTGTAACCTCATCCTGTGGCTCACCATTACCAATATAGCAATCAGGTTCCGTATCATGGTCCCTGGAAGAGTCGAGTGATGAGGGTGGAGGAAGTATTAGACCTGACGTAGTGGCCTGTAGCCCAGGGAAATCTGGCGAATGAGAGTCTCTTCGATTTGTGAACAGCAATTCGTCAAACAATTCGTCAAAAACTTCGTCGTTGGGGGATTCTGAATCTTCTAGCAATTCCGGCGTGGTGGTTGAAATATTTCCAGCCGACATTGCAGCGAATCCAGGTCCTTCCATCCAGTACTGAAAATCAGAATCTACTAAGGGCGCATCTTTGTCAATTGGGGTGTACGTGGTGTCGAATGGTGGCGCATTCACATCTTGAGCTTGCCATTCCATGCTATGGTTAAGATTATCCGAAGTTGGATCTCGTAGTGCTTGCCCGGGGGAGGTGAGCGCTGGATTCAACAAAATGATGTCCGGATGCTCGGGGACTTCTTCAAAGCGGCTCTCCAACCTCGGTTTTCTTGCAGTATGGGCCTTCGATTTAGATGATGTCCTATTAACTCCACTCAGCCCAAAGTATTCATCAGATATCTATGTTGAATGAGTTAGACCGCTGACCTACCTGCGTTTATCCTCACCGAAGGCGCACTCAACACCATATAACCGGCAGTTGGAGCACTTGGGCCTGTCGTTGTCGCACTTCTCCATCAGCGTTGTCAGTAATCAACAAATGCGAAGATAAAATGGAATGAAGCGCTTGGTAGTTGCCAACTCACTTTGACTTTCCGTTTCCGGCATGCAATACAAGCAATAGAAATATATCTGCGCCCGGCCACGGCGATTTGCGATTCGCTAGCAGACATCTGGTGTTTCGAAAGATAGGATCTGTGGGATGCTGTGTTTTTTTTGGGACATCGTCGTGTTTCCGACTTTACTTTGAGGGCCAGAATGTAGGGGTGTAGTGGTAAGTGTTCCCTGGGGGAATCGTGCGGGGTGGGGGTGCGGGGTTGGGGCCAAGCGGCGCGCGCTCAATCCAATGATTTACAGTCTGTACCTAGGTACTCCCTCAGGCAGCATCGCTAGTGTGGCGAAGTATGTTGTTGGGACCTACAAGTCACAAATTACACGTTGATTCAGATATATTTTGAGAAATTATGCCTGTGATTTGCCTTCTCTGCTTTGAGTGGTCTAGGCGCCCCCACTTCATCTATGCTGCGAGAACTGACAACTTTTGATTGGTGACAAATCTACTACAAAAGGCAATATGCCCGTTCAAGCCCTTTCAAGCCCTGGCACTTCCGACCCGAAACCTTCGGTTTCCGATCGTCTATACCCGAGCCGTTCCGTGCCTTTCTACTGGATTTTACATTACTTAAATTTACAGTTAATATACGGGTCAGCTACTTTATGCTTTAAGATACCCCTTTATTTTAAAGTTCTAAAGGTAGGCACTTTTTGCAGAAATCAGAGTGTTTTAAGGTTCTTTTTGCAAAAAGCGATGTCTAAAAAAGGCCTTAAGTTTTTATATAGAATTCTATAGACGTTTATACCGCGGCCTATATATATGTACCTCAAGTAATAACAGAATTAAGTATCTAGTTTAATAAGTTAATTGAAACCGTCTTAAAAAAAGGAGACTTAGAATGCTTATTATATATATTTATTCCTTACAAATAAAGCTGGGGCTTTGTTTGAATTTGAAGAATAAATATTGTTTAAAAATATAATAAAGGCAAGTTCAAATCAGTACTATATACTAACCACTCTATATATTTTTATATGCCAGGAGACAGTGTAGAATCAAGCAGTGAAAATGTCTGATAACGAATTGGAGAAATCAGCACCGTCAAGGTCCATCCCTACCAACGAGGCCCCAAACCCAAACTCATCCAGAGGATTCTCTCCGAACCAGAAATCTCCCTCTAGAGACGTCTCCAAACCGACAGAATCCAACGCAGAGCTTTCTGGAACAAGACAGGTAGCGACCGGTTTCTCCGAGCAGACTGCAATGTCATGGCCGTTACTTTGGTGGAATGTTTCTTGTAGCCTCTCTGAATCTCGACCGCGAACTGGGCGATCTTGTCGACATTTAATTGCGCGCACGATCCCGGCAAAATCTTCAAAGATCTGCACAAGGCGCCTCATCGTTTTGTTGAGCCGTGCTTCATGTAGGATATCAAGCATGTCCTGAATCATGTGCTGCAACTCTTCCAGATCCTTGATGACCGGTCTCTCTCTCGGGTCCAGAAAGGTAAGCGATAGGACCAGCCCAAATTGGTAGGTGAAGATTCCATCCAACCACAAGTTTCCGTCAAATTCGTTCTTCTTCCAAAGAACACGTGTTAACTTCCAAGACTCGAAAGCTGCGTTGACGCAAACATCACTATATTTCGTGGTGCTATCCATCGCAGCTGGGTTGTGCTGCGAAGACTGGAGGAGATAGAGCGCTTTCAAATGAAATGGGCGCGACAGGAGAAGCCTAGCGTGCTGGTACCGTAGCTGCAGTGTGACGATCTGTCGGAAATGGTTTGGATAGATATGCTCTTGCCTTGTTTCGTCGAATTGTAGAAAAAGTGGGAGACTTTCATGCCAAACGTCAAGCTCTTTCAAGAGTCCGTCTACTGTGACCAAATCAGGTAAGCGACAGAACTCGTGGGCCGGGTCATGGCCCTGGTAGATCTGAGATTTGCGAATCTTGCCCACTATCCGTGCCAGAGCTACATCGTGCCGCAACAAATGTGGTGGTCGATGAAATCCTTCGTCCAGGAGTGACTCTGCTGGAAAATCGTCTACCATGTCTGTGTCGTCAATAGCGCTCGGACGTCCAAATAGCGCGCTGTTATACTGCTCAAAAATGTACAAGGACCACCATACGCGCTTTCGTAGCTCCCTATCAATAGACGCCATATGAACATCAGCTAGGAGAATCACACTTTCCCCCCGATGTAGACCTAGACTAATTGCCATGCGTATTGCACAGCCGCTCAAGATCCAACTGGCGTTTCTCTCATTGGCACAATTGAGGTATATCGAGAGTAGGGTAAATGCCTGAACGCTTTGGAGTGTGGCCGAGAGCATAAGCTCCGATACCTTGGAGAGAGAGAAATTGAGAAGTTTCCGTTGGAGCTTACAAATGTCCTGCCACTCCAAGCTGGATTTGTCATTGGCAGAGGAAAGTCGGCTTTCACATCCAAAGATGACGATGACGCAGAAACAAACAATCCAGCCAATATCATCACATTCGCGTCCGCTATTTGACCATAATTCCTCCAAGATTGCCTGGAAGGTAGGACGATGGAAAAGGAGAATGTTTGGGTGGACATGAATAAAGAATCGCTCGACAAATTCTTCTGTCTCTTCCTTTGAAGGCAGCTGATCCAACAATCCGGCTAGGGAACTAAGCGGTTCTTTAGATGAATCAACGCCCATGCCATCGATCTCCGGCCTAGGACGCCCGGGCGCTCGTAGGTCAGCGGTGACAACGGGACTCTCGTCATTGTCGTTGGCTGATCGACTTTCTCTTTCCATGGTGCGACTATACTTGTCGGCAATAAACTCATCGCAGAGCTTTCGCTCTTTCCCTTGCAATGACTCAGAGTGTCGGCTCCCTTTGTGGGCCAATAATTCGCGCAGTTTGGCCACAAACGCCATAGAACTCGAAGATCCGAAGTACGAGAGAGTGCCCGAGGAATTCTGCAGCATATGTTCATGGCAACTAATAGAGGTAGCTGGCGGTGAAAATATCTCAGAGGCCAGAGGCTGGTGCAACTCCTGCTCTGACCAAGATTGGGAATCGGGAGGGCTTGGGGAAGGAGGTGGAGCGAATGGAAAGCCTCGAGGTCTCGAATTCGCTGATTGCCTCGTATTTTCACAATCAATCTTCACGTCATAGCATTCTACGTACTGGGATAGTTTGATGAGCTCGGTCGTATCCTCAACTGCAACGTGTGGAAAGAGCCTCGATATCAAGGTTTCCATGACGCGGTACCTTGGGTGAAGATTTTCTGTCGAGTTGTAGCTGCGGCTTTTACGAGGGACCGTCAAGATGCAGTTGATATGGTTCTCTCTGCACAGTTCGCAGTGACCTTGCGCCGATAGTCGTACGCATTTTCTGCGTCGCGCTTTGCAGAAATCGCAGCTGAAAGCCGCTCTCTTGCGCAAATCCGATGGGACACGACGCCGCAACCCATCCCGAGTTTTGCGCGGAACCTCACGCTCGAGACTCATGTTTGATGGTTTTTATAGGTGAAAGGGTTTGCATTCGGCGTAAATTGTAAAGGACTCAAGTTGAAGACCACAGGAGGACAGGACAGGACAGGGTAACATACTCGTAAGGGGTAAGCGAAATCTGGAGAAGCGGGGCCGGCCCCACTTCTCGCTTGGCGCGCCTCCTTTCTTTGGTCACGGATATGCGGAGTGCGGCAATTTCGGATGGGTTCGGAAATGGCAGTCAGTTGCACGTACAAAGTACCTGTAATGCTTTCAATACGGCATGGTGATGTATCCGGTCCGGTCCCAAGAATCCCGGACCAGACTTGATTGGAAACTAAGAAGTACTATATATATACATGTGCACGTACCTTCGTACATGTACAGGACCGGTGTGCAACATACAGTAACCTTGACCTTCCTAGTCCCCCAATAGCTTCAAGATCCGTTGGAGGTCTGATGGCAGATACATGCATGTCTACGGGCAACAGTAGCAATGAGTGTGCTTCAAAGGTGGGGTCTCAATGTCTTTGTTCGATTTCGAAGCTCCGTATCCTTGATGTTGCCCAGATACACCCTCGCTTCATCTGCTGGCATCGGAGGTAGTGCTGGAATCTGCAGTTCGTCTTCAGTGAGCATCCTCTGCGCATCGTGACCAAAAAGCCAATCCCGCCGCTCCGAGCATGCCCAGAACATGGGATTATCTTGGTTGTCGTGCCGCATCAATTCATCGCGGCGATCCCTTTCCGGACCATCGTAAAGATGCAGCCATTCCTGTAACACGCGTGTGTTCTTGGCCACGTACGCTGCTCTAGGTAGCCGCTGCCTCTCATATGCTTGCAAAGCTTCGGGGAGATTGGAATGTGCCCGAAGTGCTGCTTGTAATGTCGCGGCGTCTTCGGTCGCCTGGGCAGCTCCTTGTGCCATGTACGGCATCATGGGATGGCAGGCATCGCCCAACACGGCCACCTTTCCGCTCGGATGCACCCACCGCTGTAACTGATCGAAATCCGCCAGCCTCCACTTGAGATAGGTGCCGGTCAGGCCGCAAATCTTCCGGACCGGCTCGCACCAGTCTACAAATCGCTTTACCAATTCGCTGTTGTCGGCTTGGGACCGCCATTCGTCCTGTCCGACCGGGCGCCCGACGTCGGTAGCATGAGTGATATCGATAATGATATTGTAGAGCTCTCCACCGCGCAGAGGATAGCCGACGGCATGAGCCTCGGGACCCATCCAATGGACTGCCCATGGTTCGGTGACATAATGGCGCATCGTAGGGTCGTCCAGCAGAGGCTTTGCAGGTACGAGAATACGGTATGCAACATCACCGGTATCTTGAGGTTCGATTGGTGCACCGTTGACAATGTTTCGGACGGCAGATTTGATACCGTCGGCGCAGATGACAAGATCGGCAGATAGTCGTGCACCGGTTGATAGCTTGACTGCAGGCGCTTCGAAGTCATATTCGTCCACCGTACAATCCATTATCAGATTGATATTCTCGTTCTTGTTCGTAGCATCCACGAGGAGAGTGATCAAGTCGGCTCGGTGTAGAAAGTAGTATGGGGCTCCGTATCTTGTCTCCACATCATCAAATGAGCAATCCAGGAGAATGTTGCCTTTGTAATCCACAAAACGGTTTCCAAGAGATATTTCTTTCTTGACGTTACTGAAATCGACGCCCCAAGAGCGGCTGAGACGAGAGGAGTTTGGAGGTACGCGAATGCCAGCACCGACCTAGCATATGTGAATAGGTTGCACTGCGGAGCAGAGTTGTGCATGAACATACCTCGAGAAATTCTTTTGCCGTTTCGAGTACAGTGACCTTGTGTCCATCTGCAGCCAATGCAAGTGCAGATTGTAGACCCCCTATGCCCCCACCAACGATAAGGACGTTTAGATTCTTCATAACAGCGTATGAAGCGTGTGAAGCGTTTTGGTACAAATATTCGGCCTTTGACTAGTCCAGCTCTGATGAAGCTATTAGTAAGACACTAGATGCGAACAATTTTCTCTTAACTGGCCAAACTTCTCTTATATGAACGAGATTCCACATTATCGCGTAAATAAGGTTCCTCCCTCAATGGTTACGGCATGGTAGGGATGGGCGGTTGGGCGCTTGCAGACTGCCGCAGTGGGTACATGCTTCCGCCGCGGAATTATGTGTTCAGAGTGGATGATAACCTTCCCCCCCTCTTCCCCCTCCCGAAAGATAGCTCTATGAGGGGGGACCGAGGTCATAAATTACCATGAGACACTCGAAGTCCGCCGGATCCTGCAACACGCTTTCACCGGTCGCTTACCGAGTGACCGCCGGCGTTCTTGACCGACCATCCCATCCGCCCAAGGAGACTTTTGACGTGCCGATACGAAACCATGAAAAAGCTTAATCACACACCGGTACGTCTGATTATATAAACTGTCATGAACATGGGGAAGAGTCCCCTCTTTTTTTCTGTCATCTAGGGCGAAGATTAATTTCGTCACTATGGCTACATTCAATATCATCGAGCCAGGTGTTGCCTTTATCTCCGGAGCCGCCTCAGGTTCGTTGATCACCTCCAGAGGATACTTTCCCGTCATCTGCAGATCTCCGGAAGGCTGACGATGACTGCTTCTACTTTTATATAGGTATTGGAAAAGCTACAGCCTTCGCTTTTGCGAAACATGGTGTTACTAAGCTAGCGCTGGGTGATATCAATAGCTCAGCTCAAGCCGCTGTTAGCAAGGAGATCCAAGCCAGCTTTCCGAATGTCGAAATAGAGACTCTTTCTCTTGATGCAGGGGACGAAACCTCCATCATCAACGCTCACAAACAGATAGTGGAAAGATTTGGAAGAATTGATTATGCCGTCAACAACGCTGGGGTTCCAGGAGTTCTGAGACGGTCGACAGAACTGACGACAGAAGAGTTTAGTCAGGCAGTTCACGTGAACATGACAGGAGTATGGATCGCACAAAGAACACAGCTTAATCAGATGATGAAGCAGGAGCCCTTGGCTCCAGGGTACCTCGAGTACAGTCAGTTCAATTTCAGGTGTGGTACTGACTGAGTGCCTAGATTGAATCGCGGAGTCATCGTCAATGTGGCGTCGATATATGGTAAAGTCTGTGGGACAGAGGTAACATCTTACTGCACGAGTAAGTTTGGCGTCATAGGCCTCACCAAAAGTGTAAGCTACAATGATATTCTACTCAATAATGATACCGCGAGTCTCTAATCATTCACTTTAGGACTCGGTCGACTATGCTCCGCATAACATTCGCATAAACGCTGTTTGTCCAGGGTAAGTTTTTCAAGCGGTCTAGCATATGGTAATCTTTCGATTGCCTGTTCTGACATTGCTTTTTGTAGGTTCATCGCCACTGCAATGTTGGGCGAAGCTGTGAATCTACCGCAAGGGAACTTGAAAAGGTTCATAGATGGGACTCCGATGAGACGTTTCGGAAAGTCCGAAGAGGTATATTATGCCACTCAATAAAAATAAATGGTACCGGAAGGAGAGCTCACTACGATCAAAACCCTAGATTGCCGACGCTATTATCTTCCTGTCATCTAACATGAGTGCTTTCATTACCGGTCAGGAATTGTCTGTCGATGGGTATGCAGGTTCACGAACCTTACACAAGATCGGAATCTTCTAACAAATGATTAGTGGCTACACTTCGACCGCAAGTTGAATATGATTTTCGCAGCATGTCACACGTCACAAACTGTTGACACAGTACGGGCTAGTTTCCACATAGGTGGGCGTAAAAGTGGTGATATATTTTGTAGCGGACCCTTGATGAGGCTGGTCACAAGCAACACGGCCAGAATTGATATAGCATTATTGAAATATTTAAATTGTAGTAATGAAAATTGAGTTGACTGCTGCCAATGCTTCCGGCGTCAATGAGCTTCTACCTCCCGCTTTGTCTCCAAACATCAATTCCGAAGCTGCTTCATAGCCAGCCTCGATTTCCCGAAAGTTGTTATTGGTCACTTGGATAGTTCTCGCATGGTAGTCGTCCCGGGTAGCTAGAAACAAAGCAGCCAAAGCAACCGTTTCTGATGGTTGAACAATGACCCCGAGCTGCCGCAATCGCGCTACTCCAGCTTCAGGAACCATCCCAGTATCCGTAAAACCAGGCGCGATGCTACAAGTTACGGGTTTTAGTGAGTGGCCTGGTGCATAGATCACGGAAGGCTGTCAGACATACCAATTGAGGCGAATATTCAACGGAGGAAGGAATCGTTTCAAAGCTCGCATCATTCCAATTGCACCATGCTTTGTAGCTGCATAAATGGGACCCCCAAGTGGTGAAGAATAGCCTGTAAGCAGTGTCAGAGAATGCATGTGCCGTGGAGCTAGGTGTTGGCATGTCTGATCCCCTACCGGATTTGGAAGCAGTGACCACAATCGCACCCCCTGACTTTTGTTTTCGCATATGGTGAATTGAAAGCTTCACAGTATTCAGCAGGCCAACAAGATTCACTTGTATGGGAAGGTATTTTGGCTCCAGAAGCTCGCCATCTTCTCCTAGAACGTCGGCGAAGGTGTTTTCAGAGCCACCGACTCCAGCCTGCTTTCATTGAGTAAAGTCTCCAACTAACAGTAAGCAGGGTGACTGACATTAGCCAAAACAATGTCGAGTTGACCATATTGCTTGATACAATAATCGAACAAGCTGACCAAACTCTTCCATTGGGTAATATCCGTGGTTTGAAAGAAGATCCCTTCCACTGCCTCTTTCGGCGGTCTTAGGTCCCCAATGACAACCGTAGCGCTGTTTCTTGTTAGACACAGCTACTTTTCGATCTTAGAATGGTTGTCCCAGACCCTCTTTCCAAGAAGAGCTTGGCAGCTGCAAGGCCAATGCCGGAAGAGCCCCCTACGACCCGTTGGTATTAGTATTCTGTTATTTTGAATAGCCTTTGTTAAGCGGTTACACACCTGTTATCAACGCCACTTTCCCCTCAAGTCGGGATACATTCTGTAAAGTGATGTCCAAGTCCGCCATGATCTTCTCGGGTCCTAAAAGCAACGATGAGGTGTGTCGTCGAGGAAGGGATAAATAATATTATAAAATGGTATACTGGTTCTATTCCGAGGTGCCATGGCGCCACCAAACTCAAAATGATGTTCGGAATTAATTGTCCAGGGATTTCCAAGCCCGTGCCGGCCCGTTGACAGGGTTATTGGCGTCCCACCAACCAGGACTCGGGGGGTATACAAGCATATCTCCGTCCCGTACCGAGTGCACGAATCTAAGCTGGCTGCTCGTATAATTGGACCTAGTGTTGCGTCCCTTAGGATGGCATAGTCTTAGGATCCTTAGGGCTTCATAGCCTATAGGATTTAGGATTGCTGTTAGGATTTGAATAAGCCCGAATGGAGCGCTATAGCTTTTGGACCCTATATATACAGCGTACTTCCCACTGTGGAACAGCAGTCAATTCAAGATCTTTACCCCGAAAAACAACACCTAGTTTGGACCTTGTTGCTGTTCGAATGCCCTCTTGGGATCGCGTAGCAAGCTTTGAATTCCCTAAACAAGTGAACGATGATGGCTGAGAAGAAAGAAGCATCAGAGCAAGAAATCCAAACTCTTGATATGGCAGATTTTGCTGAACTCGATCGCCTGCTCGAAGAAACAGTTGCTGATCCGAATGGAATCCCCGGTGCTGTTCTCGTGGCTCTCAACAAAAAGGGTGCCGACTCCTTGCATGCAAGCCCTTTTACGTGCTAATTCTGAGATCCAGGGGAGACACTGTACTCGAACTGTGCAGGAAAACGTTCCTTGAGTCCAGATGCTTCAGAGATGACCATGGACACGGTCTTCTGGTTGGCGTCATTCACGAAATTCATGACCGCAATAGCAGTGATGCAATGCGTCGAGAAAGGATTGTTGAATCTAGATGAGCCTGTCGGCAATATATTACCCGAATACCTGGAGCCAAAGATTCTACGAGGATACACAGCTGAGGATCAGCCCATACTTGAAACAGCACAACGTACACTTACTTTACGGTCGAGGCATTCGTCCCTAGGTTTTGATTTGTTAGCTGACTTGATGATCCAGTCATTTGCTAACACACACGAGTGGGCTAAGCTATGATCTGTTTGATGAGAAGCTCGTTGAGTGGTCCAAGAAAACAGGCCGCAAAGAAAACCAGTCAAGTGGCACCTTGGTAAGAAGCCTGATTTGCAGACGGAGACTTCCTGACAGCCTTCATTATACAGGAAGGATTCAGGTACCCACTGCTCTTTGAGCCTGGCTTTGGCTATGTTTACAGTTGCGGCCTAGACTGGGCAGGTCAGATGGTGACAAACCTCCAACTTTCAATTAGAATACATGAGAATTAACCAAATATGTAGGTCGAACGGGTAACTGGAAGCCCGTCACTCGAGGCCTATCATAGGAAACATATATGGGAGCCGCTCGGACTGAAGGAAACCACGTTCAAGATTTCAAGCAATACAGAACTGTCCGCTAGGCGTGCTGGACTTGCAATTCGAAATCCGGATGGCTCACTGACTTTTGGCGTCCACAAGCCCCGAGATATAGGTGCAGATATTTGCCCCGGCGGAAGCGGACTTTACGGCACAGGCACAGACTACGCTCGGGTGCTTGCCGAGATTATCAACGATGGAGGGGTTCTGCTCAAACCCGAGACAGTTAAGGAGATGTTTAGACCACAGCTGCCGGATGCCAGATACCTCCAAGAAGAATTCAACTCGTCATCCACCAGTCCAATTAGCATGGCACCAAACTGGGACAATCCGACTGAGGTACAGTACGGACTAAGCTTCTTGATAAATATACACGAGACGCCGACCGGAAGGGCCGCTGGCTCCGCGCAATGGTCTGGGGCCGCGAACACGTACTGGGTAAGTCTCAAATATACTTGCTTCTCACAGTGATGGTGTGGCTCATACCAGGTCTAGTGGGCAGACTATAAAAAAGGCATTGTAGGCGTCGTAATGGCGCAAATTGTGCCGTTCTGCGACAAAAAGGTTATCGATCTTTATAAGGCATTCGAAACGGCGGTCTACAAGAACGTAGATAAGGTCTAATAGAGTATAAGCAGCTTGTTCCTTAGCTCAAGGTTATAGTAGACTGGTGCTGTTAGAACAGATGCTGTGGCGTGGTGGGGAAATGATGTACAGTACATACTTCCAAATTCAGCCAGTTTTCACCAAAAATTCTCTTGTTAGCTCTCTCTCACGAGCGCTTTGGGCCCTGCTTTGGGACACACTTGCCCTTTCCTTGGAAAATGCGCAGCCACCGTCTCTGCGAACATTTTTCCTGTTATTAGCATCCAAAACATTGGACATAGAAGCTCCAAGCGTCATAACACTCAGGTATGTCAACAAATCGCGGTATGTATTGAGTGTTCCACTCTCCATTATAATCAGCCGTATAAGTGGCTTTACAGTATTCCCAGTAATCTGGGTACCAACCGGATTGATGCCAATCAATAATGGCAATAACACGATAGGGCGCATCAGACGTAACTAAGATATTGCTTGGATGAAGATCAGCATGAGTGAAGGTAATAGGCGAATTATCAGGAAGTGAGTCGCGGTATGGATCAGGAATGAGAGAAGGATCTGGCCAATGCATTTCTAACCCCCGTTTAGTTAAGAAGGAGAGCCAATCGTGGAATTCCTTGACCGAAGAGAAAGGGCCAGCGGGGGGCTTCGCATCGTCCGTGAACATAATATCAAGAAGAGGTTGGCGGTTGATATGAACAATTCAACAGTTGCACGATGAACATGATCTGGTCCAAGAGGTTATATCAATGGCTTCGACAACGGAGGAATGTACAAGATCCGTACTAGCAATCACGGCTGATACTCTATCTCAAGCGACTCAGGGATTATTTACGCTGCGCGATCTTGCGATGCAACTATATGATCTGGTCGCTGTCATCACAAAATTTACGTTCGAGATGCAAGAATCTATTGCATTGTTGATGCGCCAATTTGCACGCATATGCAGCATACTTCATACTCTCCAAGGGAGTCTTGCCACGAGAATCAGTCCACCGATTGTGCAATTCACGGACGCGTTAGGAGAGACGTTGGCGCTGCCGTATCAGATGCGCCTCCGATGGGAAACCTTTCGACTTATGCTCAACGCGATTTTCGATGGCCGACCTGGAAAGTCTAGGGTAGAAAGGGGGGATTTTTTGATTATGCACGCTGCAGGCGGAAGACGTCTTCTAGAGGACTCATGGAACCATGCTATCAGGGATGGAGATCACCTCCAGATGTCTATCATTTTGGATGATTTCCTCGCCGAGCAAGACTTCTGTCCTTTCCCTAGCTGTAAAGCTTCACTGCTCAACGCAGAGGCGAGCAATGGTGGGAGAACATGCCCACAATGCAGTCGGTGGGTACTCTTGACCAAAACCGAAAGTCCTCCGGGTGTCCACGAAGAAGATGCGCGCAACATGAATAACATCAGTGCTATGGATTCAGATGATATTGATAAGGAAACGTATAGACTGGAAGAGTCTCAAACCCCCCCCCCCCCCCCCCAAAAGAGCTTATTTTGGAAGACATTGAGCTGTATCGCAATATAAGCGTAATGGCAGCTGGAGTGCAAAGGCTCGATGACAGCATGGCGTTGCTCAGAGACACACAGTCAGGTATGCTATCGCCGCTATCAAGGTAAACAGTTTGAATTACCAACTGAAAAGGCCAAGATACACATCAGCCCTACAATTCATCGACTGGTATCAGTCCGATGATCCCAACCAATGAAACCTGGAAAACAATATCTGGAACTGCAGGGTCGGTGGAGCTAGGTCCTCGTATGTGCGGTGGTACACTGGGCAACAAACACAACTAATAGGCCGCAGTTTTTAGGATCCATAAAGCAGAAGATTTCAAACCTGGTCAAGTAAATGTCTTCGAAATATGAGACAATCATCCGCTAACTCTCATATCTGAGGTGTTCAAACTTCTCGCCTCTGAACCTGTAGATCAGTCGAATTCGACAGCAATTACAATTGAGTGTGCATCGGATTGGAAATGTGTCTCGGCGGATTGGAAATACAGACAGCAATCATTTTCACGCATCCGCCGGTTCGTTATCCGTCAGTTCCGACCACCAAAGTTGTCAGTGCTTGTAAGTTATTTATATCATCATACTATACCCAAAGTCGCTCACTCACTGCTCGTAGGCCGATTATAACATATGATTATCAGGCCACAAGAAAGCTAGGAGTGAAGCCCAAGGACCATGCCATAATTTACACGGGAGTTGAACCTCCAAGAGAGATTGACCAAGAAGAAAAATTACGATGCAATCCCATTCAAGTCATTGGAAGGAAACCACGGGATAAATTGGTAAAGGAGTCCCGTATAAACTACGCTAAGATTTATAATGTAGAACTCGATGTGAAGGCATGCTTTATAGGACATATTGCTCCTTCTTCTCAACATAAACTTATTGCCGATTTCAACGCCACTTGGTTGAATATGAAGCGCAGTCAAGAGGAGTTGTGAAAAAGGGAATGGATTATAATGAATATACGGATTTAGGTTCCAGGAAGGCTTTAGGGCGTTATTGGGAAAGTGGTACAGAATGATATACAGAAGATGATGATTTCATACTTTAACACTTGGTTTTCATACGAAAAATAAAACACTTCGTGAACTATTACACATTCGAGAATTATATAATCTAAGGTCCCATGACCAACTCTGTCAAGCCAAAAGCAGCATGCAAGGACTGGGTGAAGAAGCAAGGGGATATATTCAAGCCAGTCCAGAACTGAGCAGAATCAACAGCAAACGGCATAGATAGAGCCTTGATGCGAGACTCATCCCCAACTGCAGTCAGGAGTTGAAGCCCAAAATAGTCGACTCCATGGGTCATAAGCGTGCCGTAAGTCACATCATATCCTGGAGGGCGGCGAGTGTTGACTTCGACCAAGTATTCATTTACTTGCCATTAAGTTGACAAATTTGATTTTCCCATTGATCGCTACGAGAAATGGTGTTTTATTGGTTAAATGAAGGAAAAGCAATCGATCTGTAAGATATTTACTCATGTGGCTTTGCCCCCTTGTGCCCCTTTCTCCCTTTATCGGGTTCTCAAATAGAATTAGCAATAACTTGTTGACAGCAAAGAAAGAAATGCGTCTAAAGATCAAGTTTACGCGATGCTTTCAATATTTGTGACTCTTTCCGTGGAGCCCATGAAGTGGAGGCGCCATTCAAAGGTGACTACGAACTTGGAATGCAAGCAAGGGCTCAGAAATCCAGAGCCTATAACCTTCACGCTAGCTCCAGCAGTTGAATTGACTGCTTTGACCATCCCAGGGAAGTCGAAGATTAAAAGCATCCTATGTGTCTGCCGGCACTCGAGAAAGTTGAGAAGAAAGACGATTTGTCGGACTTGACAGGAGATCAGTTGAAACTAAAGCGGAGCAAATTCCATGCATCAAAAGCCAGGACTTTCCAATTAGGTGAAATATAAAGTTCTGTTAGAGAACCGACATATACGGCTCTTCACCTCTATTATTCTGAACTCTATGTCTGACCGCAGAAGAACTCTAGTCCGCCGCCGTAACGGTCTCTTAGGGACCTGCGAGTAAGTCAGCCTGTCGGAGTCCATTTGTTTCCCTGAAGGCTGAAGGGTGCACACAGAATGAATATTACAAAGCGTCCTTAGCTAGCGGACCGACAGTCCTTAAGTCGTTTCTGTCGCCTCCGAATGCTATCCTTTGTGAGAAGTAGGAGCTGGCTTTACTCGGTAATGATAAAGGCCATGCCGAAAGAGAAAACTGAACTGCGATCACACGCTGCCCACATGCCTTGGCTTGGGTGTATTCGCCCAAGAGTCAAGTCACGTCGATCTGCGTATACTGTGATGCTTCCGTGACACAGACCTTCGATGCCGGTAGGGAGGCGAACTAGATCGTACCTAATTCTAGCGGCGCGCCTAACGCACTGACGCCAGCACCTACTGTAGTCGAGGAGCTACTTAGAGCTACAAGTACCCTTGGTACCTTAATAGTAACCCCACTATTTGGGAGCTCATCGGGGCTTCTTAGACAGACCAGCTTCTCGGCAGTATTTTTTGGAGAATTAGGGTGGGAGGGTGGAATGGCGGCATATCTAGTTGATTGAGGCTAGTGTTAGTCTCGTTTTAGAAGGGGTTTGATCGCTACACAGGTCTTGGTGATCATATATCAATTATATATTTTATTGGCCGGGAACGAAGTGGATAGTTAAAGTGTTAGACCATGGCCTGGAGAGTGCTGGTACTGTAACGGTTTATAATATCAATACGGGTTTGTCTTTACAATAATGCAGAATGCCTCCAAGTGACGGGGTGTTGATTGTCAGCCACGTGACTTGGCTGAGGCGGGCAGATACTGTAGTTTCACCTAGGCGCTTGGCAGCGGCGATTACGAATTTACGACGGTTTGTCTGTTTTATTGATAATCCGATCCAGCCCAATGGCCAACAACGGCCAATGGCCAATAGCGAATGCCGAATGGCCCATGACCCATGCGGCGGTGATTGATTACGAGGTTCTTACTCATTCCTCGACTAAACCCCCTCGGGCCCCCTACAGCCCCCCCCCCCAGACCTCAGATCTTACCTTACATGCTCGACCTTGACCACCTGAGTCGCGCCCCCGACCCCTAGGGTCAGTAGCGCATTTTTACCCCGCAGTCCCCGGTCTGTCCCTAGTCTAACGGAACGACAGGAGAATAACTTTCACCTGCAGAAACGAAACTCTACTCCCTATGCTTATGCTTCTCCCCTTGTCACATTGCAATTCTAAGTTCGTCGAGTTCCTGTGTCTGAGGAGACGACTGTCCAAACTATGTCACAGACCGTCTTATCAACAACCGACAGTATCGCCCTGTCCAAGCCTGCCAAGGCAGCTCGAATTTACCCCTGCTCGCGATGTCCCAAGACCTTCAAACGCAGTGAGCATTGCTCGCGGCATGAACGCGGCCGTAGGTTCTACTGCTTGACATGACCTTGTGTATAGCTGCATCTTACTAATAGACTACTGCCAAACAGATACCCAAGAGAAGCCCTTTCACTGTAAATATTGTGGCCGACGATATGCTCGCAAGTATGTTGATCACAGAGTCTTCTCAGTTCTGTATGTATCACGCAACTTACTGTTGATAGGGACCTAGTAAATCGTCACGAGAGATCTTTCCATCCCCTTGCCGATAAAATCAATCCGGATTCTACAGAGAATGAGGTCGTTGTGGTTGATTGCCCACGGTCGCCGCCCACCCCGGATCTTGCTGTCCGTGGTTCTTCACCCTCGCACAATTTGGCTACCATCTTGGGGACTCCGCTAGATTCAGAAGCCGAATCGATGCTGCAAAACACAATCCATGTGAACCCCGCAGGCGTTCAATCCACATTCAACGGCGTTCCGAGCCCATCCCCATCCGTTGTGACTTTCTTGGAGCCTGGAACTACGACAGGTGTTGACGAGAGCCAAACTGCCAATGTCTCCACCTTTGCAGGAGAGCAATCCAGTGTGGGAACTGCTTCCACGATCAATTTGCAGAGGAGTATATCGGACCTGCACGCTTGGAACGCATCCGATATGATGTGGCAGAACGCGGACCAGTTTGCGAACAGTGACAACGTTTCCCAGTCAAACGTCGGCCACACAACACATCCGCCCCAGGATAGCGATCACGAGAGCTACTTCAATAACTTTGATATCCTCTCAATGATGCCGAAAAATGGCGTCGATTTCGAAGGGGACTTTTCAACGTATCTGATCCATTCGGGATACAGCCCCGCAGAGAATCTGGACCTGCCACGCCAGGCTTCTGGGAACTCACCATTGCTGCGGTCGTCACTCCTTGAAACCAACAATTCGCATCCTATATCAATTGGAGCGAAAGCGGTGCCATTCAACACCGAGAGAGAGCTGGGAAGTGGAACATTTTCAAGAATGCCAAATGTCATGAAAGAGACACCTCGAAAGTTACCGGTTCCAGTTGTTGATTCCGAGGCGTATGAGAGTATTGTATCTGATGCGAAAAAAAGATTATCCCCAGATCAGCTGGAGGAAATTGAGATGCTGAGCTCCCAGGATATGCAGCAGTTCTTAACAAGCTATTTCACCTGCTTTCATCGCCACTGTCCCATCCTACACCCCACTTCTATGGACTTGAAGTCCGTACCCAGCTATTTAGTATTCGCGATATGCGCCCTCGGTGCTTTATACCGCCTTAGACGGAAAACTGCTAAAGACCTATGGTACTGGGCAAACCTTATGGTTGAAAAGGTAAATAATAACAACCGATTTCCTTCGATGGAGAAGTAATTAACAGAAACTAGGAGTTGCCTGTTCCCTCGTCAGAATTGTTTTCTCCTACCGCCACGGCCGCCGTCCAATGTAGGATGCTGCTTGGAATGTTCGCCATCTTCAGTGGTGGTGACATGACAGAACGCGCTATTTCAGGAGCGGGGTACTGGAGCACGGTAAATAATCCTTTTTTGGAGATGTCTCAGCCTATGCGGACACTGACACGGTGTCTAGGAGTATCGCAAACGGAGATCTGCCCTCGCCCTGATGCCTTACAATCCTTCAACTACAGAATGGGAACAATGGATCTCACGAGAGGCCTCAAAGAGGTTCGTGAAACACAAAACTGTCATCGTATTACTGTGCTGATATTGAGTCCTTCAGATTACTATATGGCATTTTTATAATGTCTTCCATGACAAGCGTAACATATGACCTGTGTCCGGCTTTTTCGGTAACACAGGATCTCGAAGTAGAAATCCTAGATGAGGAGTGTCTATGGGAAGCGAGCACTCTAGAGCAGTGGCAGGCTCTCCGGAAATCACAGACTCCTCGTTCGTCGATAACGGTGAGGGACGCAATGAACCACCTCATTTTTGGCAAGGAGGACTCTGATGCGAATCCAACTCGATGGACAGCTTTTGCTACGACGATGATATTTCATGCGGTCAACGTCCACATGTGGCACATAATGCAATGTACCCAATCTTTCACCGCATTTGCTGTAGACGAGCAAAACAACAGAGTCTTGAAAGCGGCTTTGGTCTTACAAGTTGAGACTGCGTTAGCGAGGTGTTATGCTCTACTCACAGCAGATCGTTCGGAACGGGACCATACTTCCGATGATCCCGAGGGCCCTCTCATCTTCAACTGTCTTGCATTATTACGCAGCGCTTACGTTCGCGTTTTCACAGGGGCCGGCAACTTCGACCGCATGATGCTGCTGAGCGAAGAGCCCCTTCAGGTCGCCAACTCCGTAAACGAATATGTCACGGGCCCCCAGGAGAGAACCGCTTTCCTTACCCGGGCAGTGGACAAAGCATATGGCGGCCTCTTGACACCAATAAAGGCGGGATATCTTTTAGTGCAGAAGACAGCGGCACTAAGCTGGAGTGTTGAGCACGCTGTAGCTGCTTGGGACTGCGCGCTCTTTGTCACGAAATGGATTCACGCCATGGAAATGCAACAGCAGGAGCTACCACCGAATCAGGAGGAGATGAGAAACCTGGTCAACTTCCGCGAACTGCTGGCAGAGGTCGACAGTGACTATAAAGGGTTTGGGTCTTTGGCTGGGGAGGTGACACGGATATGGGCTGGGTTTTTGGATGATACCTGGGTGTTTGGGATTACGCCGCGTATGGGAAAGGTTTTGAGACAGCTGTCAAATGCATTTGCGCAGGATTGGAAGGCTAAGTTTCCGCAGGGGAATCCTGCTGGGCCGATAAGTCGATAGAGGTTAGGACGTGCAAGAATTACAAATAGACCTAGATGAGATGATCGTTCCTTAAAAGAGCATCTCGGAGCACATCCGAGTACACGATTGAGCCAATCACTTTGGTAATCATTCACATTACCTAAAGAACCTCAAATGTGTGGAATGTCCTGATATTTTGAACGAACTTTGAATTGGACATTATCTCATTATTAAAACAAGGTCTTGGTGATGGACAACCGATTCCCAAATTTGCTTCCCCTGCATCAAGCTTTTGTCCCAGCAGCTCTTAGTATTCCGAGTGAGTACGTATAGAGAACTTGGCGAGAAGATTGTGTCTAGACCAGATCGATCGGTATCTGCAGCGCCAGGGTATTAGCAGTTGTCACACAATATTCCGCAATCTAACAGTGCAGTGGTAAACTTACTTCTTCCCAAAGATATATAACGGAACAGTTGTCAAAGTCAGCCCAAACGCCACGCCCCCAAAGACGTAGAAGACCTCTGAAGGTCCCACCGCGGCCGTCCAGTCATTGACAAAGTAACTGAAGCCGTAGAACAAGAAGTTCTTGAACACCATCCCGGCAATGAAGATCTCGTTGCTCATATCGCGGTACGCGTCCAGCGCGTAGGCGGAAGAGGAGATGGTCACGCCGATGACGCCGAAGAGGACAATGCCGTGCACGGCAGCGCATGCATACATGTTCACGGCGTGCTCGATCATGTATCCCCAGGCGCACAGCCCGCCTCCAGTCAGCAGGCCCGCGACCATGACAACGAGCCTGTATTCCGGCTCGTACGTTCCCCCGTTCCGCGCACAGAACCAGCGGATCAGCCGATCGTACACGATTCCTACGCAGATGGATGCGACGATCCCACCGACGAATGGCCCAAGTGATAGGTAGCCGATCCCGGATGCATTGAGGTTGTATGGGGGCAAGGAGAAGACCTGCGCCAGGACATAGGCTTGCGCGACGTAGGTGGCGGTAATGGTTCCCGATATCACCACGACCCAGAGCACGGCGATGTTCATGCACACCGCGAAAGGAGCAATGACGAGCTGCAGGAGATTCTCGTCGGAATAGGTGCCAGTGAAGATGGTTGTTTCTTGCCAGAAGGTCTTCTTCTGGGGAATCGGACGCACGGTCGAGGCCAGGGTTTCGGTGGGAGCAAGAGGCACGCCGTTATTCTCCTTGGCGTCCAGCTCGCGTTGCTGGTGTCGGTGCTCCACTTCAGAAAGATCTTTGAGGTCTTGGACTGCGAGCTCGTCAATCTCGTATCGATGGTCTCTGATGTACGAAGTCTCGGGACAGAAGAAGAAGAGGAGGATGGTTTGGAAGCCGATGAAAGCAATTAGGAGATGGAAGAGATATTTCCAGCCGAGATTGGCGGTTATAGGACCTGTTAGGACACTTGAGAAGTTGGAGATGCCACCGAGGAGAAATTGGATTCCTGATGTGTATCTTCCGCGTTCATGCACAAAGTAGAGATCGCCAATAACCGAGATAATCAAGGACTCGTACGCGGAGATAGCTAAGCCCTGGATGATTCTGGCGGCCAGGAGCCCGTTGTAATTGCTGGTGGCTGAGCCGATAATGGAGCCGATCAAGCCAAAGAGGGAAGAGGCAATGAAGCAGGGTCGTTTGCCAAATTTTCGAGAAAAGGCTGAGTAGAAGGGACCAGAGCCACCAGCGACTAGAAGTTGATAGCCAGAGATGAGTGTTATATGGCCGAGAGGGACGCCAAAGTCCATGGAGATTGTGAAGAGGCCAGCATTCAAGAGCGGCCCGATCGTTGCTGCGTTGAGACAGGTTCCCAGCCCAAGAATGACAACACAAGTCAACTTCTTCGTCGGTGACCAGTTCAGGGGATCATTGGGATCCTCGGATGGTTGAGGGACTAGGACGACGTCTGCATTCTTTCCTGTGCCATGGCGAAGTCCTGCTGTAACGCCTTCGGAATGGGCGACTTTCTCGTCAAGAATGACTGTCCCTGGCACATGTGGCAAATGCCTATCTTCAAGAATGCCTCCAAAGCCCATGGCGATGTCTGTTGGTATTCTGAGATCGCTGAGCTAGGGTGCCTATACAAAGGTCACGGGGCTTTCGTGGGGGATGACTTGATGATATGATAGTATAGGTTGCTAGCAATGCGGTTTATCGCTCACGCAGAATGGTCAAGCATCTTCAAACGACAAATCGTACGATATATACCCCATATACCCCAGCCAAGGCATTGTAATAACCCAGGTTCCTTGATCAAGTGCAGGTTGGCGTTTAACCCCACAAGCTGGAAAATGCGGAGTGTGGGGTCAAGATTGAGGCATTGTACCTACTTTTAGTGTTCCCCCCCTGGGGTAAACAACGCTAAGAATAACCAACCCATCTTGACCGAGATTTAACGCGGCTAGGTCGCCGCTGGTAGCCTCCAAGGCTCCGACTAGACACTATCTACCTAGCTGAGTACGTACTTTAGAGACAGGGCAAGGTATGTATCCTACTCCACCTCGTCCACCAAAGATTGGTAATGAATGCTCTCTCAATCGACCTTTACTTATTTAGGCTTGGTCAGGTTATTCTTGGCGGGGGGTAAATGTCAACCAGCCCTCGTGATACATGGCCATTCCGCGAGAGAGATGTCTACCCTCTAAATATACGCGTGGCACTAATCAACCAACAATTATTAATTGTGAAAATACTACAACTAGTTTCACTAAGTAATGTTTGACCCTAAGCCAGTAATGGAAGCTATATTACCCAAGTTGCGTCCACCTCATTATAGCTTAGCGAAATTCAATAATTTTTGAAGCTGATGAGAATTTCCAATTTCGCTTTAAATCTATGATATAATTGTCCTATGTCTAGTACTCAGATTGTATGCTAACTAGTAATACTAAACATGTTGATTGCAAATTTGCAACCCTCCCTAATATTGCTCAAGGAACCGTTGCGACAACCTTATAGTCCTTCGTAAAGTCGTACTTCAGATTGTTAACACCAAGCTGCATCGTTTTCGCAAATTCAATATCAGTCTCGGTGCGTTTGCACATTTTCAGGAACTCGTCGGTTTCGAGAGCAGTATCAGGATTTTGGTCGAAGAGACGTCGCAGATTCTCGCTCGAAATTGGATCGACCATGGTCTGATACTTTTCTCTGCGGACCTCACTGTACTTGTCCAAGATTGAATCATCTGCCTTACCATCATACATTCCAGCGAGGCAATCGTACAGACCTCCTACGTCTACTATACCGCCAGTCAGGCCAAGGCCACCGCTGCGATCGTGTCAGCACATTATTGTTATTACTGGAGAGGGATGTTATACAATGGATTACATAAATGAGCGGCATCTGCAGCAAGAAGGAAGCGCCCAACCCGCATCTTCTCGGCCAGGCGTTGGTGAACTTTATAGGGATTGATACTTGCCAGCTTGTACCCGTCTGGTCCTGGATGACCTGGTAAGATCTGCTTGAATTTCTCTGGCTGTCGCGCCAGGATTTCTTCTCGCGAAAGACCAGGTATTTCTCCATAAGTCACTCTCCAGAGTCCGTCCTCAGTGATGCGCGCAGCCATGTGCCAGTGCTCTGGGTGTATAATGAAGTTGGCGTCTTTGTAGCCGTATTTCCCGAAATCGTAGTATGTCTGCCCGGAAGAGTGTACGTTAGTAACATGATAAATACCTGAGAATCTCTGTGTGTCATTGAGGTAGGTACCCAGTGAACTTACATTAGTGGCAACTATCTGCTCATCCCACGTCTTGCCGGGAAAGTTAAGGTCTCCGAATAAAGATCTCCTAACCTGACTCGCCGCACCATCGCAGCCAACGATGTAATCTGCTTCCAATCTCTTCGTGCCCGTTGGAGTCTCAACTTCCACCCATGCCTTGTCCTCGGATTGGCCCAGAGAGGTTACTTTGTGCTGCCAGAGCACCTCCGCGTTGGGCTGTAGCTTTAGATGCTTGTACAAAATGCTACCAAGCTTATCAAGAGGAAGGCATGTGAGTTGATCCGGTGCGCCGTCAAGGACACCACCATCAAGGCCAGCAAGGTATTCGCCATCTAGCTTTCGCCAGCATATGGTGCGCGAGATAAATCCTTCCGCTCGCACGTCTTCTAAAACCCCAGCCCGCGCCAATTCGACAACAGCCGGTGGAGCGTAATGAGTTGCTCGTGGCTGACTATCAAGCTTCTCAGCTCCATCTAAAACTTGGGTTGAAATGCCCTTCTTGGAGAGTAAGAGTGACAGGAGAAGCCCAGCCGGTCCAGCTCCTACGACAATAACCTGCAAAAGCCTGTTAATATTCGTATTGCAAAATGATACGATCGGTAAGCTCACTTTTTTAAAACTACCGTTGTTCGTGGCGGTAGGCATCTTGTGTGCTATGATGATATCTTGACCTGTGTGTTGGGGATAGTACAAGAACTGTCGAGAGATCTTCCTCTGAGGTATGAGGCCGGGTGTGGTAAGAAAGATTTTAGCAACAAGTCTCGAGTTATAAAAAGCCCAGTTTGCCGTAATCAGTACTCCACATGTTTATGCTGCTCAGTCAGGCTAGTTATTGTTGCTTTGCCTTTGGCTGGAGAACAGCCCCCAAAAAAAAGGTTGTTTTGGCGGGGTAATCAGTATTCGTAGGCGGGGAAATTTCCTTAGCGGCTATCACCCCGTTCCCAATCGATGCTTGGAAATTTGGGGGTTTTTTTGCCGTAAGCCCAAGCGACCAGGGAATCCGTCTACCCCATGGCCTGACTTGACTACGAGTCAAACGCTATTGGCTACCGAATCAGTAGTTGGGGTATGCACGGATCGTGATGGGAGCAAAAATGGCCCGCCAGAATAAAGACTGGCCTTGGAGCTGGAACTTCGTCCTTGTCCTTCTGCCTTTTCCAACTCTGTCACATTCTCTATGCAACCACAAACATGTCAATTACTGCCATCTTTTCGACACTCTCCTTGCCACAGACCTTTGGGTTGGCTCTGATTGGCGGGTTCATTGCTGCCTCCGTGATCTACTTCTTTACGGTTCCAAATGTAATTAAGGTATGCCATCTCCAGCGTTTGACAGCAGTGAGATGTATCCTCTAATGCATATTTGCAGGATAAAAGAAGAAGACACTTGCCTCCTGGACCACAAGGGCTACCCTTCATTGGCAACCTGTTGGATCTGGCTGATTCTGACTTGGTCAGAGGAAAAGTACAGAACTGGGCTCGGCAGTATGGAGAAATATTCTACACCAAAATTGGCGGCACAGATTATGTCTGGCTTTCGTCGCCCAAAGTAATCAAGGATCTCATGGATAAGAAATCGGCCATCTACAGCTCAAGAGCACCTATGCCACTTGCGCAAGATGTTGCCAGCGCAGGACGACGCCAGCTATTCATGCCCTACGGACCTCAATGGCGATCACTCAGAAAAACATCCCATGCGTTGTTGAATGCCTCCAGCGCAATCAAATATCAGCCAATTCAAGACTACGAGTCGAAGCAGATGATGGTGGAGCTCCTTGACTCGCCAGAACAATTCTACCAGCACAGTAGACGTTATTCTGCTTCTGTCATCATGTTGGTAACTTACGGATACCGTCTGCCAAGCTGGGAGCATCCCCTTATGAAGAAGATCTATACTGTGTTGGACAACTTGACTGAGATGACCGCACCTGGAGCCCACGCGGTCGACAGCTTTCCTTCTTTGACGTTCCTACCTCAAATGCTACTCGGGAACTGGCGAACATTCGGGAAAAAGGTGTTTGCTCACGATAGCAAAGTTTATATGGACCTTTGGGAGAACCTCAAAAAGGAAGTTGATGACGGTACCGCCAAAAACTGCTTTTGCAAGAGCTTCTACGAGAATAATCCGGCAAAGCAGGGCATTGACGATTTGCTGGCGGCTTACACTTGCGGTGGCCTGGTTGAGTAAGCTGATTCAAAACCTTTCATGATTTTAAAATCAACTGCTAACATCACTGCTAGAGCGGGAGCCGAGACAACGAGCACCACACTCAACAACTTCATGCTTGCAATGACATTGTTTCCTGAAACTGCCAAAAAAGCCCAGGAAGAATTAGATCGAGTAATAGGCTCCGAGCGCATGCCCGACTTTGAAGATGAGAAACAGCTACCATATATTAGATCTATGATCAAAGAAACCTTGCGCTGGCGTGCAGTAAACAAGTTTGGAATGACGCATGCAACGAGCGAAGACGACTGGTATGAGGGACATTTTATACCTAAAGGCACTGTAGCTGTGCTAAACTGGTGGTAAGTACACACAAAATGCACATAAGATAGGTTTCTAACGATTTAAGGGCAATTCATATGGACCCGGAGCTGCATGAGAATCCAGCCGAATATCAACCAGAAAGATACCTCAAAAAGTCTCTTCCAGCGGCAGACTACATCAATTCAAACGACCCATACGAGAGAGATCACTTCACATATGGTGCTGGAAGAAGAGTATGTCCTGGAGTACACGTTGCTGAGAGAAGTTTGTTCATCGGCGTTGCGCGCACTCTTTGGGGTTTTAATATCAGCAAGGTAAAGGGTGCAAACGGTGATTTCATTGAGCCAGAGACTGGTATGGTTCGAGGGTTTTTGAGTGTCCCAAAACCTTTTGAGTGCGAGATTAACCCTCGATCTGCTAAACACGCCAAGATCATAAGAGAAACTTTCAGGGAGGCTGAGAAGGCGGGAATTTAGAATTGATCTTCTTATTGTTTATAGTAAATTCCAATATCACAATCATTAGTCATTTTGAAAAGCGTGCGAGCCCGAGCCATGTTGCAGTGTTTAAACCAGGTACAGGTTCCAAGATGACTGACTGGTCAAGAACTATCACGCCGAAGTTGTTACCCAAACCCCACCTTTAACAGCTTTATATACCCCGCAAGAGCTGTAAGAGTTCACACTGATACATAAGTACGCGACCCCAGCACTTAAACACTTCTTCATCTCTGGAAGCACTGTGTAATCGATATTATCTAAAGAATGTCGAAGAAGCTTGCAATCATTACTGGGGCCGCCTCCGGCTTGGGACTCGCCCTGACCAAGCACTTGCTTTCTCAAAATTGGCGAGTCTGCATGGCAGATACCAATGCAACCATTGGCGATCAACTTGCTTCAGAGCTCGGAGACGATGTTCTATTTATTCCAACCGACGTGTCCATCTACTCACAACAAGCCAATCTCTTCGCTAAGGCGTTTGAGTTTGGGGGTCAACGACTTGATTTTGCAGCCCTCAACGCCGGCATCGATGACAAACAAAGCCTCTACTCCACTAAAGAGGAATTAGATGAGCGAGGGGGGCCGAAGGAGTTGAATCTGGTGACGTTGAAGGTTGATCTAGATGCTGTGGTGCAGGGTATATGGCTGTTCAAGTATTATGCGAGAAGAAATGCAGACAAAAAAGGAGGGAAGATCGTTATCACCTCTTCGGCTGCTGGGTTGTAGTAAGTGATAATCCCATGGTAGCATGATATCGCTGACCATCTTCAAACAGTCCTATGGATACAAATCCCTTGTACACGGCAGCAAAGCATGCACTAGTGGGACTCACAAGAGCTTGCGGACCTCGCTTTATGGCCGAGGACTCTATCACAGTAAATTGCATTTGCCCTGCTTTTGTGCCTACCGGATTATGCCCGCCGCATGTGCTCCATCTGTTCCCGAAAGAGCACATAACACCAATGAGTACCGTACTTAGAGCTCATGACACTTTCCTTGCGGATGATACCATGTCGGGGAAAGTTGTAGAGCTTAGTTTGGACCAGCTCTATTACCGGGAGCAGCCAGATTGGGCCAACGACTCGCAGCGGTGGCTGGGGACTGAGTCTAAATCCCTGTGGGATGAGGCGTATTTATCAGGATCATAACTCAGTACGAAAATTGTTAATCTCCGATTTTTATTGTAATACGGACTATGAGCACTGAGGCTTAACACCTTAGCGGTGGTGAAGGGGGTGGCAACTAGCCGACGATTACCCCACATACCCCACATACAGGATACCCCACATTGCATTTGCAGCATACTTCGTACAAAACCCAAATCTCCACAGTTTAACTTCCCCACATGGAGCTGCATCGTGCTATGTTTTGTGAGTGTCTCGATGCAGGGTTGCTACATGTAGGGCCGAAAGTATACAATTGTGAAAGGTATCTTAAGGTTTAAGGAGCTATTATTAGGGCCTCAAGAGGGATAATATAAGTGGAACATTTTATGGGAGTCACGACGTGAGGCAGCCTGGTCTAGCTTAGCGTTTCCTAGGCTGAGCTATACTCCGTAAATGGAAAGTTTTCTATTTAGGAAACCTCTATCCTTTAATACATTAGCATCTGCATCTAATCTTAGAATCTTTTCTTTCACACCTACCATCCCTTATATAGCTCTTTAAGCAGACGCGATGGCCTTGACAGAACTTCTAACTGCGCTAGTTGAGCGCCGGTAAGCTGCAGCTAGTAGAAAGCCCTGTTTAAGCTATGCCTAGCAACAATCAATAAAATGGTTCTCACTCCGCTGTCTGCTATGCATTTATGTGAGATATAAACAGTGTCAAAGCACGTGACTATAAGTATAACATTTTGAGATGTTCTTTTCCCAGGTCATTATTTATCTCACTATACAGATGGATGCTTACGAGCCTAGCATATGCTTAATACTCACTGGCATCCAACTATGGGAGGAGGTGCATCTTGCTAGCGTTACTACGACTTCATACGTGGGCTTTCAGGAATTTGGGTCTTGATATCAAAGCGCTGTGCGAGTCTTGGTCTGTCCTGTCCTATTCCACGTTCATGATCTAGGCTAGGGGATGACTGACACTCTCTTGTACCTGTGATGTAGGGTTTTCAGCTATGATAATAATGATTTTAGTTGTCATTAACATTGGTTCTTAATAACAGGCAAGCTGTAGACCCATAAAAACAACTACATAAAATGCATAAGAATTTTGTTAATCTATTGAGTCCCCTGTTTTCTCTATATTCACGATATTAAGCCGATGCCACACCATCTACATTCACCTTGACCTGACCCAAAAAGAATCCATCTTTTTGAGCATCTGACCACTCCTGCCGAGTGACTTGTTCCCTTGTAATATCCCTTGGGATGAACCGTACTTTGAAGCTTTTAGGGAGAGTATTTGCACCCAATTCATATGCATCATCAGATGTGTCCATCGTTTGAAGCTTTCCATCAGCTTGTATTGGGGGCTTGATATGAAAAGCCCACAAGATTTTTGCAAGCGTGATAAAGAGGGAATTCTCTGCTAGATGCATACCAGGACATATTCTACGCCCAGCCCCAAAGTCGAAATGGTCACGGGCGTACGGGTCCGATTGCCCAGAATATGCCCCGGCCTTAAGAGGATGATTCAGATAGCGTTCTGGCCTGAAACTCTCCGGGTTCTCGTAGCGAGAAGTATCATAGTGGATGGCGTACTGGTGTATAGAGATTACCGTGCCTTTTGGTATGAAGAAGTCTTTATATGTGACGTCGGCTGTTGCATAATGAGGGGTGCCAATATTTGTGACTGGTCGAATTCTGAGGATTTCTTTGACCATTGCTCGAATGTAAGGTAGGCGAGTCTCATGTTCGAAGGTTGGAGATGCTGAGAGCCCGACAACTTCATCGAGCTCAACATGTGCTCGAGCTTGTACGGCCGGATTAGCTGCGAGGTACAGAATCGCACTGTTCAGGGAGGACGAAGTTGTTTCTGAACCGGCCTAATTTACTAGTTATTAACAGCCTACACTTTTTCAAAGCTTCTGGTCTTACCTCGATCATGGTACCGGCAACGAATGCAGCTTGCACCTCACTGATCCCTTGTGCCTTGTAATCAGTCTCGGCAAAGTGCTTTACAAAGCACTCTGGAGCCTGCTTCTGATCGATCTGAAGCATTAGATTGGACCAATATTTCATCCAGATCTTGGTTTGGCGGTACTGGTATCGCAATGCCCGTTCTCTCCACCATTGAAGAAATGTTGGTATCTTAGCAAGGGGAGGAATCATATCTGCTATAAATGCACCTGGTGCAGTGCTGTCGGAGAATTCTTTCATGAGGCCATATATCTCCTCCACGTCTTCGCTTTGCTGCGACCGATGTCAGAAATTACACGAGGGAGACTTTGAGTAAAACATACCCATTTTTGCACCCGTCGACCGTAAGTAGAGGTCAAGACAACTGAAGTAGTATAACGCCTGACGTGCATATAGAAATCCTCCTCATTCGCGTTGTCGGTCATTAGGTCGAACACAAGATTTTTAGCTTCAAAAAGCTGTGAAGGCATGAATGTGTTTGATACACTAGGAGTAAGAAGTTTGTGGACGATTGTTCTGAGCTTTCTCCAAGTAGGCGTATAGGTCATGAGTAAGAAGCGATATCCACCACTAATAAGATCATTGCCGACGGGCATGGGTGCGCGGCCTGAGGTAATGGCGGATTGTTTGTCCAGTATCTCCTTCACAGCTTGTGGTGTGTTTAGAAATACCCAATTTTCCCAACCAATCTGTACTTGCATAACTTCTCCATACTCGCTTGCCCACTTCGTCAGTTGCTTCTGCGGTCGTGGACCCAGTTGAAGCGTATTGCCAACAAGCGGAAGTCCACGAGGGCCAGGAACTCTCCGGAGACCGGCTGGTGCCCATCTTGCTCTGTACTTGAGATATGCTATGATCAGTACGCCAGTTACTAGACCTGCATAAGCATAGGAGAAATGGCTCAATAGTTGCGAGATAGCCATCGGAAGTTACGAGGTGATTGGCCAATATGTCGAGATACGCCGAGAGGAAGTAGATCTTGAAGTTATGAGCGTTGAAAAAATTATTCGTATTTAGATATGAAGTTGGAATATATGTGGTCAAGAAATTGAAAGTTCATAGTAGCCAATATTGTGTGGGGTACTTTTGCGGAGAACCTAGCCACAACCCCGCGTCTCTTTTAACACTCTTTTGTAATTGGCCCGAATCATGAAAAATTCGATATGAGGCATTATGCCAACCTCGTTACCCTCCAGTCTGGCTTGTCGAAGAAGAACACAAAATCAGTTGCGGAAACACTATAGCACAAGAAGGATGGAGATAGGAGACTGTTAGAAGAAAATGTTCCTTGGCTGTTACCAGTATATACCAGGAGAGCTTTTACGATTCTTGATGTTAATGATCAGCGGCTTGTAATTCAATTAACTAAGTACATGAAATTCTTATAAAGTTAAGTAGCTAGGTGTCGGCGTATCATCTGACATATCAGCAAAAGCTGTCCAATGCCTCCACTTCTTTTCCTTGCCCTCGGCCTCGTCTGCAATGGCAATAGCCATATCCGAAGCTGAAATCCCATGTAACCGACCATCAAGATTCTTGGGATCCTTTTCGTCTCCTTTCACCGGTAACACGTCGAATTGAGTATCGTAGGCTCCAGTTCTCCGACCCGGGCGATAAAGTGCGGGAGGAGATACGAACGTCCAAGGGAATGCGGTGTTTCCATCAAAAAACATAAAGCTGGTACGACATGCTGTAACAAATACAAGGGCCTTGTCGTTACTACGCACGTATCCCTCGTACTCCTCGATGACCTTTTCGGTTTCATCAGAAGTGTTTCCAGATGCTTTGGCGATTCGAGCATTACGGTAGGCACGTAAACCCGAGCCCATCGGACCCAGCCGATCTTCCATATAAGACGTATGAGCCTCACTGTCTGCGATTCCGCGACGGTATGACATCCACCAATCTTTGTCCTCGAGAACGCATCTCTCTGATGAGCCTGGCATGAATAGACTCCCACAACCACCAACCATTATAAAGTAGCCAACTTTCGCTAACCTGATAGCTAGAACGATCTTCCTTGTGACTTCAAGAAACGGCACTGTGATAACTTTAGTGACTTCCTTCTCCCAACTGGTATGGAGCAGGATAGTTACTGTATTGTAGTGCCTCATGCCCAGCGCTGTGAGGGCCATATTGGTTGACCACGACATCCAAACCATTGAATACTTCTGCAAGCTCGACTATACTTAGGGCATTGACGTCTGCCGAAACCGGTGTATATAGTTGATGAGCTCCTAACTTTTGAGGTGCTCTCGATATGCCAAAGACCTGGTGACCACGATTTAGCAACTCGATGCAGAGATAAGATCCTCCAAATCCAGCAGGACCAATCACACCAATTTTCAAAGTCATGATAATGATTTATGTGTACTGATTATATGTCTCTAGAGAAGACAGGAGTGCGTAACAGGACTTAAGTTATACGTTCAGTAAGGTTAATAAATGATTCTGCATGCACTTCCCCGCATTGTAGCCCCACTCGTAGAGCAGACCCTATGGCCACCAGCGCCTTGGTTGGTCAGATTTGTTCTAAATTTATATTAGACTTCTTATCTGGGGTTTGGTCTGGGTTTTTTAATTAACAAAAGCTCTCGGACAATTCCCCCGTTCTGGTGTGTGGACTACCTTTATAGGTGTGAGATTTCACGGACTGTTATTTTATTGAGATGTGTGTAGCTAGATATTTACTGAAATTCCGTTAAATATAAGCAGAATTAGGAAACCGTGAGGTCCTTTCGCCATGATTTTCATAGCTCATCGATAGTAGTGTCTAATTATACAAAGTTACAAACACAAAACTAAACCACGGCTTCGAAAGGTAGTCTTTCCTTCGCAGCTCTCTTCATGTCACTATCTAACATGGCCATCAATGTCTGATTAAGACCCTTTTTCATCCACTCAGTGTCATGTGCAAATGCGACATGACATCCTAGCTCCGTTTCCATCAATCTAATTCTACTTATGGTGTCTTTTGCTGCTGGAAGATCTGCTTGCAAGGAAGCTGAACAGCCATTGGGATTTTCCCACACGGCAAACTGCTCTAACCCATCGAAAATGCGCCTGGTCACGGATTTAGCATCTCTCATCCAGGAAATGACAGGCAAAGGCTTACCTCGAGTGACAACAATCGCTTCCAAGCACAACCCACTGGTTGTCCCTGACATGCGCAACAGCACACAAGTTTCCCGGCATATGTCCAGGAGCCTGAATAATCCAGAAGCTCCCATTTCCAAAGAAGTCCATGGCCTTCTCAAATGCCCCAAATCTGACCCAAGGACCACTGAATTCCTTCCAATTTTGAGTTTGCCTCAGTGAGTCGAAGTATCTCCCATCCCACTGCACCGTATCTTTGGCGTCTTCTGATGCAAGGTGCCCAGGAGAACAATGCTCTGCTGTACCAGGACCAAAGAATGCGCATGCTGCCGGGAACTCAGTATCAATCGGCCGGCAATGATCCCAATGTGCGTGGCTTATATAGTTGTAAGTATTGATCTATTCAAGGCGATATTTGAGCTTTGGCACCTGAATAAAACAGAGTCTATCTCGTTTACTTTCACGTTTCTCTTTGCCAACTGCTCACATATTGGTTTTCTCGGGCCCACTGCTTCCGTCTGTGATAGCATATACTTCTGTACCCAGGGCGTATAGTTTTCTGTTATCTAAGTCTTTCAGTCTACATCTATCCACGGGAACGCTTTCGTAAGGGTAAAGGAACGTGTTCTACTCCACTAAGCCCCAGATCCCACATCACATGTCTTCCCGTCTGGATATCTTCTATGCAGAATGCCCAGTTATACATGCGAAAGGTGTCGTCGCTCGCACCCGCGTGTACCTTCGATGCCGCTGCGATAAAACTACCGCCGTCAAGACAGTGAAGCTCCACATATGAGGCGTCTACGGGCAGCGGCAAAAGCTGCATGCCTGAATCCGACATGTTGTTGATTGAATGTGATGTCGTTCAACTTATCAAAAAACCAATAATTTCAAAGGTTCCACTGCATACACCGGATCTTTCTCATTTCCCTCATACCCCGGCAAGTTTCTTCATGTGGGGAAGGGCGGGGTAAATACAGTAGCCACTCCCGGAGTCCTCAACATTTGATTCTTTAACAACATAAAGTTGCATTAACCAAAAACTACATAGCCTGCTGCTGTTACTTGTTCATACAACTGTTGTGGTTGCAAAGCTTGTTGAGGGCAACCATTTCCACAACAACTCAATACAGAAGGACAAATGGCAATTCATTACGGATTTATCGGCCTGGGCGCAATGGGATACCCTATGGCCCTCAATATCCGTCGGAAGGCCTCACCGGAAAGCACGTTATACATTTACGATGTCCATTCTCCATTCTGTGAAAAGTTTGTGGCGGAGAATTCATCTTATGGGCCTATCAAGGTTGTGTCTTCCGCGCGAGAAGTCGCGGACATGGCCGATATCATCATCTCAATAATTCCGGCGGCTTCACATGTAAAAACTGTTTATCTAGATGCGAAGAATGGTATTATTGCGGCGAAGAGCAACCAAAAACGGCTGATGTTAGAATGTAGCACAATTGATGCACAAACAGCCAGGGATGTTGGAAACGCAATACTGGATGCTAGTAGTGGGATATATATTGACACACCAGTCTCGGTAAGCAGTTTTGAATTCCTGTCTTCATGCGAAAAAGCCTTCTGATCTTGACTTCTAGGGTGGAGTGCCTGGTGCGCTTGCAGGAACGCTCTCCTTTATGATAGGATCACAGGAACCCAGCGCAGGCTTCGACATCCACCCACAGCTCGAGGCCACCATGAGCTTGATGGGAACCCCATCCAAGTTCTTTTATTGCGGAAAGCTTGGAGCAGGCCTCGCTGCCAAAATCAGCAACAACTATCTTTCGGGAACGATTCTTCTGGCCAGTGCTGAAGCGATGGCAATTGGGATTAAGTCCGGCATTGACAAACACCTCCTCTACAAAGTCATACACAATTCTACGGGTCAGAGCTTTATGTGTGACCATGTGAATCCCGTTCCAGGGGTAGTGGCGCATGCTCCCGCAAGTCGGGATTATGAAGGTGGTTTCAAAGCCCAAATGATGGTCAAAGATATGACGTTAGGTGTTGATGCGGCAGCGGCTGTGGGCATCAAGCCGAGTACAGGACAGGCGGCTCTAGAATTATACAAGGAGGCTGCAGTGGATTCAAGATGTATTGATAGAGATGTCTCGGTGGTATATCGTTTCTTAAATGGCCCGGAGTAAGGAGACCATACAGCTGTGGAATGCAAAAGTTACCACTTTATTTATGAATCAACGATATTGCAGTACTCCAGGATTTGTGTGACAAGTATTTTAAGCAGCTGACCTGCAAGTCGTCTATTACTTGTATATCGAGCTACAGGTTATTCCCGAACTGTTTTTCGAGTTTCGAATCATTCCATCAGTCAATCATCGCGATTGCTCGCGGGCCAAATAATCTGAGAATTTCAACAGTAAGGGTCAATTGATTTCTGATCTGGCTTAGCAGCCTATTGAAAAATGAAAAATAACACGTAAGGTGACTGCTGAATTAAAGATCTTGCATGTGATAGCCATCGAGCTTCCGAGAGCATTACCCACGTGAGCTGATGAGTCAAGTCTTTCTAAGCGCTATTGTTAAGCCCGGTGAGGGGTCGAGACCGGGGAATTAAAGCCTACACCAAATAAGGCGCTATCTCCCTGTCTCCAACTCAAACTTAGTGCTGGCACATCTTACGATGAATGAGCTTACGAGATTGTTGGTAAGGTTTCATTATTGTCCATCCATCTACTTCCAGGCGTCCACGACAACGGGCGATGCTGCCCCGCATTAACAGCCCTCCGAAGTGTTACTCGTACCCCACAAATGCGATCACCCCACTCGTTTGAAACTACAGTATGCTCCACCTTTTTGACTTCGTGATGATTTCTGGAGGGGGAAAGGCAATGATGCGTAGCGAGTGCATATATCGACGGCTTCTCCGGCCATTTCTTTCAGGTTAAAGAAGAGATTTCACTACTACAGTTAGCTTTGCTAAACTCTGGTCTCATTCATCTCCGTCTTGCAACATGCCGACAACACTATCAAACCCGAAGGAATACCAAGATATCTTCCACTGGGCTGAAACCCAACAAGATGGAAAGATACCATCCTTTGCTACTCGAAAAAATGATCCATATGAGGTAAGATATCGTCCGAAGTCATTTCTTCTAGCAATTAACTAAAGGTTCTATAGTATCAATCAGGTTTCAACAATGAGTACGTCCAAACGGTATACTTACCATTCTTCACTAATAGTCTCAAGATTTGCCTCAGAAGCAGTCCCTGGAACCTTGCCTCAAGGTCAAAATTCGCCCAGAAATGTTCGGTACGGACTTTACGCCGAGCACATGACAGCTTCCGCTTTTGTTGCACCTCGAAGCGTGAATAAACGCTCATGGCTCTACCGCGCAAGACCCTCGGTGGCTCATCAAGGTTTCGTGAGTTAGTGAATATATTTCACCACTCTGTTACTGACTAGTCTCATAGACGGACCTCCCGGACAACCCTGATACCGAGTCGAACTTCCTACCAATTAACAGTAAAGTCCATGTTTCACCAACGCAACTCGCATGGCTTCCGTTCGAAATCCCTTCTGGTAACGACGTTGACTTCATTGCCGGTCTGAAGACGATTGCAGGTTCCGGAGATCCAACACTCCGAGAAGGAATTGCAACTCACGTCTACGCTGCAAATTCAGACATGAAAAATAATGCCTTCGTGAACTCTGATGGGGACTTCCTGATATGCCCCCAACAAGGATCGCTCGATATTCAGACTGAATTCGGTATGCTTTTTGTGCAGCCTGGCGAGATTGTTATTATTCAGCGGGGTCAGAAGTTTAAAGTAGACCTGCCCGATGGTCCATCTCGAGGGTATATTCTAGAAATCTGGGGAAGCAACTTTGAGCTTCCAGAGCTGGGCCCACTGGGTGCCAATGGTCTCGCAAACGCCAGAGATTTCCTTCACCCAGTCGCCAAGTACGAGATTAAGAAGGAAAGTTGGGGAGTCGTCTACAAACTTGCTGGGAAATTCTTCCGAAGCACTCAGGAGCACAGCCCATTTGATGTTGTGGCATGGCATGGAAATTATGTAAGGTTCACCTGACTTAGACTCGATTGACCGCTAATGGAAGATCAGGTACCCTACAAATACGATCTCACAAAGTTTGTGAACGTGGGTTCCATATCCGTTGACCACATTGATCCCTCTATCTTCTGCGTCCTAACTGCCAAGTCACGCGATCCAATAGCACCACTGGCAGACTTCCTCATCTTCTCACCACGCTGGGACGTAGCATCTAACACATACCGTCCACCTTACTACCACCGAAACGTTGCTTCCGAATTCATGGGACTCCTCTATGGGGAATATGGCGGCCGCTCTGACGAGTTCCAGCCGGGAGGTGCCTCATATGAGTGTGGAATGGTTCCACATGGAGTGGCTTACGAAGAGTTCAAGGCTGCTACTGAGAATGAGCCCCCGGTCATGCAGATCTCCAAAGGTGCTATTGCTATCATGTTTGAAAGTTCGAGACCATTCACCATTACGGACTATGCTTGGAACAGCAACAAGAAGCACGAGCATGATCCTAAGATGTGGGATGACTTAGTGGGTATGTTCAAAAAGCCTTTCTCTTGCCGTGTATAGTACTAATAAGCAATCCAGATAACTTTTCTCAACACCAAGATGAGGTCAACAAGGTATTGGCTCTTCACGAAGCCAAGTTGACTAAATCAAACAACCTGAAAAATGGCAGCCATTGAATTATATATATATAGCTGGTTTTAGGATTTCATAGATGAATTAAAGCTTCATGATATAATAAATAGTGTAAACACTCTATTATGTTTTCTGTCTATGCTTAAAATAAAACTATTAAATGAAAAGGCTATTATTAGCTATATAGAGCTTGAATATTACTGTATTTCTCGGCTTTCAAGATATCAAATATATATCTACATAGTCTCTCTACTATCAAAGTATTTTATTTATCATCCAATGCTCTATACGTAGCATACGCTTCCTATAGTAGTTATTATATAAACTTAAACAGTCTTTAGTAAGGGTGCGGTTATAATTATTTACTATTATTTTTATTAACGGTTTACAGTTCCCTATGCAATTGACCTCTTATCATTTTCTTACCTTTGTCTACTTATTCCAACATGCCCTAAATCCGGAAGCCTGTTATAATTTAATAACCTGGATCGTAAGTCTCTTAAAGTTTTAGGTGTGGTCCATGGGACACGGAGTTAATTAATAAGGATAACGCCATACTACTACTTAATTTCAATAGAATCTTATATTTAGACCATTATGGGTGAGCATATCAGATGGTAGGCGTAAGCTACATATATGTTTACACACTATTCACGGAAGTATTCTCCTTTGGGCCTCGTCGACATGATCAGAAAGTTCCTTTCCCATCCACTCTGGCTTTGTCCTTTCTAACCCCTCCTCTAAGTCCACAATATCATGCCCAGCTACAAAGAATGACTTTCCGTTTAACTCAGTTCTCACAGCCGGCAACAAAAGTGCCCGGGCAATTCCTATAGGCTCGTTTGCGGGAAGCTCACCCCAGACGCGGAGGAATGATGGCAGAAGCATTGGTGTTTCTGAGGTTGCTTAGCACAATGAGATTTTTGGAGCGTGATTGAGCTTACTGGTCATCCATGGAGCTACCATGTTTATCGTTGTATTTGAGTTCTTGGGTAGCTGGGTGCGCAGTGAGCGCATCAGACCCATTACACCAGTCTTGCTTACACTGTACACATACAATGGCGCAGTATCGAGAAAGCTACATGCACATTCAGCGGGCAACTTTGTGTAATATTATCTCAGGGACGTACCAGGCGGCACTCCCTGTCAAGACAAGCTGGCATGGTTTGCCACCCATCTTTGCAAAGTAATGTATCGCACATTTTGCCGTATAAATTACGCCAAGCAGATTGATATTCAGCGTGGCTAGGTTAGGGGGTAGCAGCTTTCCCGTCGAGCCATCAACTTTGTCCTCGAGCATATTGCCAATCTCGTTGACTCCAGCATTGGCAAGGACAACATCGAGGGCACCAAACTTCTGGAAGCCGGCTTGAAAAAGCTCTAGAACATCATCCCAGAGAGATACATCACATTTACGGAAAATGACACGGCTATAATATTGTCAGCAAAGGTTTCTGAAAGAAGCAGGTTCCTAACTCTCCGAGCTCGCGTGCTAGCTCTTGGCCCTCCTTTTCCAGCACATCACCAATAATGAGGTTCGCACCATACTCTGAAGGCCCAAGTTAGCTTAAAGAAGAACATTGATCACTTCTTGAAGTGATCTCCAGTTGGGTGGGCAAGGCCTTACGATGTGCAAGGTAGACTGTCGCTCGACCTATGCCGGTAGATACACCCGTGATAAGTACGGTCTTTCCCTTCAATGCAGCAAATTCCGAATCGTCTATTGGATATGAAGTCATAGCTGCGAGATTTCAACAAGAAAATGGCTTCCAATTCGAAAATTTGTAGCAGTCGAGGGGCACTTCAAAGTGTCATTCACAAGTCTGCTGAATAGACTCCATCAGCTTTGCATTACAGGCTTGTGATGATACGACCATTTATCCACAAAAAGAGTCAGCTGTCTTCCAACTATAGCTTGACCAGGGTTTTACTGCTATCACCACTTTGGTTAGAACCATCGAAGGTACTGTACTATGGTCGTGTCCCCCTGCCCTATGTGAGTGGTGTCCAAGTATTCTCCCCACTCCCTCCGAGAGTGTCGCCGTTCAAACCTTGACACGTAGCGAAGTGTGATAGTTGACAAAGCATACCAGCGTAATTTAGAGAATAGTCGGCGTAATTGTCAGAGCATACCCCTAATTTCGCCGTATGGAGTAAGTTATTAAGAGGATGGAACCTACGTATCGTAATGTGGGGGGCGGGGCGGGTTCACGACACGTCGACATCCCACGCTACCCCACATTCTCACCGTCCCTTTTCAGCGAGACAATTCGTGCTCAATTTTTCATGCCTAGCGTAAGACAAGTGTTGTGCTCAGTTTGAGAAGCTACGACGGGCGTAGAAGTATGAGAAGAAGCTTATGAGTTACTCCCGACAAAGGCATTCGTACACTGCTGCCTACTGTGCGTTGGAAGGATTTTGTCGATTGATCCCTACCAATAAAATTCAATCCGTTTTCTAGGTATATGGTATGCTTTATGAGTCTGAGACGTGAAACATTTACAAAAGATGCGGGCTCTGCGTCCTAGACTGTCCGTATGTATGCATCAGTGCGAAAAACTGTTCATAGTAAAGTACTAGCTGCTTAAGAACTTCGCCCATACACCTGACATCGCGTCATAGCCAGCTTGTGAGAACAGTGCAGGCCAGACAGTATCATTCCCCTCCTTGTCTCTACTCAAGGTTTTACCATCTTCTGATATATACTCCTTTACGAACTTTGACCCCTGTTCGACTTTCTGGAAAGGTGCCTTGCCATTTATGAATCGAATAATATCTGTTGCAAATTCGACGGCCAGTTCCGCTTGCGACTTCGACATATCCTCTGTGTAGTTCAGGAACAAGTATGCGACATCCAGCACATGAGTTGCATAGCCTTTCCAGGGCCCCTCCCATGGATTTGGCTCTCTGAAACGGTATTGATATGCTGTTGATTTCCATGCTGAGGCGTAGGCGCTTGCCGGGGCATGGAAGCCGATGTCGTTGGCGAAGTGAAGGATCAAAGGCCATGCCTCACTATCGTTCATCTCAGGTGTTATGTGATATGCTCTCAAAATTTCTGACGTATGTGGCAAGGCGAATTCATTGAGAATCTCAACAAAGCGTTTCAAACAACCAGTCTGTTTGGAAGCAAGCATGATTCCGAAGATACTCGCCTAGATAGCATGTATTAGCTTGAACAGATTTGGAAAATTCATAAAGAGACTCTACATACATCCATATCACAACTACCAATGAGCATATTGATGTTTTCAGGCAGTTCGGTCTTGGTGTCTAATGCCAGCTCTGCAAAACCTGTATCTTTTTTAATTGTGCGTTCGTCTAGCACTGGTAAAAAGGGAAGGCCTGGTGGTAGCTTCATCAGCAATTCTGTTGCTGGCATCGACGATAGAGCTGCTACTCTGTCTGCAGCTGAGAGATCTTGAAGGCCTAGTATAGCCGTCACTGTTTGATATATATCGTTGGCTACGAAGCTGGGCAAAGGTCTCATCATCAATGGGCTGCCGCTGAGGCTGATGAATTGCGAGAAAGATGGCGTTCCGGCCCCTAATTTGATCTGGTGCATGGTGGATACTATAGTTATGGATTAGAAACTTAGGGTCCTATTCAACATCAAACATCTATTGCAACTCACCAGCGCCAGCGCTTTCTCCCATACACGTGATTCTATTTGGATCTCCACCGAACAGTGCAATGTGCTTCTTTATCCAGAGAAGAGCTACCTGTTGGTCTTTGAGTCCATTGTTGGCGCTATATCCATGATCTTGTAATTCTTTCGAGGTCAAGAATCCGAAAGGGCCCAGCCGATAGCTGTGTCGGTCAGTTCGAGACAACGGAATAAAGATCACCAGGTCTTACTTAATGCCCACTCCAATGACTGGTATGCCTAACTCCTTGGACAGCGTCACTATACGTGCCTGGTCATACTGTGGCCATGCATTCGATCCAATGGAAAACCCGCCACCATGTATGAATACGAAGACCGGCAACGCGGATGGCGCATGAAGCGCGTCAGCTGGGGCTGTAATATTCAGATTCAAGCATTCCGTATCTGATTGAGAGAATTTTGTGACAGGTAAAGATTTCTGGATGAGACCAAACTCATGTTCACAAGCATTTGGTGGTGAAATAGCTGACAACCTAGGAGTTTTTGTTAATTTCGCAGTCCTCGGGCACATTCCAAATATCAGGAAGACAGGTGCTTATTACCCATGATTGGAATCATCAAAAGTCTTTATATCGGTATATTCGCAAAGCTGGGCTTCAGCGAACTTGTGCTGCAAAGCGGCGTACTTGATTCCCAACCACTGTTTAACGCCATCACCACCTTGTGAAGAGTTCGATACTGGATGACTTGTGAGAGCCATGTCGATTGCTGGTCTGCAATCAATGGCGCAGTGTATAGATAAATTCAGCTTCTAGAGACACCGAGGTAGTTGCTGAACCGTGTGGCCCGATTTTGCACATAATAACACATTAATGTGTGGGGAATGGGGTGGTGTGGGGTATGTACATCTATTGCCGATTAGCGGCGTCTCTATTAAATTATGGTCCTTACCAATCGTCTATCCATCTGCCTCGGCGGCCGATGTTTCTTTTAGTGTCGATTGATTTTCGGCATTACGAAAAGACAGATACCTGAGAACGTTGAGTAATATTATTACACTATAATCTTCCGCCATCTCGAGGTATCTTTAATGCAATCAAACCAGAATGACGGGTACCACAGATTTCGCTTCGCGATGTCAGCCATTCACTATAGATTTGGATGGGCACACTATCCATCAGTATAGAGGGATCAAATATGGTAGTCTTTCGCGACGATTTGCTGATCCCGAAGCCATTTCATATGAAAGCTACGCCGACAAGCTTGATTGCACGCGATTTGGGTAGATATAGGAACATTCTAAGCTGTGTTTTTCATGTCGCTGACATGTCCGTATATAGTCCAATATGCCCTCAGGTATCAACAGACTTTCATCATTTGTTGCGAGTTCCAGAAGAAATCAAATCTCTAGAGCCGAAGGTTGACCAGGATGAATTTGAGTGCCTAAACCTCGCTATAACCGTGCCGGCGGGCGCAAGAAAAGGTCTCCCAGTAATGATATGGATTCATGGTGGGTCTCTAAAATTATCACCAGATGTCCAGTAAGCTAACGCTGTTAGGTGGTTCCCAAGTTATGACGTTCATACCAGCATCCTCACCATGTGCGGATAATATCCCTTTTGTGGCAAATTCAATGAAGCAAGAGCAGCCAATGATCGTAGTATACGTTAATTACAGACTCAACATTTTTGCTTTCGGGGACGGCAAAGGTAGTCCAAACCTCGCACTCAAGGATCAGCGACTGGCAATTGACTGGACGGTCAAGCATATAGAGAGTTTTGGTGGAGATCCTGTAAGTAATCCGTGCCATTCTAGCTGTAAGGTCAGCTACTTATCTCAGTGGTAGAACAATATCACGCTTGCTGGAGAGAGTGCAGGTGCTGTCCATGTGCATGCCCATATGTTGACTGGAGCTCCTATCCAGAGAGCTATCTTGCAGTCTGGATCACTTCACCTGTCGCCACCCCAAGATCCGATTCGTGGAGAAGGGTTATATACAACCTTGGGGAATATTCTTGAGAAGGATGGTCTTACTCTTTCCAGTGCTCCTGTCAAAGATGTGCTTGGTGCACTCGCTGAATCGAAGGTCGTTTCCATGTGGCTGCAATTGACCGAGGAGCTTTCCGGGTGGGAAACACGAATCAGCCATATAGACCAACTTTTGATCGGAGACGTCGAGTACGAGTCCATCATCTGGCGAAATGGCATCGAAACTATGACTGCTGCTGAAATCGTGGCTGCTTTTGACTCTGCTGGTGATCAAGCTTTGCAGCTCAAGTCTCTGTACAACATCGATGCTGATAGACCTTCATCGTGTAAGTTCGGTGCATTAGACTTCATTAACGACACGAGATTCACTCTTCCGGTCATTCTAATCAGAGACGCGTACCGCAAAGCTGGAAAATCTGTGTACCATTATACTTTCGACCAAGCAAATCCTTGGCAAGCTTCGAGCAGAGCACACCACGCAGTTGATCTTCTTATGTTATTCGGAAATCTTAATCTCAACGCCGCTGCTACTGCAGTCAGACAAGAAGTTCAAGACAAATGGCTGAACTTTTGTAATGGACAAGGACCTTGGTCAGAGGATGGGATCTACGCTTTTGGTCCTTACGGACGTTGTAATTTGATCACGCCAGAAGAGTACGAGAGCCGGCGCCGATTACGTCCTTGCGCTTTCTTGAAGCAACTCGGCTCTGGTCAATACAATCCCATATTTGGGAAGCTAGCTGCAGGAAGAATCAGTTTGCTAAATTGAGTACAACCGAATTTTCACGTTTGAAGGTAGTTCATAGTGGTTACAAAATCATTTAAAGATGACAACTTTGGCTCAAAGCGTTATTTTTGTCAGGAATTTGCAGTAGTAGCAAGAATATAAAGTATTTAGTCACTCGAGCTTAATTGAGTCGGGACTTTCCAGAAGCACTAATCATTTTCCCTGTCTCTAAAATCATGAAAGCCTCAAATGCCGTGCCCAGCAATGTTTGACATCTAAAAGCAGAAGTACCTGGTGGTAAAGAGACCTACAAGCGGGGTAAGAAGTACTTGCGGGGCAATACTGGAGTGGGGGAAAGCGGATATTAGCGATTCGTGCAGCAGATCTTGATTATGACAATAAAATACTATAAGTAAGGACCAATAAATCCCTAAATCTCGTTGCTCCATCTTCTGACCCACTTACACACGTATACGTCAAACACGATTTCGAATTCAGTAGCACAAAAGATGGCCGGTCTTACGCCGATTAACCCCTTTGTTTACAACGTGTCGCCATCTCGAGTTATCTTCGGCTCGGGGTCTATCAAGAAGCTTGCAGAAGAACTTCAACGTCAAAATCTTAGTAACCCACTTTTGCTGTCCACCCCTCAGCAAGTCTCACAGGTTGAGGATTTGTCAAAGCAACTCAATGGCAAAATCGCGGGCATTTTTTCGGAGGCCACTATGCACACTCCATCTCACATAACAGAAAAGGCTCTCAGCTATACCAGCGAGGTGAAAGCAGACTCCGTTGTGAGCATAGGAGGAGGGAGCACCATTGGGTTGGGTAAGGCTATTAGTATCAGAACTGGATTGCCTCACATTTGCATTCCGACGACATACGCAGGTTCTGAGATGACGCCGATCCTTGGAGAGACGGAGAATGGTCTGAAAAAGACGAGGAGTGATCCAAAGATTCTGCCAGGCGTGGTCATTTATGATGTGGATCTGACCATGACTCTACCAACAAGCATGAGTGCCACCAGTGGCGTTAACGCAATTGCTCATTCTGGTAAGTCTGCTATCACCCGGGGGAAAAGCTTTCCCACACGAGATCCTGCTGATGCAACATATCAGTGGAGGCCCTTTATTCCCAGACCACCAACCCTATCATCAACCTACTTGCAATAGAAAGCATAAGAAGTCTTGCTGTTTCGCTTCCTATCATCGTTCGGGACCCGGCCAACACCGCAGCACGCACGTCAGCTCAATATGGAGCATGGCTAGCAGGACTTTGCCTAGGATCCGTAGGCATGGGACTTCACCACAAGCTCTGCCACACGCTCGGTGGCTCTTTCAACATGCCACACGCCGAGACCCATACCATCGTTCTACCTCACGCCATCGCTTTCAACGCGCCCTACATTCCAGAAATATTAAAAGCCCTTGCTAAGGCCTTACCCGAAAGCAATGGAGATGCCATTGCTGGCTTGAATATCTTGCTGGAAAGTTTGAAAGTGGAAAGGAGTCTGAAGGCGTTTGGGTTCAAGGAGGAAGATATCGAAAAGGCGGCCGAGATTGCTTGTGCTAATAAGTATCCGAACCCAAGGGCGGTCGAAAAGGGTCCGATACAGGAATTGATACGTAGAATTTGGGCAGGTGAACCAGCGAAGGCGAATCTATAGATCTTCATAATATTATTCAGCGTAGCATCGTCTCCAAACTTGTGTCTCTGATGCCATTCAGAACCGCTTTCTAGGTGAGTAGTGGCGTTCAAGAGGAGAATATTTGTCATTGGTTCTCAAGTTGTGCAAATCCTCGTTGTCTGATATGTGGGGTACGGTAGCTCCCCGCCTCGCTACTCCCAACGTCCGAAATACGTCCATAGGCAATAACATAACTTTCTTCTAAGAAAAAGGGATATAAAACATATTCTGCTTCCTTCTTAGATCAATAATCGGACGCTTGTCAAACAGGATCGAGTTTTGTTTTGCATAGAGACGTAAGAATTTATAATCGGCAAAGATGTCGTCTCCAAAAAGCATCGGATTCATTGGACTGGGTATCATGGGGTAAGAACGTTGGATTCAAGAGGGTTTTATCAAAGACTAACTGCAACGAAAGATATCCCATGTGCGTCAGCTTGTTCAAGAAATCCGCTGATACCCAAAACCTCTATATCTACGACATCTCGACAGAGGCATTGAGCAAGTTACAAAGCGAGACAAGCAGGACAAGAGTCCACATCTGTAGCTCATCGAAAGAAGTAGCTGAGAGATCGGTACCTAGGCCTTCCATTTGCTTTATACTGCAATCTGACCATATCCTAGGATGTGATCTTTACGATGGTCCCTGAGGGCTCTCACGTGCGAGCAGTGTACCTCGAGCCAGAAAACGGCATTCTGTCCACTAATCTCGCCTCTAAGATCCTCGTAGACTGCTCCACGATTGATACAGCGACTTCGAGTCTCGTGCGTGAGCAAATAATCCACCAGTTCCCTACTGCAACATTTTATGATGCGCCTGTCTCAGGTGGCTCCCTCGGCGCCGCCAAAGCGTCCCTCACTTTTATGCTCGGCGCCTCGAAAACCGACCCAAACATCACCCTTCTGAATCAACTGCTTGGTACTATGGGCAAGTTCATTTTTCCGTGTGGTGGGGCATCACTGGGTCTGACGGCCAAGTTGTGCAACAACTACTGCTCGGGCCTCATCGCCATCGCCACGGCCGAAGCCATGAATATCGGCGTTAAGTCAGGAATCGACCCGAGAGTACTAGCAACCATCTTCTCCACTAGTACGGCACAAAGTACCATCTCTGATACTTGGAATCCAGTTCCGGGTATCTGTCCCGGTGCACCCTCGAGCAATGATTATGAGGGCGGCTTCAAGGTGCAACTTATGAAGAAGGATTTCGGACTGGCTGTTGATGCAGCAGAGCGTGTAGGGGCCAAGTTAGTCTTGGGTGATGCTGGGTTAGAGACTTATCAAGCTGCTAGTAAAGATCCAAACTGTGTGGATAGAGACTCAAGGGTTGTGTTCCGGTATCTTGGGGGCGATGAGAATTGGGCCGTCAAATTTGAGAAGTAGATATGTGTCACGCATGGTTTTACTCCTGTTAGCTAAGATATAATCCATCCTCAGGAATCAATGATATCGTATCTAACCAGATACCCCGTTTCCCGGAAATATCCCCCTCTGAATGGCCTATTAACACTTTGACTACATCTGCAAAGTCAACTTTGGTATGCTGATAACCATATATCACATCGCCATATAGTCACTATTTTAAGGCTATTTCAAGTCATATATTAACCACTATATGCTAAAAGTATAGTAGTTAATACTATTGCTACTACCTCAGCAAAGGATCCCTTAACCTCATCATTGCATACCTTATCGTCGCATACCTCATCGTCGCATACCTTATCATCGCATACCCTTATTATCGCTCCCTACACTAAACCCTCTAATTCAAAGACAATTCTATCATCTCTATCATCTCTATCAAGCTCAGGATCATTATCACTCTCTTCGTATTCTTGCTCACTTATTTCCATATCATCCTCTATAGGGAAGCCATCACTATACGGATAAGGAGCCTTGCACGCTTCCCTAACCTCCTCTAAAGTCCGCTCCTTTTTAGCCTTTACTTGCGCTATCCACGTATTCTCAAAGCTCTTCATAGAGGGTATATATAGGCTTCGACGTAGGGCTTATATAGGCCAGGAGGGTATTCGGAATAGTCGGTAGAAAAAGAGGTAATAAAAGAATAAGGAATACTAGGAATCCCCTCAGGCAATATAGCTATAGTAGGCCCTCATTTCCCAAGTGAAAACTCTACCAACCTCTAAGCAATCTAGCCTTATCTAGCGAATATACCCTGAATTGTGGATATATTTTATGGGATCTCTCCTAACTAGTAATATTAGCGCTATCGAGGTCTAATAAGAGGTTATCATGGAAATAACTAGGCAGGGTACAGGCTATATACTTGGATAGAGGTTATATAAAAAGGCTTCTCGCTATTTCCTGCTTCTTTTATAGCATACAATTGCATCTTCTATAGTCTATACAAATCGCGATTTATATAACAGATATAGAGAGTATATAGCATCACTTTTAACCGCGACGTAATACTAGTGCTGTACGATACTAGATCGTCGTCTAGCGCTTTTGGTTGTACCTGAATGAATTATTTGGCTGTGCGCTACACTAAAAACGATAATTTAAATACATGCTTTTATGCGATTTCTCGATATCCGTGTGATGACAGTAACCTACTACATGGCCGACCGTATATATCTATAAATTATTCATTTTTCACCTTTTTATTTGTTGATGAACCACTATTCGATATTATTCTTATAATATTGATCTTTGGAAACGCTTTTGTCTCGTGTAATTGTATACGTGATAATTACGACCCCCCGGACAGACGACCGAGAAAAGTCAAAAATGCATGCTGACATGCTTCTGGATTTTGCACATAAATCTCATGCCCTGCTGCATCTATCATCACCAATGTCGAACCTCGTATTTGTGCCTGAATAGCCTTCTGGTCCTCCACGGTGGTTGCTGCACTCCTCATTGGCGCTAGAATCAACGTTGGCACGTCGATCTGACGCAGGAAAGAAGTGCAATCCACCTTGCACAAGAAGTCCGCATACCCAGCTAGGCCTTCACTACTCGAAAGGGATACTTGATCGATCCACCAGGCTATGTATTCTGGGTTAGGCATGGAGACCGTGCCTGGTACCTTGGCTAAACTCTCTCCCCATCCTCGAGATCCTAACTTCAAACATGCAGTGGACCATTCGGCATGACCGAATGCAAAGAGCTTCTGGGCCGCTGGGGGCAAGTGGGTGGGGGTTGAGCAAATGGTAAGACTATGAAGTCTATCCGGATGTTTTGCCGCAAGAATACAGCCGAGAATTCCACTGGTGGACTCTCCCAAAAAGTGCACCTTCTTTAGTTTGAGTTGATCAATTGTATCCACAATTTCGTCAATTATTGTGTCAACATTGTATTCGTATGAAGTGGTGTTTGGGAACGGGGGGAGCTGGATAATCCATGACCTCGCGCATCTCGCCGAATGACTCTATAATTCCGGCTCAGGATCGGGATCCAATGGTACCAGAATGCAGCATGTCGCCCAAATCCATGTTGGATTATGATTGTCTCCCGAGGCTTCCAAGGGTCAGTAAAGTCATCTTCTAGATAATGTGTTTTTTGTCCGTTTTTATGAGTTATATAAGGCATTGCGAAGGTCGTACTCGTATAAGCGAGGGAGTGGTGATAATCAAGGGCAATCTGTACGAGGGGTGACCAGATGTGGCAGTTTGCGATGAGTGACCACGAATGTAGAGGTATAGGAGGGAAAACAATGATATCTGATCGAGGAACCTTGAAGACGTAGGATTCGGGTGGTGTGAGAGCGATTCACGTGAGGGCCACCCTTATTGTTTCTTCTTGCGCAAAGGATGGATATTCAGCGGGTCACCTATGATGTTCGTTTGCACAAGAACTCGGCAAGAAAGTTTGTACACAAATAAGTGTATTGATAACCGAATCATTGCAGATTACCCCACATGGAAAAGAGGTATGGAGCTCTGGACCTGAAAAATTGAGTTGGATCATAAACTTTGTTCTGCGGTAGCTGGAAAAGAACAATTCAATGATAGCTTAATCTAAGGTAATAATATGATAGTTGCAAGGGAAAGTTTGGTCTATATTATTACGTTGAGGCATTAGACTTAGAATTCTCTTATTCTAAACACAAATGAAATAAATATTAATACCAAGAGAAATATATCAGAGGCGCGTTAAAGAAAACAGCAAAAGTATAATTACAATATTTGAGAATTCCTTGTAAAAGAACATAAATCCTGATGCGTTGGTAAGTAATAGTATAGTCAGATGCATTATACAGATTACATAAATCAACTATCACCAATCTGATGTGCAGGTGACTAGACCAAATAAACTCTCTATGTGATTTCTACCCAAATGATTTAATTTAGCACAAGCTACAGTTTCACCCATTTCCATACACAACCTTTGATGTTAAAGAAAGAACCAGGGCGAAGCATTGTTTGGAGGTAAGCTCCCCGCACGCTTTAGAAAACCGTACCTGGAGGTATCTCTTAGCATGGCGGGTGCGGGGTAGTATAGAGGGGCACTGCCATAATTCCACGGCAATCAAAAATACTTTCACCATGGCGGGGTAGTATACAGGAGCACTACCACGATTCCACGGAAATCAAAAATACTTTCGCGAGACATTTTCACAAGTACCTGAATCTCACTCTTTTGCCCAACGAACGTTATCAGCTCACCCGCAAAGCTCCAGACAGCCTTTTTCCAACATGACTTCCACACCAGCATCGAGCGATAGCGTCGCAGAAGCCCACAAGACGCTCTTCGACGAAGGTCTCAAAATTCGCTATGAGGTCGCCGGCAAATCGTACGTAGACAAAGCTCTTGTCAATGGATCGTCGGAATTCGCGCGGCCAATGCAAGAACTAGTCACTGAAGCATGTTGGGGCTCTGTATGGTCAAGACCAGGCTTGGAACGAAAGACGAGATCGATGTTGAACATGGCAATGCTGTGCGCGCTGAATCGGGGGCCGGAATTGGCGGTGCACGTTAGAGGGGCTTTGAACAATGGAGCTTCGGAGGTGGAGATTCGGGAGGTTCTTCTGCAGGTGTCTATCTACTGTGGAATGCCCGCTGGTTTGGAGGGGTTCAAGATTGCCGAGAAGGTCATTTTGGACGTTGCCAAAGAGAAAGAATCCGCGCGAGGATGATCAATGGGGTTGACCTGGCGTGAATGGTTGTTTAAGGCTAGATTGTCATTGTTCGATATATCTCTATTACATCTCAAATAGACCTTACAATGCCCAAGCGCATCTCCTAGCTATGGAAAAGTTCAGAAGTGCATAACATTCTTGTAGCCCTTCAAAATTGAAGCATTTCGGGAAAGCAAGAGGCCTTGTTCCTCTCGTACCACTTCCAATCGTGGGCCATTATGATCTGAACCTTAGAATGTTCCAGTTCTGATAGCCGTGCTATTTTCCTCAACGTATCCTCAGCTTTACCCTTATCCAAATGAATACACATAACATTGCCCTCCTGATCCTCCCAACTAGAGATCGCCTTCTCGCCTGTGAGAAGCCTAGTATCGTGACATGAGTCACCCCCAAGGTACACCCAGCTCTCTTGATCCACTCGACAAAGCAAGTTTATATGGCCTGGAAGATGTCCAGGGCTGTCGATAACAAATATAGAACCATCACCTAGCAGATCTAACGCATGAGGGAAAGGCCCTATGGCAGACCAATGATTCTCGACCATACGTCCGCTTCTCAGCTGAAGACGAAAGATTGCTTCATCGATATCCGTTCTTGGAAGCTCCAAAGTTCTCGTAGACGGCAATAAGTCCTGCTGAAAGTGCTGGTGACTACCGGCTCCTGCCAAACCACTCTTGAGGATTTCGCAACTTCCACTTCCAACGATAAAAGTGGAGTTAGGAAATTCCTCCGGGTCTCCATGATGATCATAATGGATATGGCTTAGAATCACAATGTCTATATCCGATGCAGCACTTAATCCACCTTTCAAAAGTTGACTGGCTATATTTGGGCCAAGAATGTAAGGCAGACGATTTTGTAGATGTATTTGCTGTTTGTCTGAGTATTTGGTAGCTGCTGAACGTAACCCGAGATCAAACATCAATCGTATCGGTTGTGTAGTTGTGGTACTCGCATCGCCAAATCCTGGATGTGAGATCAGAAAGGCGAGAGAGGGTACGGTTCGCTTGATATCACCATCACTGGGTGAAACGAAACTCTTTTCTGGTAAAGTGATAAAGCCACCGGGAAACGTAGATAAGGTAACGTAGTTTTGGTGGGTCTGCGCAGGAGGTAGCATGCTGGCGGCAAATATCAGCAAAGGGAAGTATAGATGGTGGACAAAACAAAAGTGCTGCAAACTTATTCACCCAGTTTTTCCCTATTCTCCAGATCTATTTTGACAAATGAGGAACTACAGGGATTATCACTATGTGTCCAGCTTTTCTGTGCACGCTTTGTCGGAGTGGGCTTAATCGTGTCCTAAATTTCGTGGGGTCGGTTACCCCACATCCCGGGGAAACCGTGCCCAGATCTTTGGGTCTGAAACTTCAAGATAATGTCCTAATAATTGCATACCATCCTCAGGTACGAATCGAACAAAGTAATCTAAGTCTTCTAAGGTTCCATTATTGATAATACAATGTCTCTATTACCGCCCGTCACGTCTGATGAACTTGCTACTCTACATGCCAAAACCATTATTGTAACTGGGGGTGCCAGCGGCATCGGCAAGGCAACAGTCACAATCGCTCATAGTGAGATTCACATGGAATGTAACTGTTATATCTACTAATATCTCCAAGGAGCCGGCGCGAACGTTGTAATCGCAGATATGAACAAGGAGGCAGGAGAGCAATTTGCTGCTGAGCTAAAGGAGTAAGAAGTCCTTAATTGAGAACATTTTCGGGTGCATGTGGTTAAGACTTAGGGGTGTAGGCGAGCAATTTTCGTATTGACAGATGTCTCCAAATGGGACTCTGTTATGGCTCTTTTTGAGACGACGTACGCGAAATTCAAGTATATCGACGCCGTCTACGCTAACGCGGGTATCCATGGATTCGAGGGACTTTTGGAAAATGAGCTTGACGATGCTGGGAAGCTGAAGGAGCCCAGCATGAAAAGTATTGAGATCAACTTACACGGCGTCCTCTATACAGCGAAAGCTGCTATTCATTTCTTCGAGAAAAACCCGGAGCTGAAGCATCAATTGGTGATCACGGGATCGGCTGCCAGGTATCTTGAAACTTACACACCAAATATCTCGTTGCAAGCCAGCTGATACATTTGTAGTCTTATAGATACGCCGCCACTTTTCAATTATTGTGCTGCTAAGGCAGGTGTGCTCGGTCTAATGCGAGGTTTAAGATCTGTCCTGCCTGAAAAGAACATCAGCATCAACATGATCGCTCCCTGGATGACCATGTCGCCAATGATGCCACAATTCATCGTGGATCTATGGGCACACCCTACGGCCCTCCCCGCCAACGATACTGATGGGGTTGCAAGAGCACTCTTGATTCCGGTTGTGAGACCTGAGCTCAATGGTAGAACAATATGGGTGGCAGGTAATGATGCTGTTGAGCTTGAAGAGCCGCTTCATAAGAGTCAGCATTTGTGGATGGGGAAGGACTTATCAACGGCTGTCAATGAAGGCCAGCTTCGTATGGGAGTCAAGTCAGACTTCTAGTTGTATCTTTCTCTATTTCTTACTCAATACAGTAGATAGAGGAATTTGGAGTCTTGGATGCTATTTAGACGGGTAGAGTAGAAATTTGATTGCAAGTTCTGTGGAAAAAATAAACAATAGTGATGTAACTCTCCTTGCATTTCCGAGAATAAGCGCGAGCCACTGTTTGAATTTGACTCTACAGGACTATCAAATCCAGCGTGTGCACAAACCTCAGCGTGACTTAATTCGACTTAAGTAATACTAAGTTGAGTCAAGTGAAGTTAGTGTCCTGACTCGGATTAATTCAACTTATTGCACACGCTGATCTGATTCAAATCTACAAATCACGCGTCAAAAAGTAATTCTATGTTGGCATTTTGATTGCTAGTCAGACCCTGCATCGACTCAGACAGTGTAAACGAATCACATTTAATTATATTCTCTAATTTAAACGACCTCGAGCCCCTAATTTGCGTTTGTTGCCGCCAAACAATCACGTTCGATAAGGGCAGCATGAGCTGGACTTCGTACCTTTATAATCACCGGGAAAGGGGCCTTGTTCTTAGTCAACTGGGGAATGTTCATGGTGTCTATCGGATTTGCCTTGAAATTTGTTAGCACGGCTCCTCATCCTTGCAAAACTTAGCTGGATGTTACCTTGTCTTCAATAAAATCAAAACAATATAACAGTCTCGCAGTAGCCATCCACACGTTCATCTCTCCAACGTTCCAGCCGACGCATACCCGACGACCTAACGTGGTTAGCGAATCAAATTAGGTCTGAAATATATGATAGGATTACCTGGTCCAAAAGCCCAATGACCTTTGAGTCCATTGTTCAAATCATCGTTCAAGAACCTCTCTGGCCAGAAGCGCTCGGGCTGTTCGTATTCTTTCGGATTCAGTGCAATGGCCCACGCATTCCACACAAATACTGTTCCAGCTGGGAAGCTGTATCCTTCGTACTCGTCATCCTTTGTACACGAAGTTGGTGCTCCAATCTCGGCAATATTTGGGCGCCAGCGGAATACTTCTTTCACTACTGCAGCGATGTAGGGCAGTTTATCTTTGTCTTCCCAACTGGGGAGGCGGTCCGCATTGCTGCCACACACTTCATCCAGCTGAGCTCGTGCGCGGACTACCCAGTCTGGATAGGTGGCAGCACCAGCAATGAGCTGCCCCACAGAGACTCGGGTGGTATCGCTTCCTGCCTCCATGAGTGTACCAAGGGTAAATAGTTGCTGGGTCTCGTTGAAATATTTTTCATCATTGTTCTTGAGGAAATCCACAGCAAAACAGTTCTTTTGGGTGCCGTTTTCGATCCGAGCCTTGACATTATCGAGTTGTTTCTTATAGACACTGAGAGGGTATGAATCAGATTAGCATCCCTGACGAGAATCGGACCAACTCACCCCCTAGTATATTCAAACAACTTCAACCCTCTCGGACGCCACCATTGCAGGAATTCCGGCAACTTGGCAAGGATAGGAAACCCATCGACCAAGTTGATCCCCGGTTGTTGTTGTTCGAGAAACATCTCTACTGTTTCGAAAAGAGCCGTGACATCAGGATCGTCTAGTTTTGACCTTATACCAAAGACAACACTCATAATAACAGAGTTGGCATATCTTCCATTGGCGGAGAACCAGCGATCTGGGTGGTGCAGGTAATCGTAAAGCAAATGCCTAGATTCAAGCTCTTGAAAATCGCGAAAGGTATCTTTTTGTCGTGTGCTTAAAATCTGATGCATAATTTTTCTCGTCTGGCGCCATCTGTCACCGTACGGCATCAGGACCACTCTGCCCCCACCTGACATGATATCCTGAGTCATGGGGAAGGGTGGGCGACTCGAATAAATGGCAGCCCTTTTCTCCATAAGATCTGTTACGACGCGACTAGAGTTCAGGAATACCCATGTGCTTGCGCCAAACTTAACGGTAAACCTGGGAGCTAATTAGCAAAGCCCAGCAGTTCCAATGACAGATCTTTCTACATCTCTCCATATTTATCAGCCAGATCTTTTGCCCATTGTCCTTGTTGAGTTGGAGGAACTTGGAGCGCATTTCCCATAATCGGAATGCCTGGGACGAGCGGAGGAAACTTGTACTTCTTTTGGCCCCTGGTAGCAAGATATCTTGCCAGGACAGCCGTGAGAAGTCCAACAACCGAATAAAGAAACACGCGTTGATCCATCATGACACAAGTTTGGTTAGATACTTCAAAAGTGAAAGTCCAACCAAGCCTACGAAGAAGTGAATAACTTAAGAAATTTGTTTCTTTTTAGTCAAGACACCTGGTTATTACAGGCTAACTTTTCGCCTCGTGTAGTGGACGGTTGTGGGGTGTTGTGGGGTTTTGTGGAGTTGGGCGCTGTGGGGTTGGCCTGAGCCGCCATTCAGCAACGATGAGGGGTCAAAATAACTTGTGCGTGGGGATTCTTCTTCTCATTGGAAAGTCCTAAGGGAGAGGTGGGATTACAAATACATCGTGTTATACCAAAACCTGAGGCCCGGCAAGACCCAAGGCCCGGCACCCGACGAAGAAAAGTTCGGGTGATATAGTTGTCCGTTTAGTGCACTAGGCTGGCCTAGAATCATGGTTACGTGGTTGCATTTCTAGGTGTAGGAGAGGTTCTAGCTGAGGTTGCGACGATAAGGTGAAGGCCTCGTTGCTGCTTAGTCATCGGTGCTAAGGTCACGCGGTGCACGTGATATATATCCCAACAATAGTAGTATAATTTTTACTTCAAGAAATATATTTAAGAACAATCTATTCATTAGTAAAGCTTTGTTATATGTAGAGTAATAAGTTCAGATTAACATAATCAACAGAGCAGCTAAGAACCCCAATAATCCCGAGCCAATAGTTAGGTGAAGTGCTGCTTTGCTTTAACAATGAGTACTACAATTTACAAGATACTCTTATACTAAAGAAAAGAATAAACACGAAACTCGTCAAATACACCGCGAAATGCAACCACGTAACCACGATTCTAGGCCAGCCTAGTGCACCTTGTGATACCAACACATCGAGCGTTAATAAAGGAAACAAGCCTGGGGTTAATACCAACAGAAAGTAGAGACTATTTTATAAGAAATATAACAATCTTCAATGTCGGCTAGTAGAGGCTTAGAGAGTCTATAAATTTCGAGAAGCACTACTACATCTCACGTCAGGAGCAGCCGCCAAAGTGGCGAAATGTGATTTAAGAAGTGTACCATTCCATGAGCTTATTCACAAGCCAAGTGGCATGACATGACATCCCTCTTCACTAGATGATTGTGATAAATGACTACCCAAGTCCAGCTTGACTACAAGAAGACAACTCCGAGCAAGACATCTTAATAGACTTGTAGATATAACTGTATATTTTGCCTTGTGTGCCAGAAGGCCCTTTGAAGGACCGATAGTAGTGTCATAGTACTGTCACAAGATGCTTAGTCATCTTTGGATGAAACGAAAGCAGTGTAGTTCTATAATTGAGGACTGCTGGGTAAAGCAGTAATCCTGTCCGTATCTCATGATGATTCTATATAAAGTTCGCACTTGCAAATATACGTTTCTTTTGAAAAGGGGAGTTGGACATGTTTCTAGAACAATACTTGGCTAACAACTTGCCAGCCTCTTTGCTGGCAGAGGGACTATTCAACAAGAAGATACTTCGAGGAGGCCTGTCCAAGCTCCAAACGCCTTGATATTATTATAGTAGGAGTAATATTCTAGGGGTTTACCCCGCGTTTCGATGGTCAACAGCGCGGGGAAGAGGCCAAGGAGGGTTCGTCTTCCCCTATCGGCCCCTTTGCAGCCCGTAATTATGCCGTTTCTCCTGAGAAATGGTAGCGATACAGTAGTAGGAAAAGGAGTAAAGAAAGGGGAGGAAGGGGAGAATGGTGGAACTTTGACTCTGTTAAAAATGTATATATATTGGTATATGTTGATATTTAATGATGTTGGTAAATCTGGTGGGTTGGATGATTTCAGCCCATCTGTCAAGCCACCAAGCGAAAGTATAGCCTCGTTATATTTATATATTGTACTGTATATTGCAGCAGCACATGCACCCAAACATCGCTGTATATCTAATAGAAGGCCACACCTGTATAAGCCCTTCTGCCGTACCTTACATTTACAATACTACCTAAGCTGGGAGCACTTTTACGAATTGACGATACCAGACGATATTTGCCCCGTACTTTGATCAGCCTGACGCCACGAGACCTCCCACACGAGCGCATGCTGTAAGCCTGCTACAACAGAAGAGCTTCTCACTGCATTTGCATCGGGTTCTTACTCTGCGGCTGATATTTACCGCAATATCTCCAGCATATCATTCCCTAACAACAGCTGGCTACAACTCTACACGATATCTACCAACTTTGATACCCAACGAAATACCCCCTCTCTCCGCCACCATGTCTTCTTCCTCGCAACTCACAGGCTCAGGTATGGAACGGATTGTCTGTCGTCGCACAAATCACAGATTCTTGGGCTAATAGCAGTACCACCTGGCAGCCAAGCTGGACGAGGTAACAAGGCTCATGGGCAAGCTCTCGTCGGATCTCCAGGACGTCAACCTCCTCCCACACCGTATGTACGCACCTCCACCTACTGCTACAATACCGGTGGACATACTACTTACACCCTTCTGCAGAACGAGATGCGGATCTGGAACAATTGAAGGTCTATGGGCGTGACCCCACCAATGCCGACCCCATCTTCACCAAAGAGGCAGGTCACACTCCCCGGGGCATAGCTCCAGTTCAGTAGCTAACATGGGGACGTTTATAGGGGATAGAGACCTTGACACGACACGCCTTCAACAGCCCCTCCCAGACAACCTCACGAAATGCCCTACGATGCCTAGCGAATGCGCTGCTGTTGCGCGCAGACACGCGACAGATATTTTTGGATCTGGGATACGAGGCGAAAGCGTGCAACAAGCTGAAGAACGAGAGCTGGGACGATGAATTTCTAGTCTCACGGATTATCTTCCTCACAACATACGATGCAAAGGTGGACATCGAGAAGCTGGTAGATCAACACCATCTGGCGGAGAATATATGCTCGAATATCGGCCGGCACGCCAAACAATATGTCACCAAGCAGAAGAATGTCAAGGAGCTGGACCCCATGGAGGATATGGCATTGATCGAATCGCTCAAGCTGATGTTCAACCTCACACATTTCTGCCCGCAACGAAGCGCGGCTTTCTCTCCAGCATTGCCGCATATCCTCCTCATCCTCTGCAAGCGACCGATATCTTCTACCAAACCTCTTGATCCCCCAATTGCGCCCCTCGTCAACGCTTTAATCAACCTCGACCTCGAACGCAAGGACAGTGTGGCCGCACTCTTCCCAAAAGCTACCACCAACGCCATTGTTGACCGATTTGTGGAGATACTTGAGAAGTCTGTTAAGGTTTACGTAGATGAGGAACTGGAACAACTTGTCTCGCCTCTCCTTACCCTCTTTCGCAAGATCTACGAACTCGCACCAGAAGAGACACAGAAGTATATGCGGAAGGTTATCCTCCCATCAACGACAGACAGACAACAGCCCCTAGGACGAGCAGAGTCCCTATCTTCACGCCTTCTCCGTCTTTCGACCAACCCTACAACTCCCCAAGTTCGAGAATCAGTTTCGGGTCTTCTCTTCGACATGAGCGACAAAGATGCGACGAAATTTGTGCAAAATGTTGGATATGGATTTGCTTCTGGGTTTCTGTTTCAGCATAATGTCCCAATTCCAGAAAATGCCCTGGAAGCGTATAGTACGAGTGACAGCGAGAGCAGTAATACGAGGGCGAGCCAGGATAGTCGACGTACACTGGACGGGAAGGTCAATCCTATTACGGGGCAATTTTTGGACAAGGAAGAGAAGGTGGAAGAGGAGCCTATGACACAAGAACAAAAGGAGAGAGAGGCAGAGAGGCTGTTTGTGTTGTTTGAGAGGTTTGTTCCCGTGTCTATGCTTGCGACCTGATACTAACTTGGTTTAGATTAAAAAAGACTGGCATTGTAGACATCCAAAATCCGGTTGAAGCGGCATTCCAACAAGGGAGGTTTGAGGAATTGGATGATGATGCAGATTCTGAATGATAGCAAATCAAATATTGGTCATTCGGCACATGCAAGAGTCTGGGACATGAAATTCATGCATACATGGGCGAATCTGGTGTAAGGTCTTGTCAAAATCCGAGGGGCTCATGTGCGGCTGGCTGATACCAGGTTAGCACGTTTATATCCCTACAATTTGACTATAGATACTACCTTGACCTTTGCGTCCTAGTCTATTACATTTCTGTTACGCCAGTCCGAGTCGGGGTCGTTCGTTGTGCCTTACTCTAGCAGAATTTCAATAGCCAGTGAGTTCTCAACACCACCACAACCGCACATATGTTTCTCACGCCGTACGGTCAGATCATCGGCAAGTGCCACATATGCCGGCGTGTCTCGTGTTACCGTGGCTGCCAAGCCGAGCCGAATGTAACCTATCGGTACAATGTGGACGGTATTGCAGTCGGGAAACTGATATATCCAATATTAACAAGGATAATTCATTTTTGGGGATTTCTTCACCTGATAGTCGGCTTGGATCATTGATACCCCAGTAACTTGGAGTTGAGCTTACGCTAGCAGTTTAGTGTAGTTTCCGTGTGTCTATGATAAAAAGCGTAATTTTTATAATATTTAAGTTTCTAAGAATGCTGTTCTAATTTTTTTTTTTTTTTTTTCAAGGCTTAAAGTTTAAGTGCAAGCAAAAGTTTATGCTAGCTGGTATAGTTAAAGACTTTTTTTAACCCAGCTGAAAGAAGTTCTCAGAGCCAGAACGCTGTACTAAGGTTCCCGAGAGCCTCTACACCATCGGCGATTTGGCTTCGGGTATGCTGACGGCAGGCCGTGTTACCATGTATAATGCCTGCCCAACACCAATGCTGAAGATCTTTTCCCGGCACTTCACCTCCAGAATTCGATTCATCATATGGCACCCATAGCATCGTCAGCCGCCTTGCTTGTTCTTGTGTGGTGACTCTACATTATCTATTCAGTCATATGGGGGTTGTATCTGAGTCCCATCGCTCGATTCGCCGGTCCCAAGCTCGGCGCTTTGACCCAGTGGTATGAGCTGTATTATGACATCGTCCAAGACGGGAAGTATGTCTGGAAAATTGGAGAGCTGCATGAGCAATACAGTATGGAACGGAGTATCTCCTAGGCCTTTCCCACCCTAATCGCGACATACGAGCTGATTGATTCTCACCGCCAGGTCCGGCCATCCGGATTAACACATGGGAACTCCATGTCAACGACCCAGAATTTTGACGATGAGCTCTACGCAGGCGGAGGCACGAAGTGAGATAAGCATGTGCTTTTCACTGGCGCATTTGGCAATCCTGAATCCATGATTGGGACCGTATCGCACAGCAAACACCGTCAACGCCGAGCCCCGCTGAAGAAATTCTTCTCGCGAGCCAGTATCACACGTCTAGAGCCGCTCATCCAGTCCGCGGGGGACACCCTCTGCTCTAGACTTGGAGACTTCCAAAAGGAGAAACAGCAAGTACTGATTAATTCGGGCTGGTCTTGTTTCACCAATGATGTGGTCTCTGAATACGCCTTTGGTAAATCATATAATTATTTAGAAACCTCAAATGACTTCCATACCGATATCCACGATACCTTATGCAATGTAGGGGATATGTACCATATCCTCAGGACTATGCGTTGGGCTATTGGCCCGATATAGAAGTTGCCAAGATGGATCATGAAGATGCTTGATCCGAAGACGCTTTTGTTCATTGACTTTCAAGCAGACATTGCCCCCCAAATCAAAGCCATCATCACAGGCGCAAACGACACCTACGACTCTGTCTCACATCCAACAATCTTTCATGAGATTTTAAACATCAGCTTGCCGCCTGAAGAGAAGAAACTAGGACGCCTGTGGCAAGAAGGGCAGACGGTCATTGGATCCGGTACAGAGACTACAGCATGGGCGCTTCCGTCACAACATTCCACATCCTTGCCCAATCTTTCAATCCGGCACAGGCTCTTGCAGGAGTTGAAACCGCTGTTTGACAGCACAGATGGAAAACCAACATTCAACCAACTCAAGCAGCTCCAATACCTCGGAGGAGTCATTTCAGAGGGCCTAAGACTAAGTTACGGCGTCACTATGCACCTGCAGCGCGTGTCCCCCGATACGCCCATTCCCTGCGGAATCCCCAGGGAATCCCAGTCTACATGTCCTCAATCCTGCTCCACCAAAACCCCTCCATCTTCTCCAGCCCCCACGCCTTCGACCCCGATCGCTAGCTCAACAATCCGGGCTTGAAACGCTATCTAGCCAGTCTCAGTAAGGGCAGCAGGCAGTGTCTTGGCATGAATCTGGCATATGCGGAGTTGTATCTCGGTCTTGCTTATGTGACTGGAGATTTCAGGCCATAGAGTTGGTTGGTACGACACGGGATGATGTGGAGGTTGTAGCGGACTACTTTATGCCGATGCCGCGGAATAGGGAGATTAGGATTTTGCTGGTCACTTGAGTGGCAGAAGAGAAGACGCGAGTGAGCATATTGAAATAGTGGACAGACTGACAGTCCAATACTCCAATGAGTCTTTCAAATTACACCTGTTCTCGGCTTCAATGTGTATTTCAACCTCGGAATATATATGCAGGTGTTGAACCCTTCACACATTTCCCCCTCCCCACTGCACATTAAGAGCAGGAACGTTACTTTGACATCCAGCCCTAGCCGATAATCCTACCCAGGTCATGGCAATCACCTGACTGGCTTCGAAGGTGTTGAACGGAGGTAGGGATTTAAACGTCACCAATTTGCTTGAATCTCTACACCCGGGCCGAGCCTGCGGGTTGATTCTCCGCAAGCTAATAAAAGCTAAGTAATCACATCTGCTTCTCGAGCTGGAAAGATATTCGTTAAGAGGAGATTAAGCGCAAAGAATGAAGAAGTCCTCGTTGTGTTTCTACTGCCCTGGCTATAAAAGTGCTTGTCACCTTAGAGCTGGTCATGTAAAATCCCGCGTCGTATTTGCCAACGCTCATTTGCTTCGTTGGTAATATTCGGATATACACTTATACACTTATTCCTGTTACCCCTAATTCATCTCAACTCCAATAAGCAGTTGCGTTTCTGAAGCGTGTTCCTAGGATCACCTCACTGGTTTGGATTACAATTGCGGGCCACCTAATAAGGCGTCATCTCGAAACTGTTTTTATGTCTCCTTTCTTGGGTTACAATTACCAAAACCAACTTATGTTACATAGGAGGAGTACGGTTTTCTCGGCCTCGACATACTTCGAGACCTTCCTAGTATAGGCTTTTGAAATCTTTTGTGTCATTTGAAGAGGACGTTATATGACATCCCACTCTTCCACGGGTGGTGTAAGGACAGTCCAGGTGAGTATGTTCTGCTGGTGGGTATATTGCAATTAGGATGTGCCTCTGGACGACTGCGCTGATTCCAGTGTAAGATTAAAGTAGTAATACTCGTCCCATATGTCAGTGGAATGTGGAAGAACTGGAGTGTGTAAGAGGAGTTCCCGCAGCCTCTTTCGTGCATAGGCCATAGGATGCAAAGAAAGGCACCTGGTCAAAGAAGTCTTTACGTGATGAAGAAACCAAACACTACATAGGTATTGCTCAGAAGTAAAGTCCGAGGTGTCGACGAGTTAAGGTTGCATATTGTGTAGATTTTGGTCAGATGGACAAAGTCTGAATTGCCTGTTCCTGCTTCAACCCTGCCGGCGGTTCTCTGTTTCAGGCAGGTAAATCCTTCAAGGAGATCGGGTAGATGAAATAAGCTTTTCCTCCGAAGTTGTAACGTTAAGGTTATAACCCATATCGGATGAACACCCAACTTCTATCGTATTAGTACACCATGTCCCACGACCGTGATATTAGCATGCGATTTCCCCTGAGATTGTAGAAAGTCCAGTTAATACAGCGAAAGAGAGTACCAGTACTCATTTTCCGAGTCGTTGTCTCCTTAAATCATTCCAGTTAGCCAACCACAGGTCTAAGAATACAACTGGAGAAAAAATATGGGACTGAGAAGGAGCCTCACCAGTTTGAGTTGTATCCAGTTCATTCGAGGTAACCAACCAGTTTCCAGAAGCTAGATCTAAGGAGATCGCCATTATCGCGGGGTTACGATTTCGTTTACGTCCAGGGGTAAATGTTCCAGATGGCGACGGGACGTGCCCTAACGGGTGGGGATTATGGCCCCTGATTGGAGCATTTGACTTCTTCCAACTCTCCTCATCTCCGACAACCTCCTATTTGGGTGTGAGCTTCTACGGTATGTAACCTCATAACCCCTGAGGCTCTCAAACCATCCATCACCCCAGGTGCACCGCAGCCAAACTCGTCCCTCATTGTGCCGCAATGGTTTCATTATCTATGCTCGTATGTTTATGTTCCTTTGAAATCCAAACGAGTATTACGAGCTTCCGCATTGCTACAAGCGCGAGTAAGCGCAGTGCGTTGCAGGATTCGCTCCGGCATACAGTACCCCAGATTGGCTCTCATGGTCCTCTACCGCTAGACGATTAGATAGCTGTCCATGTCATGGCAGATGCTGCACTTTCTGCTCGGACATTTGCCATGCAAGGGATTCCCCTTCCCCACGTTTCGGGCAATCAGTTTTCCCTAATGTCAACCGCGGAAAGTGTGTATATCGACCCTCCATTGGTTGCGTTGTTCTCCCTGATCTTCATCTTCATTGGACACTGTTTTATCAGCCTCTCAGCCTAGGAGAATAAAATTATTCAGGGTCGTTCCTTCAGCCAACGGGCACAGTTCCATTCATATTGCTCTTCTTATTCTAGATCTCCCCTGCCGATCTGCCGTCTGCAATCGCTGCACATCACCATGGCGCCATCCCAACTTTCGGACGAAACCCAGTTTGGGACGCGCAAGACGGCCATATGTCGGTGGTGTTATAGTTCATGAAGCATGAAATCCTTCCCAAAATTCATGGTTTTAACCGCTCACTGGCGTTTTTGGGCACCTCTCCACCTTCTAAGCTACTTGATCTCCCATTATTCGTTCATTTGCTAGTCAGCGAATGGAATGTTACATGTTGGCTCTGGGGCTCCTTTAGTCAAGGGTTTTCTTTAAGCCGGCTTCCTCTGGAGTGCAAAGCTCAAGCCGTATGGAGTCGTATGGAGTTATGATCAGCGGCAAAAGGGACGAGATATGGGTTTAGTCCTAGTCCAAGGTTTATCTACTTTTTAGTAAGTGCTTGATATAAGAGGGAAGTTAAATCCTCTGCTTCAAATCATTAAGTCCTTTCACTTTCCATTTTTTGGCAGCAACTCTTTCCAAGATGACGACCCTTTCCGATGTTATTGAGATACAAAAGACCTATAATGTTCTTCAAGCCCCAGCGATCCCCGGGGACTCGGCAGATGTCCATGATGATACGATAGATGCTAGTGCTACGGGATCAACACTCAGTATTGGACTTTATAACTCCACGACTTCAAGCACTGTCTATGCATACGTCACTGGACTCGCATTGGATAACAACAGTGCTGTATATCTCCTACAGTCTGACGGGTCCACAGCTTATTATCCTGCCAATCCGACTGGTACTGGTCAGCCAATTCTGACCAACTGTGCTATCCCTCTCGGTGCTCCAGGAACTACGAAAAACGTCATAATTCCACATCTGGCGGGCGCTAGAATCTGGTTTTGTGTAGGCAATACCCTCACATTTCTGTTGAACCACGGGGATACAGGCCCAGGTCTAGTCGAACCGGCGGTCAATAACACCTCAGACCCAAACTACAATTACAGCGTAAGCAAAACTGTCTCTTTGATTTTACCCTACCCCCTTCTATCATGTTTCGTCTTATGTACTCCAACTAGTCCTTACATACTTCCTAAAAGGGGAACTTGCTCTTCTTCTGCTCTTAAAACACTCTTGAAGAGGAAATAACTGACTCCCCCGTGATCTAGTGGGACTTCTGTGAATTCACATTCAACAGCTCCCAAGTTTACGCCAACATCACCTACGTCGATTTTGTTTGCCTACCAATTGCCTTGACGCTCACGACTAGCAGTGGAACAACACAACATGTCGGTGGACTTCCAGCAAATGGATTAGATAATGTTTGCAACGGCCTCATTGCACAAAACGCCAAAGATGGAGCAGGCTGGGACCAACTTGTCCTTACAAAAAATGGCAGCAACCTTCGTGCACTCGCTCCTACGAACGGCATCGCTCTCTACAGCACCCTTTTCCAAAACTACTGGACCGACTACGTCAATTCTTGCTGGAGCCAATACATCTCCACTCCCCTTGTCATAGATACACAGGCTTCATGGGGCAAAGTCTCAGGCTTGACCTCTAACGACCGCACCCAGATCACATTCAGCGGCGTTGGATCGATCAGCAAACCCAGCGCAACAGATATCTTCGGTGCTAATTCCGGTGCGTTTGCACCGCAGACTACCAACACAGCTGAGCTTCTTAATATCGGCGCCCGCATCGATGCAGCTTTGAACAGAAGTACGTTGCTTTCCAATGCAAACCAACCCGACGGCGAAGAGATCTCCACCTTCTACACGAATACCGTGACCAACCATTATTCAAGAATCACCCATGCAGCGAACGTGGATGGGAGGGGATATACATTTCCTTATGATGATGTGACGGGCGGAGGCGTGGATCAAAGCGGGTTTGTCAGCGATGGAAGTCCCACGAACCTCCTCGTGACTGTTGGAGGCGGCAATGCGTTTGCCAAACGAGAGGACATCGATCAGAAATCTGTTCAGCCGCCAAGAAGGATGAGACGGTCCGTTCAATGGGTTGAGGATGTCAAGCTTGCTCCACGGGAGGAGATGAGGGATCTGGAAATGGGAGAACATCCAAAGCTCCTTGCTGAGATGTCACCAGCTGCAGCTCCAGCTCCGAAACCAAAGATCTTGCTTCCGCAATTTGTTCAACGCTTTATGAGCCCCTATGTCTCTGTAAGTTACCATCCTCCATCGCTCGGTGCACTGTCTAATTTTTCTAGAAGCTACAGGCATCGCCATACTACGCGCAGCGCCTTCGACCACTACTTGATTTTATCAACCAGTTCCTCGTCTCCTTCCTTTCACTATCCCTCCGGGCCGTCTTGTCCCGAGTCTTCTTGGTGGCGTTCTTTTTTGTGTTTTACTTTTTGGGTATCTTGCCTCATGAGGCAAAGGGCCAGAGTCAGCGCCGCATACTGGAGGCTGCTGTAGCGGCTAGCAATGGGAATGGGAACGGGAACGGAACCATTGTCATGCAGGGTAGTTGAGGAGCGAGATTCTTGAGATCTCTGACTTGTAAATAATGTACCTTTCTGTGAATAACTTTTTGTTCTTGTATATAATTCATTCTGGTGGTTGGAGGTAGCATATCAAGTGTTCTGGAATTAAGTACGAAATGAAAACTCGCATCGAATGACCTAATCTTTCGTTGATTTCAACTTGCGGGAAAGAAATTGTGGTTTTCGACTTTGTTTTCTGCCTTGGCTTGCATAGCCCTACTTGGGTGAAGAGCGCAACCCACCCCACCCCACCCACTTATGGCGATGCGACCAAACCTTCCTTCCCACCGAGCGTGTAGCCGAGCGCGTAGAGACATCTAAATGGTAGTGTAGCGTCCCTGTTGGATTAGGTATCCTGTCCTGTCTGCGAAGAAAGTAGCTGGTAAAGTAGAATGTACTCTGTAATACCACACCGTAGGATGCCGGGGTGGCGCTTTGGATTGAACCTGCCCTGCGCTGCCACTCCAGGCTAAGGAATGGAAGAAGCCCGATAGGTACATGTCGTCCGTGGTGGGGTCTTGTTACGCAGGTGCAGGACATGGAAGCACAGGATTGGACAGAGCAACGTCTCCTCTCGATGATACGAAATATTTCTGTCTATTGTTGCCTCAACTGACCATGAGGTAGTTATTGGCGCCGGCGGGCAATGTGGACCAAGCTATGCATTATTAATTAGAGTATTCCCCTTTGATTGTTCCCCCTATGTACTTTGTACTGCAAGGCAGTCGCCGAAAGTATACTGTAGAACTCCACCAAACTCCAGTAGCGATTATGTGAAGACCAACGAACGCCGAAGCAACGCATTTCGAAGCAGAATATCCCCGTTGAATCAGAACCGATTCAACTCCAAGAACTCCAGGTGTAGAACACTCAATGCACAACAATCATTCGATAACTGTCAGGCCACCGAAGTCCTTTCCAACCATTGCCTTGGCATCTTCAGGCCCGGCCAAAGCTCGAGCTTCTGCCATGACAGCGTCTGTTTTGTATAATGTCAGTGAATCAATACATGTGGATATCATAAACGATTCGTCTAGCAACTTGGTCTAATCATGGAGAACGAACCAGCATCTTTGCCACCCAGGTCAATCAGTCCTTCATCACTCAGCGCTCTCAACGCATCCCCAGTCCAAATCACACAATCGTAGCCTCCAAGTTTCGGATTGCCTTGCGTTTTCTTGCCAAGTCCTTTCTCCCGCTTCTCCTTTCCAAGTGGGATCTGCTCGAGAACGCTGCTGATTTTGTTGAAATCTTGTTCAAGGTCAATGGTAGCCACCCGATATAGGAGGACGAGCGATGACGAGGTGGAGACATCTTTTACTGGTCGTCTTTCGAGCACCCAGTTGGAATTGATGTATGTTGCATGAAAGAGTGTACCACTCGTCGTAGGCTCAGATGAACCGACCAGAGGAGCGTATGTGAGAAAGATGCCACGATGCTATCAGGTCTGGTTAGCGAAAGTATGAAGCAAAAGATGTGTCAGGAGAGACATACATATTCATCTACTTTTGGTGCGTTCAAGGTAAGGTAGAGAGTGTTGGACAAGATCTTGTTGATCTGAGAGTTACACACTTGGATGCTTTTCGCCGGAATTGGCTCCATGGTGTCCTGAGCAGATGGCATGGCTTGGATCGAAGACTGATCGACAGTATTCTTGATAGTTGAGATGCTGTGAGAGGAAGGAAGATGAATCAAAAACCCCGATGATTTGAGTAATAACATGGTCAAGACTCTGTCCCATTTCCATTCACTGCTTTTGACATGGAGACTTTTGTTATTAGTTGTGCCGGAATGACTCCAACGTTCACTCATTGTCGATTTCAACCAGCAAATGAATGTTATACAACTAAAATTAAATAGCTAGATAAAATAGATAAATGTCAAAGTAAGAATGTCAAGGGCAAGGAGCAGTGAGAAGTAATGGCAGTGCATATAAGCATTTTTGGGCCCGCCACGTGGCGTTGCAGAGCAGAAAAAGCAAGCATGCAAACCAACGCCATTATATATAAGGATCCACTCTCACGAATGGAGAGATGTGTGCTTGCATATTGAATACCTATGATCTTCGTAGAGCAGATGATAATCCCGTTTAGGCACGTGATATGCTCATCATTGTCTTGCCCCTCAATCTGCACATCGGCTGTGACGCTGTGCTTCCCCGCCTGGACACTTGAAGGTATCTCGAGTTTCTTTGCCATGTTAAGATGTCGCTGCTTGATGGGGTAGTTTGCTTGGTTCCATGTCTGCCGAGTCACACAGATCGGACGTGTTAGGAATAAGCAAGCGTCACAACCAAACTCCATTGAAACTGTCAGGTGGATATTGGCGGCGTCGATGTCTCTGGACAGGGAGTCTTCCGTTTGGATTGTGGCATTTTGCCCCTGCAGACGGCCTTTAGTGCTATCCCGCCGGGCCTACGCTACTGGTGGATGTGGACTTTATCGAAGCTGTACGCAGTAATCTTTGGGATCGCCACAGGACTGCAATATGATGAGTCGATATCCGCAGACGCATTAGGACATGGCTTATATCTGCATCCAGATGATTACCTGGGAACCTATTCCCGACACCTGGAAACCTTGTTCTTACTGCTGACCCAGAGCTGATTCATACTGGAATGGTAGGGCGAATGCAATGGTACCGTACTGTACATGAGAGGGAAAAGGCGGATATAAACTCATGATTAGCAATGTTGGAACTAGCCCTAGTGGGAACCCGAGAGGCGCTGTAGCTGCAAGGGGAGGGCGTTATACTCCGCAAAGGTGCTGATAGTACGGACGGGCCGGAAGCACTAACTCAAAGGAACGACGAGCAGGCAGGCAGGCAGGCAGGCGGGATACTCGTAGGACAGGACAAGAGCATGACAGGACCAGGAATAGGAACAAACAGCTGCTAGGAGTATGAGGCGGAAGATGACAACCGGGACGTCTGGAGCCCGAGAATGAGGCATTTACTTTTTATTGAGATGCATGAAATTATGTGCCGTAACTCCAAATAGCTAGTAGGAACAGGATGACAAGCAGTAGTCTTGAGTTTGCGATATAATAATACGATACAAGTAATAATAATAATAATAGACCACGCTTGCGGCGGATGTATAAAATTAACGTTGGTGCAAGCAAGGTATTATATGTAGAGTCAAGGTTTGGCTTGGCTTGGCTTGTGCTTTTACCATGTACCATGTATTTTGTACCTTGTACCTTGTACCCTACCTTGTACCTACAGTAGACAGATCTCATACGAAGTAGTACGTGGGGGAACTTAGGGCCGGAACGTAGATCTTGGAGACGGGAACAGTAAGGTAGGGAATAGTAATATATAGGACGGTAAAGTAGTACTGGTAGTCCCCTTAATAGAGGTTATGTATATGACTTGAAGAAGTCTGATGGCGTTGTTTGTTGGTATTACTTGGTACTGTACCTAGTCTTGGTGAAGGCAAAGAAGGGTAAAGATAAAGGTGAGAGTGAAAGTACAGTATTATTTCAGATGGCGGTGAAAGGAATGAACTTGCAATGAATAAATGGATCCGATCAGTGGCGGTGGGGAGTTTGTACGGAGGGGAGGCTACTCGTACTCCGTACTTTCCCTACCATACGAAGTACCCTGGCCTGGAGTGACTTGCCTTGCAGCGGTCTGATAGGCTCCCGCCGCTAATTCTCTAGCGATATCACTCGCCCGCGACCCTTGGAATCCCCTCAACTCCAGCCTTGTTCTGTACTGTACAGTATCTCTCTATCTTGACTTGCCCTTACAACACCTACAATCCACAATCCATAACACTACAACCCAACCCAACCCAGTACAGCACAGTACATATGCAAAGGCACACGCACACGCATACGCATACGCACACACACATGCAGTACACCCAGCACGCTGCTCTACACTACACCACATTACAATCATCCCCCGACCTTCTGCAGATGCGTAAACAATAAACTCACCGACTCCTCCCTCCCTGCCTCAGCCGCTATGGCACAAGCTGCCCTGATTACAGACGATATCAAGGCTCTGGAGCAGACGCGTCAGCGCCTGTACCAGTTGAAGAGCAACATTATCTCTCTACAGACGGATGTTATGCGCAGTAACCCTCTTCCGCAGTGGTAGGCAGCGTCCCTTGCATTCCTAATGCTGAAGCTGACATTCTACGCTCAAGGTCATCCCTCCAAGCCTCCATATCCATTCTTGTCACCAATATCGAAACCCTGACCACGCACCTCTCGAAGAATGCCGACCAATTAAACAGAACCGTTGTTTACCCATCCACCAACTATCCTGGCCGCACACAAGAAGCTTTACTAGGACAACTGCTACGTAAGAAATTGGAACCGTCGGTGGAGGGCTGGGTTGCTGAAGGACGTGCTATTCAAGACGAGGCCGAGCAGAAGGGCGGGGATGAAGAGGAGCTATGGGACTGGGCAAGGTCATGGCTAGGTCCTCGTCTCCAGAAGTATGCTATGCAGGAATCGTCGGACAATTACACGGCAGAGGAGAGAGCGGGAGGCATTGAGAGTGTGAATACTGGACTACGGAGAAAGCTGGAGGACAATCATCATGACAGTGACGAGGAAGACGAAGAGGACGAGGACGAGGATGATGAAATGGAGGATGTGACTACAGATACAAAAGGAGCAGGCTCGAGAGACGGACAGTTTGGGATGGGAGAGGTCATGAGAGATCCTGCTGGGAAGGCACGGAGTGAGGATGATATTCTGCGGTTTGCAATGAGTGGGGCGGTCCTGGAGGGGGTACAGGGGATTCGAAGGTGACATGATAATATCTGCAACAAGCTACCTTGATACGCAGAGTGAGGCTGTAACATCAAGTAAACACCTCTTCTCAATTCCTTGATACATCTATAACTAACGAACTCATAGTATAAACAAGAGCACCCGCTGAACGGAAATAAGCTTAGTTCTGATTAGTCAGCTGCAGCCCCTTATCGGATCCAGTGAAATCGCCTCATTCTGGTCACCTTGAACTATTTCGATTTATGGATCGCACCGAATCTACCATTACCTCAACGACTTTGCCTCTCTCGGCTCATGACTTGACTCCAGCTCTGCTTGGAAAATTTGCGTGGGGGCTAGAAGCGGCCATTGATCAGACTCAACAAGGCAAAAGCTTTTTACCCCCGCTCAAATATTGCCAAGAAAGGCTTGAACTTGATCACGGTGGCGCGCTTTTATAATTGAACCATTCCTTCCAACTCACGCACCTGAACCCTCAGATCTGCTCTCCTGAGTTGAATATACAAAACAAAACCCCGGGCCCCTCGGCAATAAAATCGCTGCAATCCTCAAATTCGCAATGGACTTGCCTGCCATTCTTTTCGCCATTGCCATCCTATTAGCAACTTGTCTGAGTTGCCTTGCATACATACCCCCCAATCCAAACCCAAGCGGCCCGAAAGCAAAGGACAGAGCCTCCATTCTCACCAGCAGTCTCTTTCTTTTACCTTGGCTAGCTACTACCACGTCCATCGGCGCCTACCATTCATATCTCGTTCTCTTTCCGCCTACCATTTCAACAATCCTCTGTACCTACCACGATCGCCTCAACCCTTCCCTCTTCACTTGGAACCTCCACACCATCCTCTGCCTCGTCTGCATCCTAATTTTTGCGTCGTTACGGCTCCTCTCCTTCACGCACTTGGGTCCTAACTTCACGTATCGCATCGCGCCCCCTAAAAAGCTCATCACCACGGGAATCTACCATTACGTTCAGCATCCTAGTTATACCGCCCTGATTGGGGTCGTCGTTGCTAATGGCTTGCTGTTGGACAGACCAGATGGTATACCTGCGTGCTGGTTAGGGAATACCTGGATAGAGAGCCATGCATGGATGATTATAGGAAGTGGCGTGGTCGTTGGGATGGGTCTCTTGATGATCAGGATTCGAGACGAGGAGCAGATGTTAGAAGATTCATTTGGGAAGGAATGGGAAGTGTGGCATGCAAAGACTGCGAGGTTTATTCCTGGTGTGTTTGAATGGCTATAGCGAGATAGATATACAGATCCTTAATGTTTACCTTTCGAAGAAGCATTCGGCATAGTATCTTTCAGGCAGGAACTAGCCACTCCCTGCCGCTGTTCATCCATACGCATTATCTTTCATGTTGCCAACTTTCTGCTGAACTCCTAAATATCCAACTTGACTGGTGAGTCACACCAGAATAAACTACAGCAAGATTGTTCAGTAGATTTTTGAAAAGAGAACTCCATGCCAATACACGCCTCTGTCACCTTACGGAAGGCTATTGTAAGAGTGGCGAAATCCGCTATAACAAGTGCTCAAACAGCGAGGATGGTGGTTAATGGTTTTCTTCCTTTCAATGCCTGTTATTTAATCTCTTGTTATTTTTTTGGGGGCTATTAAGAAAAAGACTATCTTGTGGAAGCTTGATTGAAGAACTTTCTATTTGATTAGGCAAGGCTTTGTCGACTAAATGAAGATTATTATTGGGAAGACTTTGCTGCTAGAACAAGGGTTGTTGTGCGTTGCCCTAGGCATCTGTCCTGGACAGCCATCTATTTTGTGAATTATGCTTTGCTGAGGCCAGAATATGAGAAGAAGGGATGAATATATTAGCTTGCGATATTTTGAGAATCTTACGGGTTATACAAGTATTGAGGTTGCTGACTTTCGTCTTATAGGAGAGGCGTGTTGCTCGTTTAACGCGCGGCTGTTCCAAGATAATTGTATCAGATTGTCTATTGAACGGGACTTTGTCCTGATGTTTAAATGGGGAAACATCTGAATTATTATATTTCAAGTAGAATATGAATAATTCCAATGTTCAATATGCACTTTGTAGCTGTGAGGTTATACTAGTAAGTGGTTGGTTGCCAGCAGTCATTTCATGAGGCGAAAGGTACGATTGTTGTGCTAAAAAAACCCACCAATAAGGAAAATACAAAGCCATTTAGATTAGTATATTGGGATAAGGAATAAGATCGAGAATGAAAACAAAAGGAGTTATGCTATTCAAGTTTGACAGAAAAACACGTGATACGGACGAGTACTTTGCCAAGGCGGTGTAAACTTAAAGTGGTTTGTGCCTCTCGACGCGCTTTCTGCCATTCATCCATTGGGTGACGCGACTTCAGCGATATACTTGTACTCCTCCTGAACAAACCTCCCGACCTATACCTACGCATCTACTCATCACGTATCGCATCCTTCTTGGAATACACCCAACATCGACTGGAATGGAGTAAACACCACCGCGAATAGCTTCTCGATGAAGTTTGCACTCCTTACCAACAAGCCTCGAGCTCGCTGCCACTGCCGCCATGGTAGAGCCAGCCTCAATAGTCGAGACGACCAGACTTCCCACCCTCCCAACTAGACCTCCTACGCCCCCACGATCCAACAACGAAGGGAAAGCCAACTTCCTCAGCCGTATTTTCTACGGTGAATCCAGACGATCATCTGCTCCAGCGTCCACCTCGAATATCACCCCCGAATCCTCCGTAGAAGCCGAGTCCTCCTCTTCATCTGCCATTGCCCGCAAGAAGGTTGGCTTCTCCGACTTGGCCGAGTACAAAGATCCTCCCAGAATATCTCTCGACGGCAAATCCGCCCTACTACAGCAGCCCCTCCAACCACTTCCCCCTTCCGCCGAACGAAAGCCTACAAAGTCCATCCTTAAAGCATACAATGGGCTGCTCGAACAGGAGTACAACAGCCTAGGCAGCGGCACAAAACTTCTCCCTCCACATCAACACAGCAGCTTCGCTGCCATGCTCGAATCCATTGTGCAGCAGTTGGCTGGGAAGGATAGGGATTCTAAGCAGGATGCATACATTATGCTCTCAGGCGCTCTGAAAGCCTCGGAAAACGTCCCAGACCGCAAAGCATTGAACTCCAAGATGGGCCTGCTGCTACAGTTCATTACGCGGGACTTGACAGAGAAGACTGAAGCTGGGAAACAGGATAATCCACTCGTTATAAACGCACTTGTCCTCTTGTCCAGCTTCCTCCAGAAACCAAGCATCACCGAAGCTTTCACTTCGGAATTCCCCGTCGCCTTTGTCGACCATGCCATTAGGACCTTCGAGGACCCCCAGATGTCCAAAGAGATTGTCAAGCATCTCATGTTCGCCATTGCCCAGCAGAATTTCGGTGTCAAAGTCATGAGCTCGGAGCGAGTTGGAAGGCTTATCACCGTTGTAAACGAGATTGAGATGTACGTTAAAGGGAAAAGCATCGTTATGGGACGGATGAACATCTACCGTACATTGCTCCGGCAGTCAAGATCACAAATGTTGAATCATACTGTATGGATTGAGAAGGTTTTTACGGACATGCTGAGCAGCAATAAGGACATTCGGGCATCAGCTATTGAGTTTGGGTTGGAGTCCTCGTATACACTGGGTTTGGAGAGCAAGGCGTCTCGCTCGGCTTTAAACCTCTTCAATCTCGAACAAGACGACGGGAGCAAATACGCAGATTTCTACTGTGCTCACCTGAAAACGATGGTGGAAAAAAAGCAGGACAGTGCATGCGTGCCACGCATATGGAGTGTCATGATACTGTTTCTTCGGGGGAAGAACCTCGAGCAGTCACCCTTTCTAAAACTGTTCTTGACCGTTATCCAGGCATGCTTCAATACCAGTGACCGTCCAACGAAGATCGAAGCAAATTACGCGTGGAATCGACTTGTGTACGCCACCCGACCAGGTGAGAAGACTAAAAACTCCAAAGATACCCTTGCAAAGCTACGAAGAGATCCGCTCGTCGCCCAACTTAAATCACGGAGATCCTCATCTTCTGAACGGAAAGCAGCCCTCGGGAGTGTATGCAACTTACTCTATTATACGCTCAACCCGTCGTCGACACCACCCGATCTTGACTTCTACTGGGATGAATACGTCGTCAATATCATCGGTCAATGCTTGACCCCCGCCAGCATCACAGAGAAACCAGACCAGGCTCAGAGAGATCTAACAGATGCGTGCCTTATTCTAACAAGCCTCTTCAACTCCACGATCCAGAGACCTTGGAACGAGAACCGCGCGATGGCAGGCTTTGAGCAGAATAGCGCAGAAGCAAAAGAGCTCCCGGCTCTTGATTCAAAATGGCTGAGGAGGAGTTCTTCTCGGATATTTCCCGTTCTGTCCCCCCTCCTTCAGAAACTCTACTGGGACCTTGGTGAAGACACCCAAATCGCCAATCTCTTTCAAGCCTACATCACATCCATTGCATCCCCAGCCGCTATGGAAATTAAAGTCTCCACCGACACCCTGGCATCTCTGGCGTCCATCTTCGACTTCCTATATAGAGTATGGAACGCTGGGCCAAAGTCTTTGGCCGTTGCACCGTGGTCTAAGAGCTCTTCTAATTCCGACTTCTTAAGAAGTTTTGAAAAGGTCCTCTTGATGTCCATTCAGGGACTCGGGCTTCTCCCTTTTACCGACAGGCAGCTATGCATCGGGAAGGACGTATTCCTTCCTGTTGCTACCCCATCACATCGTCCTGCGAAAGTAGAAGGAGAGACGAGATCTCCGTTTCATCATATTGTCTGCTTGATGGCAACTGTATCTCCGGGGTTGGAGTACGATGGACGCTTTTCTCAGATGGTCCGATCTATTCTTTCGCCATTCTTCGAAGACAAGAAGTCCGGTAAAGCACGTATTAATCTTGCGAAAGACCTTTTGCAGTTTCTTCCATCGGAGAGCACTCAACCATGTAAGATGATTTGGAGAGTCCTTGCAGGTTTCGCCACGACCGCTACAGACACGAGGGAAGACAGCATAGGGAGCAATGATCACCCGATTGGCGTTGATTATCGCAGTGTGGTGAGAATTCTAGAAGCAGGCGTGAACTTGTCGCTTTGTGAACCACTCCCTGGCTGGAATACTCTGTTTGAAGCTCTTGTGTCCTCTGCCACACTTGATGCTGGGCATGCGGGCAAAGCGATCGCCGTTATTGAGCCCCTTGCCAAATTCTTCATTCCTCAAACCCCCAAGATTGCAGAGAGATCATATTCTGAAGGCTTGTTGTATTTCCATCTCGTAATAAGCAGAGCAACTTATCCCAAGGACAGGCAAGCACTAGATGCTGCACGAAAGAAGTTATGGGGATCAGCTAATGCGGGACCAAAACTTGCAACATTTGACCCTTACGTCCAGCTTTACGAATATGTCCGCTTAACTCTCGAAAGTATATATGGGTCATTTTCAAAACGACGTCTTCACGATTACACGACCACGCTTTCATCCACAAGAGAGTTACTAGGTCGTTGTCCTGAAGACTTGTCTTTTGGAATGCTCATGAAGGTGCAAGAGGGGTTATCGAAATGGGTTCTCGATCCTGATGGCCACCTTCTGGGCGGCACCGACTTGTCAAAAGAGGTAAGTACCAGTCTTCGGAAACAATATTTTTGCTAATCTCATTTAGGTCTCCGCCCTTTGGCTCCTTGTTTGTTCTCGGATAGCGACTATTGTAGATTCTTATGACCCTTCGAAAGTTCTGGCCGCCTTTACACCATTGGTCTGTTCTGGCTTGGAGAGTAAGCACAAGGCGATTACTAGCCAGGCGATTCGAATGTGGAATTCAACCTTTGGTTTATCAAAGCAAACCCTGGAATACCCCAACCGTACCAAGGATGCCCTAGAGCGACTACGTCCATTGGCCGACCTTCAATTGCCATTCTTCCCCGACAGCCTTGAGAGCCAAGCCGTTAGCGAACACCGCCAACCCATTGATTTTGCAGAGAGTCAAGAAGATTCCGCTTTCTTGCCAACCACAAGTATGGAGTCTGTAATGAAGAAACATCGTACTCCGCTGCCCGGATCAGCCAGACTACACAATACCACACCACAGGTGATAATTACAGTCCCATCATCGGCATCTCGCAAGCGGGCTCGGGAAGGAACGCTTCAGATGGGAAAAAGAAAGTCGCGAAAGCAAGACATTACACCCAAATTGCGCCATATGGATTCGCAAATTCGCTTCGAAGCCGTCGCCTCTTCGCCCGTCCCTGGACCAGTTGAGGAGTCCCAAGTATTAACCGAGAGGCAAAAGGAGATGAAAGAGCGACAACAAGCTGAAGCTGCGATGTTCCCCGATCTTCGATCAAGCCCGAGACCAAAGGGAAAAGAAGTTGCTCGGGACGAGAATGCAGAGCCAGAGCTGCCCCTGCATCGCTCCTCTTCTAGGTCGCGCACTAGGTCACCACTGCGTACCAAGCAGGCCGAGCGACAGACCACACCAACTCCCATCCCCGCGAGCGAAGATGATAATTTCATAGTGTCTTCACCTACACCTAAACGGAACAGTCAACCTCATTTTGACCCCTCGGCAGTCTCCTCTTCGCCACCTGAGTCTGTCATCAAAAAACAACCAGTGATCGCTGCCCCCGAACCCGAAGTCCCTTCGTCTCCCCCGGAGATACTAGAAGAGCCCGGTTTTGAACTGACGACTTCTGTCGAGTACCCCTCAGCCCAGATCGACCCATACGCCATTGAAATCGACCGAACCGTCTCAACATTTGAAAGCACTCCTGGTCAAAAGCACCATGTTTTTATTGATGGCGCTGCGTCTCAATTGGAAACGTCGACAGATCGTCAATCCTCAGTGGAAGTCGGCGTAGATGTTCCACTTACTTCTGAGAGCATTGATGAACCACAACCCAACCTACAATTGACGCCTGTCGCACGCAAGACCTACTCGTTGGGAGAGGAGCCACCAGCATCCTCTCCTGTGAGTGTCGAGATGGCCGGAGAACATTATGTGGCTCATAAGGATCCATCCCAGCAAACAGAAGTTGAGCCACCTTCGACTCCGTCCCGAGCCACTCGATCTCAAGAGTCCAAACCCAATGACGAGCAAACCAGCTCGCCTGTTCAATATGTTGATGCCTTAAGCAGCCCCGCCTCGTCCGAAAAACACACTGGGAACGAAGAAATCTTCCAGGATGCTGTTTCTTCTCCTCGCTTGATGATTGGTGCGACTCATAAGAAATCTACCTCGTCACCAATGAGTGACATGGATGAGTCAAGTGTAATGCGGATGATGGAAGATTATGATGAAGGGTCCGGTTGCTCACTTGCTAGCCCTGGCCAACACCGACAAACACGGGCATCTTTGAAGAAACTGCCTCCACCATCAATCACAATAGCTTCTGTAACTACATCTTCACCGGGGTCTATGCGCAAGGCCGCACTAATCAACGCGACGACTATTCAGACAGGTCAAACTCCCGGAATACCAAACAAGCAAATCAGTCTAAACGAGGAAAGTCCGCAATCATCGTTGCCCTCTTTGATTCCGGAAACACCAGCGCCAAAAGTTGCAAATACTTCAAACAAGATCATAGCTGGGGGAGAGGAGTTTGATCCCGAAGATACGATTGTTGTAGACGCTTCAGCATTAGAAGATTATTGGAATAAGATGCGCTTCGTCAAACCGAAAGGCAGGAGATCCTCCGCTGGAAGAAAGCGAAAACATGCGGAAAGCTCGCAGGAATCAGAGGTCCCCGATAGCCAAGAAGATAAAGCTCTTGGTAAGTGTCCTATTATTTGTTTGTATCATGAACCAGGAACTAATTTTCTACCAGCCTCGCCAGCGAAGAAGTCGCGGGGACGGCAAAAGAAGTCTTCTCGATCTCAGACATCTCAGCTTTCCCAGGAGATTGAAGCTTCGCCAATCCATGACGCTAACCACAGTTTTGCGTCTGTGGATCTTGACTCATTTGTGCAAGCCAGTTTGTTGTATGACTCCAACCACGAGCCCGAAGCAAACGTGACAGGGGCTATTAAACCTGGTGCGACGGACGAGGCACCAGAGAAGGGACACAAAGTCCCAGGAACTGATCAGTTGTCAACAGCTGCTGAGAATTCAAAGTCTTCACTAGAGGAAGTGATGCCGTCTGACAATCATTCCAACCTGGACAGTCCTGCTTCATTGGACGTCGAGATGATAGAAGAGACAACGATTTATGATCGTGTCGTGATGGATACTTCGAATTCGACTCCAGCCCAGTCGAGAATTGTCCCGGAGACCTCCAACGATGAAGTCCCAACTATGGATCCAACCTCGACGAGCTCACAGGCTGCGCCTTCGTATGAACAGCCGCGCGCTCCTTCACCGACGGTTCTTGGGCTGCATATATCGTCAGCTGCAATCGAAAATGCTGACAGTTCAGCGCCATCACCCAACACGTCTTCTTCAGAGTCTCGTGAACAACATGATGAGCAAGTTATCGGCATCTCCATCTTCCAGAACGTCAAGAATACTTTGGACAGCCTCATCACTCGTCTGGGGACTGCTGCTTTCTCTAAAAGCCAAATTTCGGAGATTGAGGACAAACTTAGTGATACAAAAGAACAATTGTATGGCGCTGCAAGGAGAGGGCGTCAGGGAGGAACATAATTGATAAATTTACATTGCGATTGGAGTTTGGGAACTGGGAAAATGGGAATGGGTTTGCATTAGTGGAGAATTGCCGTCATGTGTATTTGCGTAGCTAAGATACCAACGTAGATTTGTTGTTTGTTCAAGTCGCCTTCGTCTGTTGTGAAACTCCAATATGAGCGCACAAATCAAGTGTCTTGCAACGTACCTTCTAGTGCTTGGAGGCTCTTCTTTTCAAGTGATTGTCTCTCATCTCCATAATCTCTGGAGGACTGCTCTTTATATGGTTTGACTGCGTTTGACTGTGTTTGATCGTCAGATTTGAATCAGGAGGGAGAAGTATACTAGCAGAAGTACGACGGAACCTATTTGATAGAACTATCAGAGCTCTGACTGTTTTACTTTCTTACCTGTGGTTAGGGAGAAATACCGTGAGACTAGCTTCTTCCTTGTCACGTGACGTGTAAATGTAATTATCAAATTAGGGGCTTCTCGCTTGCCATCAAGCGATGCGGGGCGGTCGCGGTATCGGTATCAGTATCAGCGATATCAGACATCCAGAAGACAATATAAAATTATCCCCTCACATATAAACATTTACATCTCCCCCCGCTTCCCAACATTTCTCCCTCCCCTCTAGGATGAACATCCCAATCGCAGCCAACGTCCTCGGGACCCTCGGCGCAGTATGCTGGTCAATCCAAGTGCCCTCTCCCCCTTCCCCCCTCCCTACTCAGGGGGCCTTTCCCTCCCGTCTGACTACCTACCTAACAACACCACAGCTCATCCCCCAAATAATAATCAACTATCGCCGGCACAACACCGAGGGCCTCCAGCGCTCCATGATGCTGCTGTGGGCACTGGCTGGCATCCCACTCGGCGCGTACAACATCGCCGAGAACTTCAACGTCGCGCTTAAGATCCAACCGCAGATCCTGACGGTGTTGAGTCTGATTACATGGATCCAGTGTTTTTACTACTCTTCTGTGATTCCCTCCATTCCATCCCCCCTTCTTTTCCCTCTTTTCAATCCCCCCCTGGCCCCCAAACTTAACTGAACTGATAGAAACAAAAAACCCTAGAAATGGAGCGTTTCTAAATGCATCCTCGTAGTATGCGCCATGGGCATCACATTAGGCGGCGTAGAAGCCGGGCTCTTTTTCGCGCTCTCGGACGCCGAGCACAGAGGCCGGCACTGGGCCGTAACGCTCATGGGCGTTTTATCGACGGTGCTGCTTTCGGCGGGCGTGTTGAGGCATTATTGGGATATCTGGGTGCATAGAACAGTGCGTGGAATATCCTTTATATTCGTGGGGATCGATGCAGCCGGTGATGTGTTTTCTCTGGTTTCTGTCTGTAAGTCAAGTATTTAATTCCCCATGCCTTGCCATGCCATGCCATGCCATGTCGGGGCTAGAAATAAGGGAATAGGAATACGATCATTGGAGGAGGGTGACAAGCATGCATGGCATGGCGTGTGAGAAAGAGGGACTCTGGATGCGCATAGCTAACAAATCGCGATAGTTTTTCAGCCCAAGCTTGATATATTAGGCATGGTTATCTACGCGACTGAATTCGTGCTGTGGTGCGGCGTCTTTGCGTGTGGAGGGTATTTCAACCTGCTTCCGTGGGTCAAGATGAAGGTCAGAGAGAGAGAGCAAAAGAGGGAACGGAATGGAGATTCTGAGGAGCAAGTGCAGGTGGAGGAGGAAGGGGCTTCGCAAGGTGTAGAGTTGAATGGAAATGGAATTGGTTCCTCGACTTCTGTGTTTCGGACGCCGAGTTCTGTGGCTAGTGAACGTTCACGGGTTTCTGTTAGGTTGGCTCAATGAGGGTGTGTGGGCGTGGGGATTGGTAAGGTAAGCCAGTAAGGAATTGGCTGATGAAATCAACATACTTTCTAATGTGCGTAGTGCATGCGTAGAAGGAGCGTGAGACCGACGAATTGGGGAGAGTGTAGAAAACAGATTTTGACTTCATGCGTAATTTCGAGGATCCCTGCGTTCGCATATAGAACAGCTCGAATTGTTACCTGAGTCTCACTAACCATTCTTTCCTATGTAATAAAAATCGTTCATCGATATAATAATCAGACCGGATTATGGTACATCTATTTGGGCATCCTGAATGAGCATGATATACACTAAAAAGGTACACTAGAATAATGCATTGCATGCTTGAACACATTCTTCGTCCAAGCGCCCACAGAACATAATCTCCGATCTCAACAATCGCAGGTTCGGGAATCACGACGGAGGTATGACCTACACTCTTCCCTCCACGAGCATGTTCCTCTTTGAAATCTCGCGTGACTGGATCCTTTCTCTTGGATCATGGGACCCTAAGGTGTTTCGATGTCGAGGTAGTACCCAGCAGACCCCGCCCAGAAGGATTGGTATGGTTGGAAGGAATTGATATCCCAAGATAACCCTTCACGTCGTATTCAAAACCCATCTCCCATTCCCTGCCTTCTCATACCGTGCACTCGTCCTCTTCGTCGCGTTCTTATACGCATTGTTCTTCCTCCCACCACTTACACCCTCCAGCTTATCCGCAATCGGTCGCAAGAGCAGACTCATCGCAAGATGCCCATCAGGTCCCACCGTGACTCTGTTCGCCAAGACGGCTACAATCGTGCAGAATAGCAAGTGGCACCCCATAATCAAGCCGATGATAGTATAGAAGAAGTATTGATGCCCTACATCCAGCTTGGAACCTTGACTGGGGACTATCCCTTTGGTGATTTTCGTAGGGTTGTACATCGAGGCCCCACCAATTGCTCCGATAGCAAACGTTGACATGGTCATGCCCATTTTCGTGGTATTGCCATACAAGGGAACTCCCACGTAGCTGCCATTGGGGTAAATTTGAACTTCTTGTCCATTCTCATCCGTATAGCCGATTTGGGCAATCGAACTAGCTGCCAAGAAAGCCATGTCGTCCGATACCCAGGAATCGTTCGAAGGGTCATTCGTAGTCTTGCCAACTGTGATATTGCATTTGTAATACCAAGGATCAGTCTTTGAGGCTTCAAAGGCCTCAACAATACTGCAGCGATTGTTATCATCACATGTATTGGGAAAGTAATACGTTCCGTTGTTTGGCATGTTCGTAAAGAAGCTGGTCGATTCTTCTACCAAATTGGAAATGGAGACTTCGCCGATACCGTCGCCAACGGTGATGTTGTTAAATGAGCCATTGCCATTGGCTATAACTTTGTGCGAGTCGCATTTATACGTAACGTTGATTGTCCGGTCGGAGTACATGGAAAAGGTATCAAAACCCCCTAGAGTGCCTGCGGGAGAGTTCAAGAACGTGTACTCAAGACTGTTTTTCGAGTAGTCCTGGAAAAACTTGGCGGCGGAGTTGTTGTAGATCTCCCCGTATTTTGGTGCGTTTACAATGTCGTCGACTTTGAAGTCCCATGCTAACCCTCCGTATCTACCCTCTTTAGCAAAATAAACATCAAAGGTGCGTGGTTCTTACACATGTGCCGTATACTCTTCGTCCTGTTCGCTAAAATTGCCTTTTATGGCACCTGGGTAGAAATGATCCATATTAGGAACGGAGATATCCCCTGGATGGTCGCTTTTGAGAACCGCACTGTAGTCAGTATCCCAGCTATATGTCAGACCCAAAACGGCGACCCCCGCTTGAGCAAGCTACAACCTGTTAGAATGGTCCCAAATTCCAGAGTTTTGACATACAATATTGATAAGAAGCCAAGAGAGACATGTGAGAATCACGGCAGGGCTCTTTGCGGTAAAGGCCAGCTTGCCAAGCTTCGTCATACTATCAGCATGGAGAATAAGATCAATCTGTGAAATTAGCAACTGCTCAAGACAGGGGAGATTAGTTCTGCACTCACTTCCTCGAGACTCCGCTTCTTGGAGCTGAGAATTGGCCACCGCATATTCAACGCCATATCCTTGAAAGAACTCGCAATATTCAAACTGAGCATAATGCTTATTCCCGTACTGATCGTGTTGTACAACCTCTTTTGATCCTCGCTCTGCACACCCTTATTCCTCCACACAACCGTTGCGATCAAATACCCCGCGCAAAGTGCCGCCGTAATAAGGAACCGGCTGGAGCTTCCAATCAAGATGTGTCGCAATTGCCTCCCTGTGTTGTCTTTATACGGGACGTATGAATTCGTAGTGAAGGTCTGGTCGAGTTTGTTTATGGGGTCATTGAGGAATGAATGCTGTTCGCCATCTGTAACGTGTTAGTGTGGTGGGTAAAGTTGGGAGTAGATGCGTACTTGGTTCACCATTGCTGGGGAATAGGGTCGAGGTGGTCGAATACTCCGAGTTCCCACTCGCGCGATGGGTTGGAGCACCTGGCCGTGAAGTATGGTGCATCTCGATCTCGGGAGAGCTCAGGTCTCCATCGCGTTGTACCCATGGCTGCGAATATGATGCTGGGCTTTGATATACCGTTCCAACGCCCGCGTCCCCCAAATGGTCGTAGGGTTCCACGACGCGATTGTAGCTTTGATAGGCCATTTGAGAGATCCACGCCGTTGTTGCAGAAGAATGCCCAGCGTAGTGCCCAGGATCGATTCGATCTTCTTCAGCCAGGGACGGTGGCTTGGAGAGATGCGAATGTGCAAGCTGGTGAGAAAAACATATTGGAGAACCGGAGCACGTCCACGTTTTAGGAGTGGTGCGCCATATCTATCTCCCTGGCCCTGACCTGAGATTCAGCAGCCAGCCGATCATTAGGGGGCTGCCAAGCATAAGGCGGGCCATTGAGAGAGACTTTGGGGGCACATTTTGGCTGTGCGGCTGAGGATTCTGGATGCTTTTGGGGGGTGTGAGATACGATGCAGGGGGTGTTATTGGAAGGATGTGAAACTATGGAGCGTGCAGTTCTATATATAGCATGGCTTACTACCAGCACCAACAAAACAAGCTTCTCTCCACCCTTTAAAATCCTACGCACTTGTACTTTCTTCTCTAATAATAAAGATTTTGTGTTGCCACCTGTATAACTATTAGATGCAGGAATGAAATGTAAAGGGGCATATCATGGCATCTTAGGATTCCTTGTTTCAGCATCTCGCTCTCTACAAATACGAGCTCAGATGCCCTCTGTCCTCCAGGGACCTATATGAGGAATGGGAATGTTGTGTAAGACAGCGAAGCAAGTGCTACCTTTCTCAGAAAGGCAGAAGGTAGTCTTCTCTCTCTCTCTCTCTATATATATATATATGAGGAAACAATTCTGTACTCGAGTAGTGTTATAGGCTCATACAGTACTTACTTTCAACATCCTTTGAATTTCCAGCATTGTCCATTTACTGTTTTTATCAACGTTAGATGCTCGATTGTATTATTTGGGGTCATTGTTTCATGTCTGTCTGCATGAGACTGGGGCTACACTAAATTCAATTGTATTGTATTGGCATCTCTTTTGCTTTTCGGTGGTGTTTATGGTATGGGGGCGGGGCGTGTCGGGGCGGGGTATAGTATTATATTTTCATGCTAGCTTTGGTTTTAGAAAGACATTCGCCCACGCATACATGGCATATTCTTCTCTGAAGACAACCAATGTACTGTGATTCGTAGCGATTCCTCTCAACGGGCTTAAGATGTGTCTATTAAAGAGCAGTCTAATGCTATGGGGGAATCTTGAATTATCATTTCGGTGAAGTCTACTATAAAAGAGTTGACGAGCTTCTGGACTAGCTATATATTGACCCAAACTTCACAAATTACCAGCTCGAGCAAGGCCTAGTATAAAATGCATACCTTAGACTCAAATCTACTGATAACAATCATTCCTCCTCCCCATTCAACATATCCTCAAATTCCTCCCTCGCAGCCCTCAGCAAATCCTCACTCCCCACAATCTCCAGCCCCGTCACAGCGAGTGCCTTCCCGGCCCTCAACGCCGCACCATGAGCTTCTCTCGTCCTAGCAGCTTTCGCAAAACCAGGATTATGCGGTCCATCCTCACTCTCGATCTTAAACCCCAAACTCAGGCTCGGCATCGCATAACTGACATTCCCCTGATCTGTACTCGCCCCCGACGCACCCCAAATAAGATCCAAATCCGCGCTTGGAATCTCCCCACCTAGCCCGTTGAAAGCCCCCCTGCAAATCCCACCCAGTACTTTATTAGGAACGTGGTCATCATACTCCATCCCCGGCGTAATCTTCAATTCTGCTCCAGATGCTTGCGCGCCCGCCTCAAAACACTTGACTACCTTTCCCCGCAACACCACCAATCGCTTCTTAGTCGTAGCCCGCACGACAAACACCCCCGCTGCGTACGCATGGATGATATTCGGCGTGCTCCCCCCATGCGTAATGTGCCCCTGAATGATATCCCCCGGCATCGTCTGCTGCCTCAACACACTCAGCGCATTATAGCCCGTGATCAGTCCATCGAGCGCATTCACCCCTTCCCAAGGAGACGCCGCCGCATGTGCCTCTTTGCCGAAATACTCGACTGTGAAGCTCTCATATGCGTTCGTTCGCACCAGTGCACTGTCTGGCACGTTTCCCGGATGCGAGATCAGATTTATGTCGACGCGGTGCTCTGTGTATGCTCCGGCATCTAGGAGCTTGATTTTCCCCCCGCCGCCTTCTTCGCCTGGCGTCCCGAAGAGGAGTACTTTTCCCGGAAGGGAGAATTCGCTCATGGCGGAGGCAGCGGCCAGTGCGGCGGCGATGGAGCATATTGCTATGAGGTTGTGGCCGCAGCTATGGCCGATCCCCGTGAGTGCATCTTCAATCGTGTTGGCTTTATTTCTTCATTTCACAGCAGGGAGTTCTCACCGTACTCAACATTGTAGCTTATCACCGGTCCTTCCCTCCCGGTATCGAACCCCGCAACGAACGCCGTAGCCATTCCATATGCGGAGGGCGTGACTTTCCATCCCTTCCTTGTCTTGAGGAACTTGGTGAGCGTCTCGTGAGCAATGAATTCCTCGAATTTCAGCTCGGGATTGTCGTGGATCTTGAGGCTGATTGGCCGGAGGATCTCGCTGATGGAATCGATGTAAGTCGAGACGTAGTTGAGATATCCATCATGAACTGCTGTCGAGCCTTGCTAAATGTCAGCATGCTGCAGCGGAGTATATTCAAGTAAACAAGACTTGCATGTGACTTTCGTATCCGGTCGTACATGTTCAACCTCTTGCGAGACATTGACGTAGTCATCATCGACGATATCCTGATGGAATGAGTGCATCACGGGTTAGTGTAAAAGTTGGTTCTACTAGCAGATGCGAGTACTGTAATGTGGTTTGAAGCTTTTCGAGTCCGAGGTGCTGAGATAGATAATGATACCTATCCTATCTACCCCTACCTTAGTATAGCCCCTTATCTGTTAAAGGTGGGGTAATCCGGCATTTTGATACACCGAAAGTCGGAGACGCCTCGTCAGAAGTGACACTCCATCTAGTGCGGTTTGGTATATTATTAAACACCTAAAAAAGGAACATAAATGCCTCTAGGATTAAGAATCTTGACGCTTATTAGGAAAAGGCTGATAATGATTTGAACCTTCTAATGTTAAAGTATCTAACCCACAACCTTTCACGTGGCCTAGTAATGATCGTAGTTAGACCATATATACCATGTAGTCCAGTCATCATTCGTGACTTTTGATCTTGGCTGATATCATCCAGAGATGCCATGAATACCCGCTACCAAATCCAGAAAATATTTCGCTACCACTTGCTCAATCCTTTCAAATGGCAGCTGTAATGACTTGTCCACCTTCCCAAGTCTCTCCCGCCTCCAGCTTCTGCCACCCTCCAACTGCACCAGCTTCAACGCATATCATATTCTTCCATCCTTCCACTGGTCCAAAATCCCCTATGCTCTTCGAATTGGTCCAAGGATTCCACACCACAACTTCGTTCAGATTATCCCGCACAATGCTGAACTTCGTCTTTCCTCCTTCCAAAACAGCGACAGGAGCTTCGGGACCACCAGCAGGGGTGTACACACGGTCTATCACGCTGGTTATGGTAACTGGTGCAGATGGGGAGGTTGTGGTACTGGTTGGGACGGTGAGTTTATCGACGTAGGAGGAAGATTCGAGACCAGTGATTGAGATATTGGAGATGTCCTAGGATTTATCATCTGTCAGTATTTCCTCCCTTGCACCATAATATATGGAGTTGGATAACACCTACCGCGATTCTGAAATAAGTGTGCAACAGCACTTGGAACTCCCACGCGGACTCGCCCTCATTTCTGACAACCATACTTGTTCTCAGCCCATCCTTACCCAATGTAACGCTGTAGATCAGCCCAAACTCGTATGGCCACGCCTTCTTGCTCTCCTCGCTCAGATTATTGGAGCTCAATCCAAAATCCAACTTCACGCTGCTGTCACCGCCATCTTTGCTCGAAGAGGATTCGGAGGTTGATTTGCCCAGGAATTCCCATGTCGAAGTACGGGCGAAACCATGTTGGGGCAGTTTGGCTGTTGCTGCGTGGTCGGGAGATTTACCGAATACCTATTAGAAGAGTATCAGCTTCACAGTTTCCTCTGAGAGCTTTCTGGAAACTAATACCGGGAATACCAAAGGAATCCCACCTCGCACAGCACTCGATCCATCTGTCTTGGCCTTCTCGCTCAACCACAGCTTCTCCTCTCCCTTTGCATCTTTCCAACTTATGATCGTGGCTCCATAGAGGAGGATTTCGACGGATTCCCCGGTCGGCAGGACTGCAGAAACACGGGAATTTGAATGGCTGATGTTTAGTTGAGCTTGGGGTGCGAGTCCAGGGGTTGTAGCAAGCGCTGTTGGCTTGTTTGGGCGGTCGACCATGTTGGCTTGGGAGGGGAAGGTAAAGTGACCGTTTGAATAGTTGATAGCTAGGTAAATGGCAGAAGTTTTGAGTTTCCTAGAATGGAGATTAAGAAGTTATTCAGATAGCCAAGGGTTGAGTGGAAGTGTAAGGTGGAGTAAGCAGAGACGTGGTCGTATATGTTGGATTGGTTGGTGGGGTTGGTGGATGGAATGGAAGCGGTGGGGTACGGTACAGCAACACTTGAAACGCGACACTAACCCAGATATATACAGTCACGTGTGAGGGGCAATAATATCCCCTTTTTGTCGTAGTACTTGCAAGTACAAGTACCGTGTTTTGTATCTTTCTCTTTGAATATTTTGAAACTCAATCCTACCACCAGCTTCAAGTTTATCATTGGGTATGCCAACGCCGAGAACACAATCTTGGTATCCTCAACATGGTGCTAGGTCAAGTTCTGCGAATACAGATCGCATGTATATATCTTTAGACGGCTTGATCAAAAGACGCGTCTCACGTGACCAGACAGTACCTGTAATTAATCAGCATCTTCCTCGGCCAAATTGACCGACTGTTTTGTGTCGAGACATACAACCAATCTCACTTGAAACCCGTACGCATTGCTTTCCTATGTAGCATAGCAAAAATACGTACCTAAAGTGAAGCGAATACTTCAGCCATTATGCCGAGTCAAGTCCCCATTCTCTTCCTTTGCGAGCTCTGTGACAAGCCCTTTACTAAAGGTTAGTCTCTTCTCAGTCGGCGTTGTCGCAAAAGGGGTATATCACTCTATTACATATATTGCATATATATACCCTTAAACTAATACAATTGGTCAAAAGAGCCACAATACAAACGACATGCGGCCTATTGTCGGAAATCTCAGGGCCGGAAACGACTTTCATCTTGTCGGGCTTGCAATATATCCAAAATCAAGTGCAACTCCTGTTCACCTTGTCAACAGTGCATTCGCAAGGGAGTTGAATGTTTTTTTGATCAACACCGGTCACGTCAAAGGCGAGATGCACCTAGTAGGAATGGCTCGGAAGCAGCTGTGGCTACTCCGCTGCCAGATACTGTTGCTATTACTACTTCCGCCACATCAATGAATTCAGAGTTGATGTCTGGTGTAGAAACAGAAGGACTAGATTGTGATCCAGAAAATGATGATTCTCTCAGTCCAATCGATCAGACTGGACCAGTTAGGCTTGATGCAATGCCCCATTCATCACAGTTACAAGTTTCTAAGAGCAAAGAACCAGACTTGGCGAATGATTTCAGTCTAAATGGATTCTCTCCTGGAGCCCCATTCTCCCCCACAACTATGGAAGCAGTTGCAACACCAGCAGCAGACGACAGCTTCATGACGCTTTTCAATAATGCATCCAACAATCACTCCACCAATAATATCGACGCTGACATCTTGCTCCCGGACGACTATAGCTACTACTATAGTGCAAAACAGCTGCAATTACCAACCTTCTCGCCTGTCCTGCCTCCGACCCCAATAGCAACTACATCGACAGGAACATCACCATCATCAGATGTGGTTATTTCAGGCCACTTTACCAAAAATAGCATCAAGACAGGGATTCACCAAGCCTACGCCGCAATGATCATTGACATGATTTATGCATATCCTCGAATGATGACACGCCGCGAAACCCTTCCACCATTCATGCATGCATGTTCTCCAGTCCTTAACAGTAGGAATGACCAGAGCAAACTACCTGTGCATCTGACCAATTGCATGGGCATTGCGCAGCTGTTTGTAGTACGTAGTGACGATACACACTCATTCATTTGGACAACGATTCGAGCTGAGATGAGAGGGTTTCGAAATCGCCTGTACACGTTCAATATATACGACGCCTTGAGTGCTCTGCAAGCATCTCTTTTGTATTTGATTATACGTGTAGTAGAAGATAAACCACAAGAGGCTGAAGAAGATTATGAATTGTTATTGATTTACCAGGTAGGTTTCGCTCGTTCCCATGAACATCTTCCTGCTAAAATCCTGCAGGAAGTGTGCACCCGCGCCGTAGAACTCGCCAACAGCTCTTGTGGTCAAGCAGAAAACAAAATCCAGGATGTGAATTGGAAGGATTGGATTTATATGGAGTCCACAAGACGGTAAGACGACCAACTGAAATCTTTCTTAAGTCCTGTTAGAATGGAGAAAAGCAAGTCTAAATCCTATTGCTCTCATCTGACAATAGCATTCATAGGGTAGCGTGTGTCTGGTTCATACTAGGCCGCATCTTCCACATCCGAACCGGCAACTTCTGCTTCGTATCCGAACACTTTCGGGAGCTTTTCCTGCCCTGCACAAAAGCTGAATGGGAAGCAAAAACAGAAGTACAATGGAGAAAGGAGCATAATGCCGCGGCTAGCGCTAAAGGTGCAAATGGTTTGCACCGTTTAGGTGATCTGATAGATGCAAATCCCCGCACACCAGGTACTCGCATGTCTGACAAACTGGATGTATGGAATGCCGGAATCGATCACTTGGGGATGACGCTCAATTTGACTGCGAGTATGCTTTAATATACATGACAAGCATACCAAAACCTAATCTCTATGATGGAACTCTACCCATCAATACATCGACAATTTGCTCCTTCAGAAACATCACCAAGGAACAGGTCCATCCTTATCCGAGAACGTCCCCGTAACATCACTATCCTTCCCCGTCAGCGTCGCCAGCTCGACGATTCTCTGCGCCCCAATTTCAGGCGAATGTCCATACGCCACGTACCCAGTGAGGTTCGTCTTCACAAGCCCGGGACAAACCGAATTAACACGGGCTTCCTTATCAGCGAGGATACGCGCGTAATTCGCAGTCAAGATGTTGACTCCAGCCTTACTAGCATCGTAGGCCTTGTACTCGCCATTGTACCATGGAACACTGGGGTTGAGACTATGGGCCAACGAACCCATAGCGGACGACACGAAGATAAGCCGTGGTCGCTGCGCGGAGTTGCGCAGCAGAGGGAGTAGGGATTCAGTCAGACAGGCAGAACCGGTGACGTTGGTGGAGAGCGTGGTGTCGAACAGCTTGCGGAGCGGCAAGTTAGTGCCATCGAGCAAGATGCCGGCGTTGTTGATCAGGACGTCTAGGTGACCGTAGGTCGAGGTGAGGTAGGTGGTTGTGGCGGCGATGGAGGAGTCGGATGTGATATCTAGCTGGATGGATTCGGCTGAGAAACCTTGGGATTTGAGGTCGTCGGCGAGTTTCTGCCCGTTTTCGAGGGCGCGGGATCCGATGATTACGTGGTAGTTGTGTTCTTTGGCAAGGCGTGTGGCGACTGCGGCGCCGATGCCTTGGTTGGCACCGGTAATGAGGACAATGGTTTTGTCGGTGACGGCCATGTTTTTGTGCTTGATATTTCTTTTAGGCTTGAGGTTGGGGTGGTTTTGAGGTTCGAAGGTAGTAGATGAGATGAAGTGATGCTGTATAGATCATCCCCAAGAGGGATTGATGGGGTTATATATACCTTCATGTCCGGTCAAGTCATGCCCACTTTCATTTTCTGCTATTCGAAATTTGCCGACGAGAATTTGGCATATAAAATGGCCGATATAAAATGACCGATACAAAATGGCCGATTCATGTTTAGCTAATACATATATATTCAGACATATTTATTCCTACAACCTTAGTTACTAAAATCTCAGCAAAGTACACTTTCTATTCTAGGACCTTATAAAACAAATCCCGCATTCTTGGTAGGTGAAATCTATAATTTAATACTATTAAGCATAAGGTATTTAGGCTACTACACTTTTATATTGTAGGATGTACCTAGTTAAACTGATACCTTACTAAATCTTCAAGTCATACAAGTCTCTAAATTATAATATATGCTTAGGCAGTAGGTCTTCGCATAGCACTCTATAATCTTACATCTGAGAGGCTTCTGCCTAGCTGCTAAAGTTTACCAACTTTTGCGGGCCTGCTAGGTAGATGCATACACCTCCTACGCCTAAAGGATGGGCTTATGCATGAAGATCGGAAGGGGGCGTGGGGGTTATAGTAGTGCCAGGCTTTCATCGTTATGCTTATAACAAGAATAGTAGTAAAGGTTCTTTCTGCAAGTCCCTTTTTCGATGCCCACGTAATATTCCCCACAACAGGCAGCGGGAAAGTAGAAGGGAAAAGTATCCAGTAGAAAAGCTGATTGATTGATCTTGCTTCCTCAATAAAGAACAAAATACATCCCTTCGAATTGGCATATGCCAATTAAACCCAGTTTGGTTAGTGGCGATACAAACGCCAACGCCCCGCCCTGCCCCTCACCCCAAAATCTACATCGTATCGTCCTCCAAGCATACGAACCACGCAACCTGTCGAAGGAGTACCGTCTAATTCGACGCCTGAATTGCAAGTCCTGGCAAACAACCCGAGTCACGATGATATGTCGAAATGCCTGCAACCGGAAGCAGTCCATCTTCCGGGCCAGTAGGCAAGAGGCAACACGCAAGATACTTCCAGAACCATACCCCTTTACCTCTTGCGACGTGTCATTTTTGTATGGAAGAAGGAGGGGACTCTCCGCCAATCGCCCTTGGCGGATAGACAGCTGGCCAAGTGACCAAAGCTGTCGCGCCAGCAGACGACGGTTACACAGCATGAGCTGAGTAGTAGTTATTGCCCAAAGCCTCAATCAATCCGCTGCTCACTTCAAATTCATATGCTTTATCACTAGGTCTGTGTTTCTTTGACTGTCTTGCTTTCACGGTTTTATTCACAGTGCCTTGCTGCTTTGCTGCTTTATCTCCACCTTCCGCCGCCTTGAAGCATCTTCAATCAAGTCTGACTTCGCCATCGACATTCAAAATGGTCTTGGAACCATTCTATACAGATGCCCTAAACGGCTTGTGTTCTAAGGATCAACTAGATCTACTCGACTCCGTTGACTGTCTCTGTTTGCAAGGCATTAATTATTATGTCTTATTGCCACAGATTATTGTATGCGGGGACTAGTCTTCTGGGAAAAGCTCCGTGCTAGAAGCAATTTCTGGAGTATCATTTCCGATTAAGAGCAACCTATGCACTTGATTTCCGATAGAACTAGTCCTCCGCAAGACTTCACATATTAGCGTAACTGTTGGAAATACAGCCCTCGCGGTATCAGGTGACGCGGCCGCTAGGGGACGCGTACGAGGTTATAAGAACCTCGTCTTCACCTCCATAGTAGCTTTCCTCCTTTAAGCTAATATAACCCCTTTAACCCACTTCCCTAACTATGTCCCTATCTAGTCTATATATCTTTCTAGAGGTAATAATCCTAGGAGGCATATAGTTCTAATAGGTTCTAAGCCCTAGTTATAAGAATAAAGGCCTTTAGTTTCCACCTAAAATAATCCTACTACTATATAAGTTTAAGAGCGGTCCGTAGATAGTAAAAGTAATATTTAAAGGGATAACATAGCATACCTATAAAGAGTAACATTTAAAGGGATAACGCTTTCGGATTCTATTAATTAAAGTTTAATAAAAAGAGTAGATAGTTATAAGGCTATTAGCGATCTGCTAAAGTTAAACTCTACGCGGTATAATAAGCCTATAGCAAAAGAGCATTACACGGTCTATTAATTAAGGTTTAATAAAAAAGAGATAGTTATTTCTTAAGCTCTAGGGGAGTAAAAGAGAGAGATAAGAGAAATAGAGTTTCTTAGCTCTAAGAGAGTATAACTTTATAAAAACCCTTCTTATATATAAATTTGATACGAATAATAGAAGCAAGCTGCTACACCTTACTTTACACCCTCTTTATATACAAATAATATATAATATAAGACGAGCTGCTATAACTCGACTTACACTTTCATTTTTGATTTCTTTTATATGTTTTTTTTTAATTAATTTTTCTACTACTATATTTATTTACTCCAGCTATATAAATCTTCTACGCTATCTTGAAAAACCTATATATATAAGACTCTCCTTTTATAAATATTCCCTTTGCAAGAACTGTTATAAAAGGAACTGATATAATAGTAGAGAATGAATCTTAGAAGATACTAGTCTTAATAAGAGAGAATTATAAGAAGTGGTTCCAACTGCTTAGAGCTAAGCTTTAGAGGAAAGTAATTAAGTATATTATTAATAAGAGTATCTATAAATATGCGAGATATGCAACTATAGAAGATATCTTTAAAGCTGCAGATATATTAAAAGACTTATTACTTAATAATACCTCAAGTTTATCTAAGGCCTCTTTATTTTTAATAATGCTAATTATTATACTAATTCACTTTAATATTAAGAAAAAGGCGAAGTATAAGAAGGATAAAGGGACTATTAAGTTCTACCTTCTTTAAGGGCTTAGTAATAATAACTAGAGTCTCTTAGATAAATACGAGATAGTAAAGAAGCTTTAGAAGTACCTTAAGATAAAGTATACTTAACTAAGTAAGATTGCTATAGAGAAGTTTATAAAGGAGCTCTATAACTTTAAGTGGACTCTAGGACTTATAGTAATTAATAGTTTTAATAAGCTAAAGGAGATCTGCTATAAGATTATCTCTATTAACTTAAAAGTAAAGAATTAGTACTCTAATAATACTCTCTTTCTTCTATTTTATAGCGCTCTACTACCTAGCTATAAGGCAATAGTTAATACTTTAGCTATAATAATAATACTAGTTAATAACTAGATTAAATATCTTTAGGAAAAAGAAAAGAGGCTTGCTACTACTAAAGCTAAGTATAGGCTTGCTATATGAAAGGGATTTAAATATTCTTGCTGCTAATCCTAGGACTTATCTGATAGAAATAGTCTAAAATGCTATATCTATAAATGTCACAGGTGAGTCACGTATACACAGAGGCTCAATGTGGTATTTAACAAGTTCGATAAAAGAGAGAGAAGAATCTTTATCTAGATCCGAAGAAAAGTAAGCGCTCTCTAGTTAAGGCTTAGTAAGCTAAGTATAGGTATAGCCTATACTTTACTTCTAGGGCTTGCCCCTTATATTACCCCCCTCCCTCCGCCTATTTACAGGCGGCAAATAATCTATTAGAAACTATATAATATAGTAGAGACTATAGTAGCAAATAATCCTAATCTATAGATACTCTACTACTATTCCCCTTATAAACTGCCTAGGCTCTACTAGATTTTAGATATAGTCTATTTACTTAATAAAGCTCTTCCACTTCTTACTTTTACTATTATCTCTATTTAGTTATACTATTTACTTTATAGTATTATAAATCCG